TATGTAACATAAAGACACTAGTAGATTTTTTTACGATTTTCCCTGTCATTATTAACATTAAAATAATATAGCTTTTTACATTTTAAAGCAATGGTATTTTCCAGGGCTTCGAATCAAAATCGACCATACACCGCTAAAAACCACAAAATATCCTAAAAAATATAAAATAATATCGGATTGTTTTTTCACATAATCATAGTATATAGCATCACACGCATGTTTAATCGATAGGTAATACTAAAATGAAACCCTGTGCGTCGCTATACACTAGATTTTCCCCACAACCATCCACTGCCACCCCATTGATAATAAGAGAGTTTGGTTTGGAGTGGCTGAATTATACGATGGCATTCCGTAGAACTCCATGGAATATCCCAGAACTTTCTTCCGGCCAACCGTGAGTATAAAAACAGCTTAAGTATACGAAAAATAATCTGTGACTTGGCGAATAGGGCGGAAGTAAATCGGTACCAATGTATTAAGAAAATGACCAAGCGAAGCTGGTCTACCTCAGCTAATTACAATAACAATAATAATAATAGTTAAAACTTAAAATAACATGAAAATATTATACACGGCATATTATTTATACACATTTAATTTTTAATTTCGGTATAGAAGATTTCAAAAGTAAAAAGGGTAGGTATCTCCTCTGTCACAATATTAACATAAAAAAAAAAGCCATAATAGGGTGAAATGGTGAAGTGGGGTAATTGCATACGAATGGTAGAGATAGCATAGATAATGTTTTTATTTTATTTGTCTAAGTACATTAACATTTTATAATTAATAGTATTCGTGTAAAATTGAAGATTATCAATTACTTTATTAAAAAAATAGTATTTACATTCGCTCCATTCGTTTACAATTGTCATTTACCGCACTCCACTGTACCCTATATTTTATATAAGATTTAAATCTAAAAAAAACTATGATGCTCTACGCTGCGAATGTAATTTAGTTTATATAAATTATTACTTAAGCACATTTATACAAAGTACATGTATAATATTATGTTATGAGTCAGATTGAAAAAACACGCCAAATATTACCTGCAGGCTTCAAGTTTTAAACGACAAAACGATTTTTGATGAAAACGGATTTTCACAAGTACAACACACCAACGTACACCGCTAATAGCAATAACTAACTAGTGTATTATATCAATTTGACTACAAAAGGTGGAGGTAATATTTTATAGCTGAGGTCAAAAGGATGCATTAATCAAAATCACTCAACACTGGTGTTGTAGACCTTTGTACTTAGTATATAAATGTAGCGAAAACGTATAAGCAAAACAACAATGGCGTTATCAAACACTATTATTTCTCTGGGAATCAAAGACGTGTGCATGCTATACACGTTGTAACGATCAAGCTATTAGTATAAAGTTCAATACATACGGATTTACCTTTATCCTATAATACCCTGTAATGTATTAAATGCATAAATTGTTTTATCTGTAAAAAAATATTTCAGATTCTATCCATAAAAAATGTTTAAAAAAAAACACAAGGTTAATAATTATTATCATTCTGTTTATATTATTTTAACGGAACTAAATGCCTCGATAATCGAGTGTACCCAGACCGACAAACGCCGTTCCAGTTGAAAAATATAACACATTGTACATGGAAGATAATAATGAAGGCGATAAATTTTTGCGGTTTTACAATTTGAACAGACCAAATATGAGGGATCTCCTTGAAAACGCTACAAACACATTGGCTGTCTGAACTAATTAAAAAAAAAAATATGAAATAACAATGCGTCGCGCCAGTTGTGGTGACGCACCCTCGACTAAATGCGAATAGTATTTTAGAGCCGAGAAAAATAAAAATAAAAAAACAAATACTTTCCGTTTTAAAAAGTTGTCATAGTCTTTATATCTATGGAGACAAAAAAAAAATAGTTTTCAACATTCAAAACGTCAATAAGTTCTGATGTTTTAGTCAGTGCGATTAGCTACACAAATTTAAAAACGACATTTATGAGCAAGTGCCTTTGTAAGAGGGTGGGCAGATGAGCAAACTTGTAATTTTTTTAGCATATAATGCAGTTTTCCTTGAGATAATCGTCGGCATAAATTATGACGTCATCAAATGATGAACTGCGTGTAAGAAAGGTAGGTAGGGAAAAGATTTCCTTTTTTTCATTCTTAGATTCACCTCTGGGTAGACATAAGCAAAAGCGTATTCTACGGTTTACAGACTCAGCTTGAAGTGCGAAGATAATAAATACATATAGAACCGGAGGTCAAGGAGGCCGCAGCCACCCTAGCAAAGCCCGAAGGGTCGAGTTCTTATATCTTTTATTCAATGATTTTTTTCAAGAGTTACCGTCGGAAAGGCAAAAAGCGAACGAATTTGTAATTTTTGTGTACAGCACTGCTTATCAGTATATAATATTCTAAAATCAATGGTAATACTACCGACAATTTGACCTTGTGCCGAGCTATAGTTTTTGCGGGTCCTCATATTTTGTTCTCATCAAATTTATCCATTGTGTACACAATAATATTGCATACCTTTATATAGTGCGTTTGAAATAACAAGACTCAAGGTTTACCGAATTATAATCTAAAAAATACAATTACGATAATAATTAATACAGAATATGATGACCTTTTGTTGAGCGTATGATGAAGTACATTAAATTGCGGTTTCTTATATTGACGAACGATTAAGGAAACAATAATGGGTTGATGCGTTGTCAGACAGAATAAACTATTATCCGGAACCAGGTATCTACTTACTATGGACGGCAATGCACGTGTACAGACTAGCGATAGACGCAGGTAAAATATTATATTAAGACATTGTTGTATTGTAATAAAGTCGCCAAATAAAGTGAAAAGGAATTTGAAAAAATTAAATAAAATCATTTTGAAGACATTGCTACGGCTAAATAAACAAATTTGGTCAAAATCCTTGTTTTCAAGATTTTTAAAGTCCCAAAAATCCAGTTTTTTTGTAACAAAATAGAGAATACCTAATCTTAACCTGAACTTAAAACAGTTATAGAACTTAAAAATAAGAACGAAAACGTAAAAAGGTAAAACCATTTGACGTCTGTCATACAACGACATATTATGGACAGTCACCAAAAATAAACTAAAAGCTTAGTTCTTCGTAGCTGTAATAAATTATACCTAAACAATTGATATTTCCATAACGACAAATGTTATAGAAAAAAAGATTCATATTTTAAAGAATAAGTTAAAGAATTCGTGAAATTCTATTCTACCAGTGGAAATTCTAACATACTTTTTTTATGGTTCAGCATAAAATTTACCTATTGTTATTACTCATATTATGATAAAAAAAACCATTTAAAAATGTAATATAACCTTCAACATGCGAGCGTAGTAAATATATGTACCTGTACAAAAAAAAAAGAGAGATAGTAAAAACTATGCAGATTTTATTAATAAGGCTCGGTTGATATTTTAGCAAGTTGAAAAAATGTATTATAGTCAATACGTTTTTAAAGTGAATAAAATTAATTATGAATAACATTCGATTTTGAATTGAGATAAACGTGGCATATTACATTTATTTACTTGCTGAATTGAATAAACTACCTCAATCAAAACAATACACTGCGATTTTTGACAGGTAATAGCCAATAGGTATACAAATCATATTATGTTTCTAAAATGCTAAATATTTCTTTTAATGATTAAGTCTATAGTGCAGCGATTCATATAATTATTTCATAATGGGCTATAAAATGATTGTAGTTGAAGAAAATGTAAACTATGAAATATAATATTAGGGCTTATATTATAAGTTATTAAACGCAATATCAAATAATTTACAATGTTCTATTACCTTTTCCAATCCATGATATATTGTTGACACGTGATCCACTTTTATTATAATGATACCTATAGGTTATATTTTAGTCATTACCTTTTCAAATCAATTAGACGTTAAATGTGTTTAGAAGATTTTTTCCATGGTACATATTTAATATAGTTTGCAAACTTATTGAAGCAAAGGTAAATAGTTTAATTTAGGCTTAGTCTATAATAAATGTACATAAACAATAACTGTGTACCTTAGAGGCAGAAGGGTCCAAGTTTTTGTAACTTTTCAAGAGAGGTAGAAAACGTTTTTGCAGTGCAGCTGTATTTTACAAAAATCGCTACTAACCATTCAACTTTAAAGTAAAAATCTTGAAGATTTTTGTAAACTTTACTCAAAAGGGTAAATCACTATTCACTTATAGAAATTTTGTTCACCAGATTCTCAAACATTTCTTGATCATAAATGAAAAATTCAAAATCAAATTAGTCCATTGTTCTTTGTAAAATATAACTCGGTAAAAATGCGTCTTATGATAAAAATGACCATATAACTAGATTCGTGCAAAATTATACATTGTAAATACTCATTATCCTTTCATAAACACGGATATAGATATTTTTGCCTTGTCAAGTAGAGGCAATTTTGTACATCAGTTTTGGTGCACATCCCACTTGTCCTATTATTAAATTCTATGTTTAATGTTATGATTGGTTTGAGCGATCTACCGTAATCTACCATTGCGGTTAACCGCGTTAATCGGTGACACATTAATGACATACTTTACAAGCGCGACTGGCGTCCCGCGTCAACGATGGAATGCCGGAAAATCAATACCGGTGGCGTCGGCGGCACCGTCTTGCGAGCTGCTGTTGTGTGTTTAATAATAACTAATGATATTTTATGCTAAGGGATTCATGGGTTTAGCCTACAGCTGTTGAGATGTGTAAACAAAAATAACAACCACCAAACTTACATAAGTACTACAGTATACTACAGAGGCCGCCAGGGGTATCGCGTGTCGGCAAAGGGACACATGCTGCCAAAGGAGGCGGGACTCGAGCGGCTGATAACTGTTTGAAAATAGATAATAGATAAGAGTATTTTGATTTGTGCAGAGGGAAAACAACTTCAGTTTTTCTAAAAATCCCTATGGTAAAGATAATTTTTTGAAGAAAAAAAAAACCGTACTTGACTGGCGCCGTTGTCCTTGGACGGGTCGGAACGCTGCCAATGGTCGAACGGTACGGCGTCTTCCACCGGCAAAACTCTGCGGACCATTTGCGACGAACAGATTAATAGTATTGTCAAAGATGAAACAAAAAAATGTAAAACGGCTGTCGTCCGACAAACGCGCACGGTCGCGACGAAAAACGAAAATTAAAAAAAATTATATCACTATTTTGCCGTCGGTTTATGCGCGGTCGATGGTGTAGAATTGTTTCGTAAACAAATGACGGTTTTTTTTTTTTTTGTTATGATAATATTCGCAGAGTTTATATTATCTATATATGTGGCGCCGGCGGTCAGCGAGTGGTGCACTGCTGTGTATATTATTCCTGTTGGCTGCTGCTATTGCCGTTGCTGCTGCTGCTGCTGCTGCTGCGGAGTCGGCGCGAGTTCTGCTGCCCCGCTATCCGCGCGTTCTTCTTATAAATACTATTTATATATCAGTCTATACACAGATGTATACATATACATATATCCGTCGCCGCAAAGGGCGATGCACCCGCTCTGCCCGGACAAGACTCGCGAGTCTTATAGATAATAGCATTTCTGGTTTGTTTCTATATAGAAATGAAAAATAATATATAATATATACGTAATACGCTCACCTGGAAGATAATATCTTGGGACTCTGCCAAATCTCGAGCCGTGTAGTGCCTTACAAGCTATGGCTAAATGTTCTTAGAAGAAAAAAAAAGGTCAGATTAAAAATGTACTCGAGACTATAGAGTAGTAACACGTAATTGTCTTAAAAATTGCAATGACTGTTCGGTTCAGAAAAGCTTGTCGGACTAGTTAGACATGTCACTTGGCAGTGGACGTCAATACGATTAGGTGAAAACTCGTTTTTTTTTGCATAGATACAATTTTTTCCGACTATTCGATGGATGACTCATTTGCGCGAATTGTTATCTTATATATTTTTGTTTAGGGTTAGACTTTTTTCCCCTACATACCCGGCGGTTTCCGTTTCGTTTAAATGACCTTCGGCCGTTATCACCGTGTCGGCTTCCCGCCAAAATAAATTAAAAATGTTTAAGAACCCTAAATCCGTAAAATCGTCCGCTATGTCAGTCATTCAACCGATCAGGTTTGTATTGGAATAATATTAAAAAAATCCACCTAGAAATGTTATTTTAAATTGAAATTAATTAAATTTATTATTATTATACATTATTATTTTATTATGCATTATTTTTACAAAATAATTAACTGATATTGTAATAATTTGCTGATTTTACAGTCGAGACAAATATAATTGGTTTATGATAACTGAAATAACTAGGTGGTAATGTACGTTTTTGATTGGACGTTATGATGATATCGTGTGAAAATTACATCTATTGTGGTTCCTGGCTTTAATAGTGATTATTTTTTCAGACTTAAGTGTAATTAGTGCATAAGTGCAATTATTTTATAGTTTATTATCTTATTAATTATTTAATATGGATGACTACTAATATATTTGCATAGAAATACATAATATATAGTTAGTGCCAATTGACGATAAATTAAAGATATTTGTATTAAAGAATAAAGTAGCTTCATTATTGGAATCTGTCACTATGAATTATAATGCTAAAAGTCAAAATAATTAAATTGAATTAAATAACTTTTGTATTTATATAGTGTGGTTCCTGATCTAGTTAGTTGTTGGCTTTAGTAGTGATTATGTTTTCATAAGTGTACCTAATTCTCTTATTATTTATTATTTCATTGATTATTTTAATATGAGTGACTACTATTATATTTCCATAGCAATACAGAATATATGTATAATTAGTGCCAATTAACGATAAAATAAAGATATTTGTAATTAAGAATAAAGTAGCTTCATTATTGGAATCTGTCACTATGAATTCTAATGTTGAAAGTCAAAATAATTAAATTTAATTATACAACCTTTGTATTAATTAGTTAAATGTACAACAAATGACTGAATTAATACCAGATTACATCCTTATTATTTTATTGTCGAGCCAAATAAGGCTATTAACAAAAAAAAATACCAGATTACCAACCGAGTGAGACTTTTTCAAATTTATATAATACAATACAAGAAATCACACAGAATTTCAACGTTGGCTAGCAACAACATAACAATTTAGTTTCATTTTACATCAATAAATTGTTATGTTTGTTTTGGACATGAAAGGGATCTAATACACATAAAGGAAGCACAAAACTCTAACACTTACAATTAGTGTAGCAATTTTCAAGTACATAAATTTGCTCACAAACACTTTAACGATAATTTTACAACAAGAAAGTCTTTAGTGTTTTTAAAGGGTGAAGAATTTTTCTTATGAATTTTATGATGTGTGTAATGTTTGAAAGTCTTAACACAGATAATTATTTAAACTAATATATTTACTGTTTAGTGTTTTGTGTATGTCTACCTGAAAACAACTATAGTTACCCAAAAAAAAAAAAGAGTATCTATTGTTCATAGTATTGTGTGCAAACAAGTTGCAATTTTGTACGCAAACTAGTAATTGTCTTTAAGGTAAATGTGAGCAAAGTGACCCATGTGATTCGTGTTAATATGTAAACACTTATAGAGTATTCTATTTTCTACACCAACTTATAGTAACGGTAAGCCACATGACACACGGTGGTGTAAAATAATATTAAGAGTTTTTGCACGAGGTGAACTATGCGTAGAACCTATAGGCTATGTACGGTATCAGTTGGCGGATAACGATAACCTTTATTTTGTAACTTGGCTAATTGGAAAAATAACGCTAGCCTTAACCGTTATGGAAAAATTCCTATTAGGAGTAGGTATGGTTATGACTTAAATACCAATGGTTTAAATAACCGTGGTCCTCGTATATTTCTGGTTTATTATAAAAAAAATAAACTGATTATAAACATAGTTACATGGTTCTAACGCACCAAATAACATCTAGTAGTTGGATTATGTCAAGACTCTATACCCATTTTAATACGGTTTTTAATTCTTTGTCGTCTGGATTCGATAATGTATGATAATTATTATTCGGCTATGTGACAATTTGCATACCACTCCTAAAAACTATAATTTGTGTGATAAAATAATTGTTTTAAGCGAAATCGCGCTCCTGTCTTTGTATTTTTAAATAATTTTTTTAGCATGTTTAATGGCTACGAATTTACTTCAACAATTATAACATAACAATTGTAAACTCATTTGTATTTATATTTGTGTTAAATTTTGATTTGAATCTGAATAGAAGATAGCCAAGGCCGACACTGGACAACACCTGTCATTGTAATGTATTTCTTTATAATACTGAATTTTACTTTAATCGCCTTATTTGTAATTAAATGTAATTTTAAAATCATAAACAGTATTAAATTATTATACACATTAATAGTTTTCAGTTAAAAGTTGTTAGTAATTTTTGTTATTTGTAATTACAATTAGCCGTGAGTTCTAAACTTTTAGCGGTTACATAATTTAATAATTAATCACACTATAATAAAGTACAAAATTACTAGATCAAATTTTTTAGAAAAAAACATAAATTAACGCAATTGCAATAGCAATAACCTCTAACAATTAATTTGTCAATCGAATATAACACTTGTTGGTATGAGTATAACATATGTAATCTTTTGCCCATATCTGATTCCTGTAGGATCAAGACTTGTGTTTACAGTAGACTTGTGTATTGTGTACTTGGGTAGGATCAGGAATAGCGACCGTGACCGAGGACTATCATAATAAATGCAAGGTGATAAATACAAAAACGTTCAATGCCGTCGACCTTACCACAATGGTCCATATAATTTGTAAAAACCGTAGACGGGTTTGGCTCGACCTTTTCACATTTTTATCGTTCTAAAATCTAGAAAAATCTACCCAGCTAAAGTAGTAGAACGACCAATATTATTTCTAAATGACTGAAAGTTCCATGTACGATGGTACTGTACCTAATACGTTTACTCAAACGGTGTAGCTAATATAATTTATAACAACTTATTATATTAATGTTAGCTTAGATAAAGCACGCTGAATATATTTATTCTATGATGTTAGTACACAGTATGAGACAGCGGGTCAACCTAATAACATTATTACAACGCTTTAAATCCGTTAAAATTATTTATTATATTATTATAACGGTTTTTTAGAATGTTTAACACAAGACGGTCCGTGTAATCTCGCTGATATTTAGAACCTGAAACTAGATCAGCTACAGTCCGTCATAATTCATAATACTATACAGATTGTACGAGAACCGTAAATAAGTATAACCGGTTTTTATAATTATTTTTACTGGGTAAAAATGTGTTCAACAACACCGCAGTAGAGTCGTACCTGACAAGAAAACAAATGGGTAAATTTTCATTTAAGACGACTAAAAAATATTGTACAATTGCTAAGCTCACATTTTTTTTATTAAAAATAAGCATTTTTAGGTGTGCCGGAAATATTTTTAAAAACGAAAATTTGACTATACAGTTTTCGAAAAGATGATTTTGGAAACCAAAAATATTTTTGCCGAGAGTAACACATGCCGTGTAGAATGTATACTCAATACTGCTGTATATAGTGCGAAATGTATTGACAAAAAACAAATTGTCCCATATGAATGTGTGACGCACGAGAGATGAAATTACTGTGTATAGAACACACTTAAGAAATCACCACCACCCCCTATCTCCTTCGTCTATGCCATTTGTCCTTTGACAATTATTACTCTCTATATATATATCCGCCAAGTAACTTGATTCTTACAACAGTCTGTGTGCCAAAAATTATTGTTTAAACAGTGTAGTATTTTGCTCATACGCCGAGGAACAATTATTTGTTGACATCTTCTTAATAGGACACTTACTAAACTATTTTTAGACCAAATAACAAAAATAGTAAATGTGTTTAAGACAAATTGTACGTATGCATATTAGTGAACAAGGCACTTACTTAGTCCTCGTTTTTTCTCCTTTAAAAGTGGTTGTAATAATCTGACAAAAAAAAACAAACTAATGAAGAATTCTCATTAGTGTACCTAATATTAATGGTACTCTAGACTTTTTTAAGTTTTAAATTAATATTTTGCAGAAAATTGCCTGAACTTGACCTACTTCTTTAATACATAGGTGACGGGTGTCGGGTGTCCTAAGTCCTTTAATTGATATTTTAGAAAAAATATATTAAATTAGGTAATATTATAAAACATAGGTTGTAGAAAGTAGTTAAGTTATTGTTAAAATAAAAAAAAAGACACATCTAATAATCATGTACCTACATATTTAGACGTTAACAAATATTTCATATTTAAGAATAATTATTTGCTTACATTTTTAGCTGACTTGATAGCTCATCGTACCTATTTTCTTCTATATATTACAATCAATATACATATTTTATATGTAATAAACAAATGCATTTTTGTACGATTGCATTGCTTAGCATCCCAGCTTCTACATTTGTTTTTATTATTACTAGTAAAACTCTGTAAAATATTTCTAGATAGGCACTATTATACTGCTTTAACACGATTTTGGAACAAGAACCCAAGTATATATTGTAAATCCATTTTTTTTTGTATCTTTTTTGCTGAATCCATGTATCATAGATCCAAAAAGATAACCAAAGATTGTTACTAACTTATCTGAATTATATTTTATTTTTTGTACTCTACCCTCGAGCAAAAAAATTTTGCTTTTTATTTAAAACAAAATCCTAAATAAACATTTTAACGAATTTGTTAGCAAGATCCGACACTACAATGATTTTTTTTTTTTTACAGTCTCCAACATTAAAAAAAAAATGTTCATGTACATAGTTAAAAACCACACTACATTCTGAGACCTGGTGTGAAATTGAATTTAAAAAAAAGTGTAATAAAAAAGGGCAATTTTCGGCATGTAGTTTTTTTTTGACATTGATATATTAATTATTTTTCTCATTAGGAACTAGTTTTATTATTTAAATATTATAGGGCTTCCGGCTTAGGGGTATGTTATAATAGAATAAATAATCCTAAACACATAACCCAAATATTATTATTAACAATTTGGAAAATTTTTATGTAAATCAATTAAATTTTATAATAAAAGATTTCGGATTTTTTAAATCAATTTTCCCAGAATTATAATGTTGGATTTACCCCCCAATCTAGTTTAGGTTAGGGCTATGGCCATCGAAATTTTAAATGTTTGAGTAAAAAATAAAAAAAAATAAAAACGCAAGAATATTTAATGGCATTTGTTTTTGAAAAAAATTAGTCTTGCGTAGGACGGTAAACGGAAATCGAAATCATTATATAAACATATAAATAATTATAATTTAATCAGTGGGTCTCTTTGGTGTACTGCATTGATTATGTAATAGACATTACATAATCAACAGTGTACTGATATTTTGGAAAAAATAAATAAATTTGATGCAATTATACCACCTACGTTACCTTTAAGTATAACCTCGAAAGCTATAGAACACATTAATTCGGTGTATTTGGGAATACTTGTAAATTGTAATAACAGAGGATGCTTTCAAGGAAAAATGTAAAATAACAAAAATATTAGGTACTTGTCTGACATATTATTTTTATTATCAATCTATTTACTATTATTTTTTTTTTTGTAATTTAAGCCAAAAGATACATTTAATTAAAATAATCTTGACCGTTTATGATATTAAAATAACCAAAATAACCACCACAAACTGGTGAATTTTTACCACCATTGACAAAAAAAAAAATCTATTAGGTACTAAATAAAGTCAAAATAGCTTTAAAGTGATAACATCTTTTTTTTTAGTATTTTTATTCTAATATACTTTTTTTATTGCAGTAATATTGTGTATTTTTAAATTTGTTTTATTCATATTGTATGAAAATATGTCCAATATAAATGCAATTAGGTTTCCTTTTACTTTAGCTAAAACATAAGTTTTTAATAAATAAAATCTACATTTATTCTATTTGAAAATAAATTGTAGTTACCATTTAATAGGTACTAGTAGGTAATTGTAAATTGTTAATTGTTAACTGTAAATTGTTGTCTAATCCGTTTATAAAAATATAATATAGGATGATACGCAGAAAAAAAAATTGAATGTGTTGTTTAAAGTATAAGAAAAGCAGCGAGAGAGAGAGAAAGCTGAGGTAGTCTCAATTCGTTCACAGTATATTAGGTATTATAAGAAAAAAGACCATCATTATCTATAGTTGAAAACTGAAACTATAAATTTTATGACAGAGCACAAACATGAAACACAACGATATTATAGTTGTATACTTATAAGTATATAATTATTAAGCACGCTTTATTACATGCTCTTACTACTTTGTTGTTTTAGTACTTATTGTTAAGTACACTTATTGTGTGCTTAACAAGGAATTGCTAGACAATCAGTGCCGTCCAGAGAAAAGTCATAAAACAAAATCTCAAATTTAATTTGGAATATAAATAGTAGGTAGGTACATATTACTATTTTATTAGTAGTAGAAACGAACAAATTGTTAAGAGGCCTCTTCACTAGCATTCATTAAAGGACATTTTTTTAATACTTGTAAATTTATATATTAGCACAGGCAATAGGGATCTATTTTGATACTTAATTTTTTTTCAATTTTAAGTATGTTTAGAGTTATAATGAGTTTCCTTCGACCAAAAATACGCAGGTCCCAACTCGAAATTCTCAAATTTGAAGAACACGATTATTTAAAGTGAACATTATTTATTTTAATAATAACATGCACATTTTTTTTATTCTCGTAGTCCGTGTATGCAACACAATGCCGTTTCCCGAGTTGTTGAAAAACACTCTTAAAGGTTTGGGCTTTGACCACCGTCGGTATGCAAAATATGTATCTTATTTTATTGGCCGTTTTCTTTATAAGGTGGACTATTATGTGGCGCCATCTATGATCGAAAAATCGCACTTCAAAAGCGCTCTGGTCTTACCAGTTGTTATTCACAGAAAGTCAATCGCCGCTTCTTGTATGTGATCAAAGTCGCCGGTTTATATACCGGTATTATCATAATAGTTTTGTGTATTTGCTTCGGCAGTACACAAAACACTAAACACTCTATGTCACTGTAAAATAAACATAACAAAAAAATATACATACGCCTTTACTGCCAACGTTTCGTATTCTGTTATCCGTTTTCTGACTTATGGTATCATCTTTAATTAGGGCGCCCGCACTACAGAAGTGCCTGCACCAAAAACAGTTTTTTTAGTATACATTAAAATATTTGTGCGCTATGCTATATAAAAGATATTGTTTTGAGCATTTTTATGAACTTTAATAGTTTTCTTAATTAGTATTAACAATACTAGATTAAACATACATGGATAGATGGGCCACGACCATATTATGAAGCACGGCAACCCAATTTTTTTTGTTCATAGATAGCGAAAAATTGAATTTACATGAAATGCTCGAGGCTCAGTGTTATTTTTAAGCATGAATTAACAAAATATTTTAATTTTTGCTTTAAGATAAAAAAAAGAAACGATTATGAAGAATATTTTAAAGTAGGTAAGCACTCGATAAATTTCAATTAAATTTTATAATTCTATTAAAAATTTACCGCGCTAGTATTTTTATTCTTCAATTTTTTGTTATACCAATTTAGTCCATAGTGTTAGATATGAATATAAGTATATGTATAAATGTATATATTTTTGTCTGTAAAAGAATCATACAATTGTTTTAATAAAACGGAACGGAAGTTATAATTAAATAACCTAAACAAAGGCACTAAGGACTCAATAATTTTATTTGAATTTTTTTGTTCCTAAGAATAAAAATGTTTTATTCTAAATTGTAGTTTAATTATTTTGATAGAGTTGTGAAATACTCAATGATTTATATTTAAATGAATGTTGAACACGTTTAGAGTATTAATATTGTGAAAATTCGTTTTTTTCTATTTTTCAGTAAAAAAAGTTTAAAAATCTTAATTGTGCGGTGTAAGAAATACATAAAATTATCTATTAATTTTTTTGTAAAATTTCTGACATTTCTCATGTTATATCAATATTTTGCATCAATAATTTGCCCTTGTATTACAATAATCAAGTTAAAATATGGAAAACTTCTCCTCGTTACAGGGAATGATTACGACAATACAAACATGTATTTGAAAACACGTACCTATTTAAATACTTAACAAAACTAAATAGTGAATTGTTAATTTTTACCGCCATTGGCAAAAAACACACATTACATTAGTTACCTACTAAATACAGTCAAAAAAGCTTTCAAGTGTTAACATTTTTTTTTTAGTATTTTTGTTCTAATAAACTTTTTTTTTTCTTGCAGTAGTATTGTATATTTAAAAATTTGTTTTATACATATAATATGAAAATATGTCCAATACAAATACAATTAGGTTTCCTTCCACTTTAGCTAAAACATAAGTTCTTATAAGTCATTAGGTAGAAATATCATTTATTTGCTAATAGTTTGACAATAAATTTTTAATTTATAATTTAATAAATAAAAAGTTATGCAACCAACAAAAAATTATTTAGTCTAAAAAAATACATACATATTGAAAAAATAAAAAAACCAAAATTTTGGGCCATCAAATAAAATTACTATAGTAATATAGTTTATTTAATTATCATTACTTTTTTTTTTTATTACAGTAAAAACATTATTTTTTAAATGTATAAAAATGTTGTTCAAAAAACAACTTTTTAGGAATCATTTGTAAAGTAAATGCATTATATATGAAAGAGGAGGATTGGGTTGGGTTAATCTTAAAAAGGTTTAATGTACAATATATTTAAAATCAATGTTAAAACTTCCGACAGAATATTTTCTTTTTAAACAGTTGAAATTATATTCTAGGAAAATGAGTGAATCTGTTTAAATTTATTTTTTTTGTATGTAAAACAAGGCTTAGGTAAGTATTACACATTTGTAAACTTTTAAATGTAATGAAATAACTATACTCTAAAGTTATACCATTGTATTAAATATTAATCAAATTACTTTTTCTTTAAATAAATGATAATTGCAACAAAACTGTTTTGTTTTTTTTTTTTTTTTTCAAAAAGAACAATAGTTGTATTGAAACACTTACATTATAATTTATATAGAATTACTAATTTATACTTATTTTTAAAAAAAAAATCTTGTTGGCAACATTTAATTGTTATCAATAGCCGAGTGGTTAATACTTTAAATAGTCAAAGCTGATTTTTTTAATTAAATACCAAATAAGTACAGAAACATTTATGTTTCTTACACTTTGTATAAGCCTTTTTTTTAAATAAGACGTAACTTGTTACAGAAAAGTTATGTCATTAAATTATTTACTTAAGTCAAATGTATGCTACTATAAAAAAAAATATAAAACAGTCGGAAACAAGGTCTGTAGTTTTGTCATCAAAAGAGTGTAAAAAATTAATACATGTAGATTCTGTCAAATATTGTAATGGCTCAATTTTAAATTTAACTTTCAAATAATAATAAAAATGTAAACAACATACAACTTATTTTATTATTTAAATATAATATGCTCATTAGCTTCAATATTTTATTATTTAACAAGTTATTTTACAAAATACGAATATTATACAATAATGGAATACAATAATATATAAATACAAATAAAAAAAAAAATACTTAAAATCTCTTTTCTAAAAATCGACATTTAACTTTATCCATAAATATAATCTAACTTTTGCTTTTATCAATATGTATGTTGTAACCCATCATTACACATTTAATAGCAAAATGCAATAAGAGCAAACACAATTGATGATTCTTTGCAGATAAAAAAAAAAAAATCCTTAATTTAAATCTAACATTGATAACAACAATATTTAAAATTATTTAAATTTAATGAAAAATCAAGATAAAACATTATTTTATCAATTATATTTTTTGGGATTATAAAACAATGCTTGAGTATCATAATCTTAAGTTTTATGAGACACGTTAAAAAGAAATATGTCAGAGATGACATTCGATAGTTTCGATAATACATTGTATCGATTATGACGCGGTTAAAACGACAATACTTAAAAGAAAGCACAATACGCTTATCCGGAAAATACACTTAACCCCTAAGTACTGGGTTTATTTTTACAAGACAATTATTATTTGTACAACAGTTTATATTATTTTAATCACATTCCCTGAACTAAGTGTTTTTTTTCCCCTCGCAAATATTCAAAATAATAATTAACAATCATCGCAAGGAATGTGGCATTTACAATAACATAACATGTTAACATACTTATAAGTAGTTATATTTCGGTTAACCTTAATAGTAATGACATCGACGAATAAATTTAACAAGCCAATCGGCACGAGGTACCGACGATTTACATTCGACAACACGCATTTGTCTTTTTTGCGGTTTTGTAAAATGCTTTAGACTGCATACTCAACCCTTCCGATTTCGCCACTAAATCGTCCAGCTTTTCTCCTCTTTCTAGTACGGCTTCAATTGTATTGTGCTATATTAAAAAAAAAAAAAAGTACATTAATTAAGGTTTTTTTTTGTTTTTATGAAGTACATTATTATTACAAGATTATGTATTTAAAATAAACTAACAATACAGCCAAACATGGGGGAAACCCTTTAAAATGTTTATCATAGATGTGTTAAAAGTGATATCCCTACTCACTAATATATTATAAATTAGTGATATGTATATTATAAAAGAAATACTGCAATTTTCAATAATAATAAATCTCATTTTTAAATAGATTATCTTCTAATAATGAAATCAATATAATTAATTTTGTCCAATTCTAATAGAAATGTTATGAGCTAATATAAGCTGCTATTTCGGTATATTATATGTTATAAATAATTTTATTTGTTTGTAGACATGTACAATAAACTGATTAGATTGTTTAAGTCAATATTTAATAAAGACCTTTAATAAACATCACTTCAAGGGCAAATACTTCTCAGTCTTAATTAAAATACTGCAATATTTCTTAAAATTCTTTATCAATTTACTTAAAAATAATTACCAAAATAATTTTAGTTTCATCTAAATCTTGTTGAATCTTCGTCATAGCATCTGCTTCTTTTGGATTCTGATATTTAGCCAGCATCACACTCAGTTCGTTGAACGTTACTTGAGTTTCGTTAAGTTTGGGCCAACTGTGTGAAGGTACCTTAGCGGAAAATTCATCTAAAGCCTGAAAATAAAATATAATTTAAGTACGGCCTTGACCAAATGCTAAAATTGTCACCAGCTAATAAATATTATTAGATAGTTAACAAAAATAATATATACAACATAAAAACCCAGATGTAAAATATTTAATTTGCCCATTAAATAGTTTATAGTTAATTAGAAAAAAATCTAATATTCAGATGTTTTATAGCAAAATACAAATAAATTCTACTTTTAATTAATAATAACAAATCAACAATGATAGATTAGTAATTTTTTTCAAAGCCATCATATTGTTAAAAAATGGCAGCAGCTAGCAAACATTAACAAACAGAGTAAATGTAGGGAAGTGGTGTATCATCATACCGAGTTACACCTCTCTTGAATGTATGTTAGTCTTATTGTGATAAGAATAATCTAAATATTGAAATTTTTTTAAGAATAAGAATGGAAGTTATATCAAAATCATAACTCATAAGTATTGTAAAAATTGTACATTTTAATATATTATTTTTTGTATTACCTTTGTGAGAAGTGTATGTGCCACACGGTTTGGATATTCATCGTCAGATATTAAGACGCCAGCTAAATTATCTGCTCGGACATAAACGTGGCACATATATTCTTGAAAAAAATTACAAAATACCATTAATATTATATTTTATTTCAACCAGTTGGCAATATACCAGATATTTTTGTTTTCAAAAAACGACTGTCAAGTTTTTTTGGTTATGCATCAACCCTATACCTTTAATTTTTAAGGTAAATATGCAAACATTTGCGTACCTACCTTTTTCTTTGACCGACTGTCTGGCAGCCGAAGCTGTACGTTCTACAATTGTTTTGGTAACGAAACTCATAAACTCTTGTACGCTTTTACGTTGAAAGAAGCCGAACGTTTGCAAATCAAATGCCGCCTTTAACAGTGTCGCATCGTTTGGCCCTTTGTAGAGTACACTCATTGCAAATAGTTTTACCATTTTGTTTCCTGGAACACTGAGAAAAATTAATACTGAAACGCTTATTCACAATGTATAAGTAACACTTTTATGTCGCATCCGAGTTGTTTACTTACTAAGAGAAAGTTTACAGTCCCAAATTATTTTCAATAGCGAATGTTTTGATAACGGATGTTACGTGTGGAAAATAGTCAATTATCGAACGAAATGTAATAGAAATATTTAAAATAGTTAAATGGCAGATAATAAAGACGATTACATCATTCAAGGAGACGTAGATCTTAAATTATTATTGTTGTTGATTGATGGGATTTAGGGCGAGAAACGAGAGTACACGACACTATACTATCTCAGTCCAAAGAAGCTGATATAACAATATTGATAACGACTCGTCAATAATTGTAATATAATAGTTGCTATCAGTGTACCCATGAAAACATTCAACAGTGTCGCCAACGTCATTTGATAACGTTGAATGGCGTTGCACTTGGACGACCGTCCATGGATGTTGCCGTATTTAAACTTTTAAAAACAATTGAAAAAAAATCGCAATTCCCTTTCATGTTATTATAAAGTGCTTTTGATTTGTTTTAAGACCTTTATTACGATTTTTTAGATGAAAACACAAATATATATCAGTGGCGCCGAGTCAAGGTAAAAAAGATGGTTCATTCAATTCTAACCGAGAACCACACACCCACCCAATTCATAATTAAAAAATTAGAAAAAATGTTTAAACTTTAAAAGGTCACACCACACAAAGCCATAATATAACATATTATAATAATATGTTATATAGTATACGGCATACGCTAAGACAATAATAATATATTTTATTGGTGGTCAATTTAATTTGGCGAATACAATATTGTAACTAGTATGTATTATGTGGCTCAAATTACAAGCTTTAATGGCCACGTGGAACTTATATATGTATATGTGTGTATATAAATACATACACACATAATATAGAAATCTGTGAGTTTTGTTGAAACAATCTTGGTTGTGTTTACTAAACAACATATATTGTTTGTTCAATTGCCGGGACCGTGTCTCAATGGTATAATTTATACGGAAATAGTAATCATTTTTTTTTTTTTTTTTGTATACCTACTCGCTTGTGGTCTAGTAGACTTTCTAACTTCTTGATGCATGTTTCATAAAATACAAGTTAAGTAGTATTTAAAAACGGTTTATCAAGTATTTCATAGTACGCTTTTTTTTCGTAAATATAGGAAAAACTACCGGTTAGTTCGGTATATTTGTATCAATAAGATTACATGGATGGGGTTTTGGATTTTGTAGAATCACAGAATAAAATATGCACAATTGCTGATTTGTAATCGTGTAACACATTACCTGCAGACAGACACACTACAAGTGTCAAGTTGTATTAAATTGGCTAGTGTTACGTACATAAATAATATAAATACAAACCAATAATTATGATCCATATTACCCATACCCTATTACCCCTTACCAATTATTATTGTTATCTAAACATACAAAACCGGTTCAAGGGCGGCGTAATTGCACGTTATCTATGAACAAAAAAAATTGGGTTGCCGTGCTTCATAATATGGTCGTGGCCCATCTATCCATGTATGTTTAATCTAGTATTGTTAATACTAATTAAGAAAACTATTAAAGTTCATAAAAATTCTCAAAACATATCTTTTATATAGCATAGCGCACAAATATTTTAATGTATACTAAAAAAACTGTTTTTAGTGCAGGCACTTCTGTAGTGCGGGCGCCCTAATTAAAGATGATACCATAAGTCAGAAAACGGATAACAGAATACGAAACGTTGGCAGTAAAGGCGTATATATATTTTTTTGTTATGTTTATTTTACAGTGACATAGAGTGTTTAGTGTTTTGTGTACTGCCGAAGCAAATACACAAAACTCTTATGATGATACCGGTATATAAACACAGTAATTGGCGACTTTGATCACAAACAAGAAGCGGCGATTGACTTTCTGTGAATAACAACTGGTAAGACCAGAGCGCTTTTGACGTGCGATTTTTCGATCATAGATGGCGCCACACAATAGTCCATCTTGTAAAGAAAATTCGCAGTAAATTTAATTTTTGACATCTCGCATTAGTACACCAACAATGTGGTATATTATATGTTGGTCCCGTATAAAGATTAATTACTGATGAATCAAATTTTTATGGTCTAAATATTTTTATGAGTATTGTTGACAGGTTTTATTACGTTTTTCGTTTCTTTATTATTTTTAAAACATACTTAGTTTAAGCACGATAATCGTACATTTTAACTCGAGCAATAAAAATCCCAACGATCACCGTATCGTTTGAAATCTTAAAATAGATACTACTTATTTGGCATATATCATACTTTGGTTTCAAACTTTATGCACAGAATTACTAGTTTATAATATTCTCTTATTCATTGAGTTTTAATTATCAATACAGACTCAGTGCCGGATTAAGCTTTTGGAGGTCCCTTCAAATTGTCTCCTAATTGTTTGTAACTTGTATCAAGTTTGCCTCTTTTCTGTGTTAGCATATGGGCACACAAATGTTTGCCTATTGTTAAATGGTATTGTCCAATTTCCTTTACAATGTGTCTAAATTAATAGTGTATCAAGAATTTTCGAAAATTGCCTAAATTTTACTTCTTCAAAAATTGGTGGTTTGACCAGTGCCGTAACTTGAAGGCAATGGCCCCAATGCAAATAAATATTTACTGGCCCCACCACGTGTATTGTAAAATTAGTACAAATAAAATACTTATAAATCATTTTTTACTTAAATATTTATGAATAATTAAATTTAAAAAAAAAATAAGTACTTTTGTACTCGGGTCTTAGTGGAAATATAGACACTGTGACAATACAAGATATATGCCAACGATACTTAAAACTCATAGGAATTAGGCAGAATTGGGATAAACAATGAAACTTCATAGAGTTGTATCGGTACAATTTTTCTAAATGAAAAAGTTATTAGATCATCTAAAATACATGGGTTTTAATAAATAAAAAAAAAACACAATAGTTAGTAGCGTAAAAAACTTAAGATGGGCGGTTAACTAAACGCTCTTGACGGTTTTTTAAGTAAATAGTTTTGAAGTTATAGAGTAAACTGTAAAGGCGGAGAGAGAAGTGCAGCAGTTAATTATCTCTCGTTTAAATGTTAACAATTCCAAAATATATTGTTGAAATGAAAAGTACTAATAAAGTTCTTTGACTATTTCAAAAAGTAAAAAAACACAGCTGTATAGAAATCTAGTACTACAATAACTTCGGGGGTGGCTTTAGGTCTTAATATGACTAGAGTTGAAACCACTTTCAAGTCTCAACTCTTAAGAAAACACAATTGTGAAACTAATAGCAGCAGCATAACTACAAAACAATATTATTATTATTTAGAAGCCATTTCCTTTATAAAAAAAAAATTGACAATAGAATTTTTTTTTTTTTTGCATGTACCTACACATAAAATATATACCTATGATTTACCTACTTTCAGCAACAAAAAGGCAAAAACTACACTTAAAAAAGTACTACAGTTTATCTAGATACAAAAACAAAATAAATTGAATTGGTGTTGAATTTACTACTTTTAAAGGGCATAAGGTTAATGATAGTTTTTAGTATGTTACTGCAGATCGGTTTGGCTATAAATAGAGTCCACAAAATAAAGAATGTGGTACAAATTTTAAAATATGCTCATTATATTCTACTGAAATGAAACGAAAATAACAAATCGCATTTTTAGTCCCATAAAAGAGAAAACATGTTAAGCTTTAGTTTCGACCAAAAAAGTGTACTTGAAACTCCACTCATCCATCTCAACATTTTCGTTTCAAATGAATTTTCCTTAAATGACCATTTTTTTTTCGGCCGTCACAAAACACACTTGTTAGCTTTTTCCTCACGTCATCGCCAACCGCACTTAGTTCAGCACCGTAAAGATCATATAGATCCCTAATACTTATAATTTTGTCCACTTTATTTATCACTTGCTCTTCAACACTACAATCGTAGTCGTTCTTTATATCTTTTTTAAATTTCCTCATTATAGGTGCTAAATTAAAATCTGAGTATATTGTTTCAAATCTACATGTTGTTAAACTTAGCAGATCATTAACGAACAAGCTGAAGGAGTCTAGTGACTACGAACTACTGTACACACAATACCATTTGACAGGTTTTTTTGTAAAAAAAAAAAAAAAATATCTCGATTCTTAAAAAAAAACTAACATGGCGGAATTACCACCATGCGTAGAAATAATTTGATGACTTAGCAATAATAAATAGACGTATGGTATATAATATACATTAAACATAATATATGATTTGTCCAATAACTGGGTTAGTGTGTCATCGGACATAAATCTTGGCATCACAATACTTTACAAGGCTTTATTATTGTTGATTGTTTTATGTATAGGATTTTTTTTTTGTCCACTCGCGTAGTCCAAGTAGGCCCGTACATTGTTTTGCAATTTAAATTTAGGTCAGTTTACCGTCAACTAGTTTAAACGGAGATACTCAAAACAGATCAGTTTTAAAATTATAACAGTAAAACACATCCGGATTAATACGAGTTAATAATTAGCCATTATACATTTAATTTATTAACAAATGCTAGTTATGAAATTAGGTTTTGGTAATGCAATCGTATTATACCTACATTATTGTGTTAATTAATTATTTTACGAACAGCCATCTGGTAAAAAAATGCTATAAAAGCATATATGTATGCAATGTATGAATATATAGAACAACTATTTAAAATTAAATCAATGTTGTACTTATATAATAGCCAAGAATACATTAGCTACTAATTTTCTTTCATTTGAATTACACATAATAATAATAGTTTCTACTCTGCATTTGCCTTAGATGTTATATTTTTTATGAGAAAACATTTTTATGAATTTTTTATAACAAACCCTAATTTTTCCACCCACATTTTATTTTATTGCTTTCAAAAACACCCTCAAATTTCCTCCCGTCCTATATTTAAAAAAAAAAGTCAAAAATTGATGACTCACTCTATTTACTTCCCGTATTGGCGGTATTACAAAGAAAATTTGAAAAAAATATTTTTTGGTATAATGAAATGCATGTAATACACCATATGTTATTGGTACATGTATAATACTTAACGTGCCTAACGTGAACAATAAGTTGTAGTACAAATGTAAAATTAAAACAATACATTACAAGTTTTTGTTTTTATAAGTATCAGTATTAAATACTAATATAATGTGTTAAAAAAACAATATTGTGAATATAGTGAATACATCATACAAACATTTTTTTTTAAAGTATTCGATACCCGAAGAAACATTTAAATAAATACTTTACAACTTTGACTATGTTAAATTTTTCATCAAAAATGTCGATACGTAACGTCCTTTGTAAGGTATTTTATTTTACCGATTTAGATTTAAGAAACGATGCCCCCTCCTCTTTTTGGAGTACCTTTGGATTCGCTACTGTGTCGATTACCTTATTATTGTTTTATTTCCTCCATTTCTTTTTATTTGTTGCCATTTTAAATGTATTCATTCTACATGGCTGTTTTTCTTCTTGATAAATCCCACGTTGATATTATGTTAACATTTTGTTATTTTAAAATACTAATATTATGTATTTGTTTGATATATATATATAAAAGGCCATAAAGTCAACTAATAAAATACAAATTTAGTACAGCCCACATCCAGGGAGTTAAAACGGATCCAAATTTTTCGGAGTTTGGGTTTTGAGCAGAGGTTTTGGATTTTTCGGTGGACAACGGATTTTTTTGTTTCTGGTTTTAAAGTCCAAAAAACCTTTTTTTATTTTTTGCAGCAAAACAGATATTTGGAAGTGATTTTTCCTAAACATCAGAGCTGGTTTAAGGTATAAATAAGTAAATTTCAGCAGTAACCAGAAGTGGGGCTTTAATTTAATAAATTAAACGAATTTTGAGTTAACATAAAAACAACATTTTTCGAAACGAAAGCTTTGACGCTAGCCAACCAAGTTTTGTGTTACATTATTTATCGTCTTGACTGTGGTTTCATATTATTTCTATAATCGGCTAATCTAATTTATGGTAAAGGTTAACCCTTTGACATCAGCTAGATGCTTAAACCAACAGAATATTATGTATAAATTGTTATTTTCTGATACTCTGTCGCAAGAGGAAGGGGGGAGGAAGAGGGAGGGGAGGCTAAACTCTCCACGGCAAATTTTAGAATTAAAACAAAAAAAACCCGGTACTGTAGCCCCTCTAGTTCAATGATAGGCGATAGCTATCGTCTAGTTACGCCTATGGAGTACATATTATATACAAAAAAAAAAATCAATTTTTTATCTAGATTTTGACATGCACGTTTTTTAATAAAACAGCTTTAACTAAATTTATTTTTCGTAAGACTAGTAGTGGTTGAGTGGAGGATAAAGCGGCCGTGTGTAAAGTTGAGCTTACACGTTCAGTTTTTTCCTGTTTTTTTTTTTATTCAGTTCTTATTCTAAATCCATATTTTTGTTTACACACTCGGCACTACGAAAGCTTTGCAGATGAGGCCCCAATACAGCTGGGAGTGTCTCGGCCGGGTTAGCGGTCTTGTGGCTCTGACCAGACCGACCCTGCGGCTCAGGCTCTGACCTGACTGACCTTGCATATAGTTCGTTTACACAGTTTTACTGAATGTGTAACTTGTAAGCCCGCCTTTAGCACTGTCGCAGGTTCGGCTACGTGGTTAGTCTCTCTTTTCTCATAGGCGATCGAATTAGGCCTTAAAATCTACTTCCGGTCAATAAAAGTCATACGCAATAATAATAATAATAATAATAAAGTTTGTAGTTAGTAAGCCTTTGAAAATGTTTAAAATATCCAGATCTTTATTTTTGTACAGGTAAAACTGTCAAATGGAGACATGTTCTTGACAAAAAAAAGCTGCGCTGTATGACTTGAAGAGAAATGTTACATGGGTACCAAATATGGAGTGTTTTTTTCTTATGTTAGTTTATTATTTTAAAAGTTTTAACAAAAACTTGATTGTAGGTACCTTACTCCTCGAGAAATAGGTAGGGTGGCCATAGAGTGAAGGTTCAAATCTTTTTTTTGAAAATGTTTCCGATTTTATTAGGGCTGTCCGGGGTTTTAATATATTTATTCATATATGGTGTTTCATATATCAGTTATTGAATAAAAATAGAGATTTCAACTAGCAGTTCTGGACAGGGAATCGAAACGTTCAAATTTTTCGAGTATTGGAACGGTTTTTTGATTTTCGAACATTGAAACGGTGTGTTTTTTGTTTTGGTTTTAGAGTCTAGGAAGTTTTTAGAAGTCACCTACTCGATTTTGAACCCGTTTTGCTCCAGAGTCCAGATTACGCACATAATGAAATTATGTACTGTTCGTGCCGTTTGCGTTTGGGTTAAAACGGTAAAAACTCTTAATTTTAAAACGCAATTAGATTTTTGCTGCATTCGGTTTTTTTTCGTCGTTTATTTGCTATCAGCTGGAAAAGAGAGAAAAAAAAGAAAAAGTTGCAATCGGTCCTGATTTTTTTATTTTTTTTTTAATCGCAAGTCTTTGCGTTATCGTATAATAATAATAATAATGATATTATACATTTAAAACGAAACAACGATTGTCGGATAATAACGTATTATAACGTTTGACGATAAAGTGATTATATATTTATAATAATAATAATAATATGTACGATTATTATATGCGTTTCTATATAGTATGCATTCGACTTGATGATTATTATTTATAGTAATATTTTTTTTTGCTGGCCTTGTTTTTTTTTTTTTTTTTAAATTAAGTTGTATATATATTTCATCCTCTATAATATAAAATCGTTACAATAAAAAAAAAAAATGATAAAAAAAAAACAGTGTACATACGCACGCATACAAATATTACAACGGCGGCGGCGGCGGCGACAACACGGCGACGGCAAGACCGCAGGCCCGTAGCCTAAATAATTTTTGCAAACTCAGTACAGTGACAAAACGCGCGCGTCGACGGACGACCGCGCGGGGCATACGCGGGCCGGGGCGTCGACGGGGCCGTTCCTCCAATGTCCAGTCCGGTGGGCGGTGACGTCAGCGCGGGCCCTCGCCAATGAGTGAGTGTGCGAGCCGATCGACGCGCGGGGCACGCCGTAGGCTCCGTCGCCGAGCACCACGCCGCCTCCGCCGCGCGCCGCAGCGTTCGCGGCTCGACGGTTCGTCGCGGCTCAATCGCCCTCGTGACGTCCGCGCGACGGTAACCCGGCATTCGACGTACGCCTCGCACCGTCCGTGTCTCGAGTCGCCGTCTTCTTGCTTTTCTTTTTTTTTTTTTTTTCGGTGTAATATTTTTATCAAAAGTGTCGACCGAACGCATTCGACGAGAAAATACACTTTTATAAATCTGATTACAACCGTCGGTCACGCGTTATCACATCTACGATTATCGGTCGCCGCCGTTGTCCGGAGGTTACATCCACCGTGTGTCGGCCGTCGTCGACGGACAAACATGGATTTAATAATAACAGCGACGGCCGCCGAACCGTCTTTGTCTTAGGAGTTAGGACGCCGCCGAGTATATTATTATAGATATAGATAGGTGTAAACCGTTTGGTCGGTTCAAGCGTTCGTCAAGAGTCACACGACAGTGTTGCGCAACCGGCGGCGAGCAGAGCGGATTCCGTTGTATACGATTAACGCACACACAAGTCTCCAGCAGTGTTTATATGAGCTACTTTCCGGGCTCCGGCGATTTGGCCGGCACCACAGCCAACGACTACGATTTCGAAACGCACGTTAAAGACCCAGTGAGTAATATTATTACATTGATTATCCCAAACAACAAAAGCGCCAAGTTTATAGTATTTCAAACTCCCTAGCTTAAGTTGGGTTACCCTAAATTACCACAAAAGCTTACTACTAAAAACATAAAAAGTGATTGACCGTTGACAATTTATCTGCACGTCCTGTAGCGTACGCAAGATCTTATAATGTGGGCGAGGGGGGCAATTGAAATTAGAGACCTTGAAAATAATTAGGACGGAGGACCCCTTTAATGACCATTATTCCTGTTTTATCCACTTTTTTCGATTTGTTAACACGGTAATAATATAGTATATATATATATATATATAGATAATCTACGGTAATATGAAATACTCCAACCTTTGTGATAACGAAATGGACACAACGTATTCCATATGTACATTTGTTGTCGTCTAAAACTTAGTTTCCAAAAATATATACGATGTGGTTTGTTGTATCTGTGTACATACCATAGGTTAGTAATTAGTATATTTCATAATTTGATAAGACATAATATGAGAGAGAACAACTTCTACAGAATAACAAGTGTGAGGTGGACTATCGTCTTACGGGTTGCAACTTGCGTATGCTATATAAACATAGTAATCTAATTAATCTATTTCATCTAAATGATTTATTAAGTCACTAACATTTTACATGGAACTCTACTAATTCTCCTAAGTCCTAATACATCAATAATACAAATTATAGTAAAATAGTGTTTTTAAACCATTATTTTTTTTTTTTACAAAAAGAAACCATGTATGACAACTAAACACACAAATCTATAACTAATAGAAAATAAAAGTACTATAAAAAAGTTGTTTGAAACATCGAACATCGAAATAATTTAACCTACACTAATCCTATGAGTAATTGTTGAATATATATTTTTTATTCATTGTCTTAAGTCCATGGCTCCGATGTCTTGCATCGCTCCCCTTCCTTCGTTAGTTTTACTGGAATGAGAGCTAAATTATATCAGATCAGGCCTGCCAAGTTCAAGCCATCATAAGAGGGCATCTATAATTTTGTTTTATTTCTATTTAAGGATGTTTAAGTAATATCCTATGTTTTTCTTAAAATGTTTATCTTTGGCTGCAGTTTAAGACCAGTGTTGTACAATTTAGTTTTAACCTATTTTCGTTTAAACGTAAGAAGGGGAGAGGTTATTTTCCTTAGAACAATAATCAATTGTTTTAAAACAACTTTTAACTGACTAATGGCCGTTCTTACCAGTTTAGATTACAAATCATGTATGAGTTTAAGAAAATGAGATATGATAGTATTATATAAGCCAATAATAATAATTGGTGAGAACGACCATAATAAAATGCAGAGAATATTTTGAAAGTAAATGAAATTAAAATATTGCGATTTGTAAATAATATAAAATTAAAAGATACTATACCTAGTCCATGGTTAGGTCCATTGGAGACTCTAATGTGAGTTTTCCTTTCAAGTTGTTCATGCCTTATTCATGGTATTCTAATATTATATTTACTCATTGTACATTAGATTGTTAGATTTTTTAAAAAAAAGGTCCATTGTTTTATAGTTCAAATTTCTGTAACACGTGCAAAACTATGAAACCCTTATTTTTCTGTGATAGATGTTAATAACAATATTAAATGAAAATAGCATAAAATGTATCACCGATGATAAATGACAGATGTACCGAGTGTCGCCGGTTTAACAAAAAGGTGCATTATTTGATTACAAGAACTAAAACAATGAAACAATTTTCCTATTTTTAGGTTATATGCTTGAAAATACTTAGTTTTTTAATTATTATTTTTAGTTATCGGTTATCTTTGTAATTGTGGTAGTTTAGAAGGAAACATTTTTAATTTTTTCGATTAAAACTGATAGAAAAATAATCCATATAAGAAACCAAACTAATAAAAAAACACTAAATGATTGTTGTTATTGGTTTTATTTTTAAAATTGTTCCATTACATTTAACAAAAATTGTTTGGGTAATATGAAAACTACCATCGTCTTTTCAAACAGTTTTTTTTTTGGGGAGGGGGCTTGAGATAAATTATTTTTTATTGTCTAGAAGTCTTAATAGTGATTTCAGTGTTTAAGTTGAACCCGTTTCAATAGCGAGGAGAAACGCATTTATACCAAAAGTGTTCAAATATTACCTTTTAGCCCTTATAAAATATTTAGAGGTTTTTATTTTTATTTACTCTAATCAGTGCTTTCTTAGGGTATGGCATCCATGTAATAGGGAAGTCAGCAATTACAGTAATTTTGTAATAGTCTTAGTACAGTATACCTAATATAGCGTTATTTATTGTTGTCATATACATTTACCAAGTGAAACCGCGCATGGAAACCACTTGAATGTTACCAAGCTATGTGCGAGAGACACAAAGATAATTTAGACATGTGTTTAAGTCTTAACATTTTGCCAAAACTAGCTTTGTCTATCTCACATAATAATCATGTGTAATGTTTGATTCGTCATTATTTATTATACATTTTCGTATCACCATATAAAACGGTCCATTAAATTATCAAGTCTATGATTGTTGTACCTATAATAATTTAGTTTACTTGTTGTAAAATTCTATAGGAATGTATAGAACGTTGGTATATATATCAAGAAATATGTAGTAAATTATTGACATCATAATTTATACTTATATATAAGGTATATATATATATGCCTTTTTTTTTTCAAGTTAACTGAACGGTCTATTGTTGGATTGAAAAAAAAAATGTTTTTATCAATACAGTAGAGACCAGAGGGTGATTATGACGACCGCGTTGTCTTTATTATGTTTGTCCAGTGTTCGCGGCTTGGATCATTTCGATTTTGTGTTATTGACAACTCTGGTGTTTTTTTTTTTATTCTTTTTATATGTGATAATAATAGAATCGCTCCGATTAGGATATAGTATTTTTTTTTTTTTTGGAATTCCATGAAAAACCCATTTGATTTTTTTCCCCTTTACGGTTGCTGGCTGTATCCCGTCCGGCTATAACTAGTAATGTTACTGAAGTAAACACAATTTTGGCATTGTAATCGACGTAGTAGGCCTATACGTTTTCCATGGAAAAAAAAAAATCGTAGCCACACAAGTATTATTCCTTTTAGCTGTGACATCACCACATTGTGTCTATTACGAAACGTCCTATATATTCGCGCTACTATACCGGCAGGAGTAATAAAAACAAAATAAAATAAAAAAAAATGTTTCTTCGTTTAACATACTAGTATTATACATAGTACGATATGGTTGACAATTTTTACAAAAAAAATTATTGTCCACGTCCATCGCACGTGCCACGAATATGATATAACCATTCGCCGATTTTTTTTTTTTTTTTTGTCTGACCCATCCAACGCAATTTTATGTGCAATATTCATTTCGATAATGTAAACTTGAAATTAATATAGTAATATTGATACAATAGTCCGTTAGTATCGTTTCTATTAATGAAAATCTACTTAAATGCACGAATTATACGCGAAAATAATAGTGTAATCTGTTATACTTGTTTAATACTCAAACGCTGAATACTAAATGTACGCCATGAGATTTGGCTGTAACTTTTGGCACAATTTACCATACGAACAAAGATGGGTCTTTAAAATTTAATAAAAATGGAGATACGGAATAAAGAGTTGTATTCGACGCTTTAAGAACTATACGTTAGAGGTCAGTAAATTTTACCCATTTTACGAACCTAAAATTAAATATAAGCACTTAGTGTTTGCAGCAAACGTCATATTTAACTTCAGAAAACCCAACGAATTTTAGTTATCAAGACCAGATAAAGTTGCATTATCGGTACACCAAATTAGCTTGTTGGTAAATGGTATGAGCTGTATTAAAGCGTACGTCACTTTTTATGTCGTTCAATATTGTCTTAAAATATACTGTTCAATATTATTCGATTACCTGTTTAATAAAATGTAATATATTTATCGTTCTTGTTATATATTTTTCAAAAGATGTATATATTTTTTTGTCAATGTTTATTTTATGTACAACCTAAATAATGGTCTTAATTAGAATACACGTTTGAACACTCTTCGCCTTTTCAAGTAATCATATTTTTTATGAGTGTCATATAATTATCTAAAATTTGCTACAATGAGATTTAGTTATAGTTTTACTATTAATTATTCTTAATTTCAACAATACTGTACTATACTTATTGTCAATTTTGGGCTTGAAAATAAAATATGCATTTGTATAATATACTTTATCAATAATATTGTTCACAAATTTGCGCACTTGAAGCATTTTTTGAATGCCGTTATTCATTCACAAATTGACATTATTCCTTCTTACTATTGTAATTCTATTCGAATCCAACGCTATAATGTAAATAAAGATATTGCCATATTTTTACCAAACAAGCTTAGTATTCGTATTGACTATTATAAAAATATGCGGTGAATATTGATCAAAATCAGTATGAAGTAAGGTAGGCCAAAATTTGGCTGAATCTCCTATATGCCCAATAAGAGATTCAATATTTTTAGAGTTTATGTAGTTGATAGTGGAAATTGTTTCGTGATAAAAGATACAAAACGGTGAATAGAACTACTGTGAACCATTTTACACGCAAGCACGGTTGCACAGAAGAGGCTTTTAGTCGGGTAATCACATTTTAATTTTATGTTTGTAATACGTTCATAAATCACCGAAAAACACGCTTTAGACTATGATTATACCGATAGATAAGATCTAAAAATCTTGTTGACCCGTTTAATCGTTTAGATAAATTTGACATAAAATTGACTGGTAGTTACTTCCACCCATGTAATACCATTGATTATAAATATTATTACTATTATTATTGGTTATTACTTTGAATTGAAATAGCCTATAAATTATAATAGTATGTAGTATAGTTGTATCTATTACCTAATCTAGTAGAAAGTGCATCCACCAATCCTAGCGCTATGGAGTAGAACTAAATTGATAAATACATGGATAGATATCCGGCATGGACTCGCTATACAGAGTTATCTAAATTTCATATTGCAGTAATTTGTTCAATGAAATAATTCTATAAGGTACATAAGTTTCAATAAAGTCCTTTTTTTATTTAAAAAATATATTTAATAATTCGTTAAAATGATTTGGTAGTTTTAATTTTAAATTTGTTTTAAATAAATTAGCAACTTACAAGTTTTAATTCCTTTTGTTTTATGAAAAGGGATGATCAATGATCCGGAACGATGACGGGGGGGGGAGGGTCGCTCCATAAAAAAATATCGCCTTTTCTCCCCCCTCCCCAGATATTTTGACAGTTCTTATTTTATTTTTGTATTAATTATAAGTTTTCACTTTTGTTTGTTTGTTTTTCAATCAAAACCAAAAGCACAATTATATAAACAATAATTATAATAATATGAAGCCGTTAAGACTGTTATATTAACAAAAAAATTGGCTTTGAAGTATACTTTTGATTTTTAAATGCCTTTCTAGAGCCCTAATAGGAAAAACTATGTATGTATGTAACATGTTGAGATTCAAGCTCTACTGTTTACCTCGGTGTCATGGAGACTGTTCACGCCACCGTCCTATGTCGCCTGTGTAAATTGTTATCATAGTCCATTCAGATTGTTTTCTTCTGTGGTGTATCTTCGAATTACGAATAAAAAAAGGGCAATGGGAAATTTAGATCCCCTCCCTTGTAATATACGCGCCTGGAATGATGTAATGTAAATAATAACAGGCCGTTAATCAATTTTAAATAAACACTTTTTGAGTTAGGTATTACTATTTAAAGTTATAAGTGAGGAAGAATGTGCGGGTAGATATAAACAAAATTTCAATCTACCTTACCACTTAGTGATTTTTTAAATTATTACAAAGTAAAACATTCACATGAAATGTTTCATACTAAAATTCCTAATTACGCGGTTAATAGGTGTACTTAAACATTTTTTTACAGTTAACTACGGTTAATTAGTATGTATTACATTGTATACAATCGACGTTTATAACACCATAAATAGTTAACATTTTTGCTAATTTATAGCCTTTCTTTCGTTGGTTTTTGCTGATATCTATAATAGCTTTATTTTTAAATATTGTTTTAAAATTTACATTTCTTTGATTTTAATTACTCAAATAAAAAATTATTCAGTTACAGTATCGAAGAAACCAACGATGTACGTTGCACAATATTAATTTTTAAAAACCACTAAAGTGTTTAAAGACTATGAGTTATGACCACTTCAGGCGAAATAAGACAGTTAATAGCTGACTAATATTTATGAAGACAATGGTGAAAAGCGTTGGAAACGGACGCTAAAAATGCCTCATTATTGTACTAATGAGAGACTTGAATATTTTTAAAAATTGTATTGACAAAATTTGCAGAAAAATTTGCAAGTGTGGTGGTGTCCTCTTTAGATAAATCCTGATTCCCGTTTGAGAAATAAAGGCACACATTTAATAAGTCACTTGCTATAAAATCAAGGAAAAAGAGGTACTTATATTATGATACATAATTCATACGGTAATGACACAAATACTCCTAAATAAACTGGTGGGCATTAATGCGTAAATAATATTAATTTGGGGATAAAGATGATAGTTAAGTAATTAACTGACTTCATTATTATAGATTTATTCTATTATTGTATTAAGTCTAGCAGTGAAAGAGTTTAAAAATGGTAATCAAAACCTGATATAGTTGAAATCGGTTATAACTTATAATAAAACTGAAGTGAAAAACAAAGTTTTTGTTGTAAGAAAATTTGCTTTCTTAAAAGTCCCTTCGGAAGCCAGAGCCACATTATAGTTTGTTTTTTTACTAGCGTTATTTATTATAAACTAATTATAAGTGATTTCTACTGTAACAAGTAAGTCTCTAACGACAAAAATATATGTATGAAAAAGTATAAGAACGGGGATTTAGATTTTTAAATATATCTATTGGGTCTATATAAAGAAAATGAGCTGATAGTACGTAGGTACATGTCACAATGTCACAAGTGTATATTATATATAAATATGTATGTCTTGTTTGTGGATCTAACCAATTGTATGGCAATTAGCTTGCGTGTAATTAATTGACACCGTGTACTAGATAACATATTTAGACGGATATTTATGCGAAGGTTAAGGTAGACAAATATTTTGATTTCTTCCTGCTTGTTTCGCCGCATTACTACAACAAAACTTAAGTAAATATTTATGTTTATAAAATATTGCAAATATATCTAATTGTAATGGATTAATTTTTAAATCTTTGCCATTCGGTATTAGGTACCTACTTGGTTTTCTACATTTTTATTCTCACTAAACTATACAATGTTGCAACACAATAATGCATGTTTTTTATAATTAGATATTTTATAATGTACCTACTTACTGTGTTATACATTTAGTTCAATCAGGGGAAATTGAAATTTGTCACTTCCTGTCGCCGACTACCTTTTAAATAGTAATGGTGATATTTTATAATTTTACTATTATTATTCTTGCACGAAATATGCCGTTCCTGGGCTTACTTGAATTTTGTTATTATAGATCTAGATCTCGATGGCTAAAACGCCAATATGTCATAGCTACCCTAGCTTTGGTCGGAAATAGGGTTACGACGAAGTTCTAAATTTCATATAAAATTCTAGTTTTTCAACCAATTTTCGTATAATAATTTAACTGCTTTCAAAAAGTTATTATTATTTTTTTTTTTGGTTTACGACAGATGGCCTTTTTTACATTGGATACTGTAAAATAAAAATAAAGGTTTTTATAATTTTCATGTGTACTGCGCAGTTAGATTTACAAATGCGTTCATTTAAAACCATCATCGCAGTAAGTAGTCAACGTTGAGTCGTTCAACCAGGAAAACGAAGTTTATTATTCTTTTAAACGGAGACGTGTAAACAATTCTGAAGGCATGTATGAATTATAAAAAGAAAAAAAAAATTACAAAAGTAAACAATTATAGGTTTGCGCTAGTCTCTGCGGTTGTACGTATTTAAAAACAATATTGTTTCGATTATGATTATTTTATCACTTATCCCTTAGATCAACATGACGCGAATGACTCGGCTTGGAACAATTGCTTTCCATAAATTGTTAACCAGTAATGTGGTTGGCAGTTTGATTTTTTACTTTTTAAGCGAATCGTTCCCAGTTGTGTATGTTAATAATAATTATACAGCAAAATAAACTGGTATCAAAACAATATTTTGTATATTATTGTACAATGTAAACATTTAGCTAACCTTTTGTTTCGTTTTTTATATATATTCTCATATTAGGATAATGGTTGTTTAGTATTGTAAAATAAATGGCGGGAGGGTGTAAATTTAATTCTACAATAAAGGGGTTCGATCATTACTGACGATTCTGTTTTTTTATATTGTAATTTTCTGTCGAAATGGTCTGACAAATGCCTTGACACCAATTTTGATTATTTAGTTTACTTAACGATCGTCCGTCGTCGATTCCATTAAAACTGTGTTGATTCGAAATTCACCGTTATGTAAATACTATTAAAATAAAATGTACCATTTTATTTTCTAGAACAACATCAAAAACGAAACCGGATACCTTCAAAATGTCCAAGACGATTGTTTTTACGCCGAACAAAATAGTTCAATGGGAGGTGAGTTAAACGCAACAATATATTTTGACTCGTTTTGGAGAAAAATAAAGATTTGATAGGATGAAGTTGTTAAAGTTAAAGTAATTTTGCGATGAATGATTTTATTTTTGTGTACCATATAATATTTCGACAAGAGTAAATTTTCCTAACTCAACAGACCGTGTTAATTTATGAATAAACAAAAAAAGACACAGTTAGAGCCCATAGGTATCACACAGTTGCAACCAAATGTAATTTTTTTTTTACATTACTACAAATTGAAAGATAAATCTGACGTCGTATAAATCTATATCAAATTTGCATATTGCACTTTCCCTCACCCATAGCTTTTGATGCAACACATTTTTTACTCAGCGACGCAAAATCCTGATTTATAATATTTCAATAATTCTCATAATCTCTAAATCCTTTTAAACGAAACATTGAATATGTAATGTTTTAAGTTAAAAAATCGTGTTTTAAAACATTTGGGCTTGGAATTATCAAATTCGGATTTTGCCCAATTAAAGAGCTATATTCAGCTGATTCGAAAGAGTTGTCTCAACCGGGCTTTGTTTCTTAATAGCTGTTAAGGATTATGAATGTTAAAATGTGAGTAGCCTCGTTGGCTTATTGAAATTTGTTTAAGTGAAAATAAAAATACTATTGTTCGTCCAAATCGTGTGCATTGTTCGCCTCACTAAGTTTCTTTACTATAGGTACCTCTACCTAGTTGGTGGTTTTTATTTTTTCATGTAAACGTGAGTAACTCTTTAGTATATGGGTGTGTGCGGTTAAAAAAAAGTTGTATTTTATTAATTTTTATTATGATTATTTTTATTTTTTGTATAGCGACTTAAAATAATATTATATCACGGGCCAGAGTGGTGGCCCAGAAACCGCGGTTTCGTCACGTTTCAACCGTAACTTAGATGGGAAGGGGTATCGGTAGTCATAAGGACGGGTGACGATGGAGGCGTACATAACGAGGACCGTTTTTATGATCTGTTAAACGCCTCGGCCAGTTTCCCCGAACCCGGTGGACACGTCGCCAAACAAAAGTCAAAACCAGACATGGGGACATAATATCATTTCCTTGAACACCGTAATATTTTAGTATTTCAGAAGGCCAATGCTTTATTTGCTGTGTTATATAATATAATATATTATTGTCCATAATAATTACATTTGAAATAGAATAATAATAAGGAAAACAATGACAATTTACTACTTCGGCTTGCACAAAATGTGGCCAGTAGGCTCGATGTTAAAATATCTAGGTAGCTCACACAGATTCGAAGAGGATATCCCTTGGACCTTCTCGCCTTTGCTATAAGCCGTTGTTTAGCTTTATTTATTTATCAAATATTATGGCTGGTTATAAAGAGAAGAAGTTAGTCAACAATGAGCCTGAGACAAGAATACCGAAAATGTGTCAAGTCACTAATAGGGTAGCATTATCCTTTAATTTTTTTTTTTTTTTAAGAAACACTTTACATTTAACGCGTGTTTGTTGCTTTTAATGAGAAGGGTCTAGAGGTCCTAGCTCCTACCTAAATTTAAAATGTATATATTTTGTTATTCAAGCGTACAATTGAATTTTTAGCGACAATTTAATGTGGCAAAAATAAAAACGTGTCTTGCAAAAATATGTTCTCAAATAAAAACAGAGTTTGAATATTTTTACGAATGATGTATATATATATTGTATTCCTTATACATCTGTTACCTAATATTTATTAAAAGTGAATTGTTGTTTTTTTCGAATTTTTTGGAGGTGGGGGAAAATGGGTAGTTATCGTTTTGAAGTTAAGAAGTATAAATTGATAAAATTAACAAATTTACTTTGAACTTGGCGCGGTAAATTTTATATTTATACTAACTATTACATTTTGATAAACCATTTCTATCTCAATGTGTTGAAAATGTATAACTGAAAGTATAAAAATAATATTATAGTGATACGGTAATTTATCGTTGATAACGGACATAAAATTGGGAACTTACAATGAGTAAAAATTGCGCCAATGTTTTTTTTTTTAAAGTATATAGTATTTATGTTAAATATTTCAAATTCGAGACATAAATGAAATTGAGTAAATTTGTTGTGTTTATTTTACTACACGGAATACCGTAGTCAAACTCGTAAACAGACATTTTAGTTTTTCGAAATAAAAAAATGTATTTTGAAGTATTTTCGAAATTGTGCGTAAATACTTGCGGGTTTGGTCTAAATACTTGGTATTTTGTTGTTCGTATTTTTTACAGTTCGATTAAGGTTCGAAAAGTTAAGCATTTTGCCCATCTCTGAGTATAACAATATTTGAGTGCGTATATACAAGTAACGCATGCCTTAATAGTGCAAATATAAATTTATTAATTTTTTTTTTTTTTTTTTTTATTATAATATAAATCTATATGCAAACACACGTGACCCAGTACATACATTTACACTTCCATCGAGTCGTTTTTAGTATTGAGCAAATAGTCTGGAAATTTTATGACGCTAAATCGAGCTCCAAACCTGTTATTGTTTAATTTTATAGTTTTACGGTAGCTTATTGTCTTATTCTCTTTGCAATAAATAAGTCGCATGTCAAATAGGTAGTATTAGGTTGTTGTGTGGTACACGGTAAGAAAAAATATATTTTTTTTTTTTTACAAGATGCAATATCTCACTCGTGTACTAAACGACGTGTAGTACACACGCCCAAGTGTCAATAAAAGCGCATATTATAACGATTCAGAAATCCAGTGGTTAAGTATATACTTAAACGTTTGTATATATTGTGCAACATTATTGTTTTACTATACCTAAGTGTCACTTCCCTTTTAAAATTTTCGAATGTCGATCCAAATGTATTATTATTATTAGTATGTATTTTTATTTTCACCGGCTTTTGATTAGAACATTTTTCACGGGCAAATGTACATTTACAGATATTATGTAATTAACGAAAACAATGTATTTATTGTGTTCTCATTATTTATGGTTTTGGTCTAGGTGACGACACCGACATAAACGCCAACAATACAAACGAAGACAAGCGGGCTACTTACTTCCAAGATTCTCATCATATTTCTATGCACGAGCCGTCTACCACCGAACTGGTGCCGTTGTCCATCTATCCTTCGGAAAACGACCTACAGTATGTGGAAATAATTGTCATTAATTTATCTAATGATAGTATATAAAATATTAAACCAAAATAAACAGTTTTTCGATTCGTAAACAATTTAAAAAAAAAAAACATTTACTCTAAGTTTGTGGTCAATAGAGCTAGTATCTACTACTATTTTGTCCGGAATTAGGCACATAATGATTTTTATATTAAAACAAAGAGATAAATATAAATATCAGGTGCAGGTTAAACATTCAACACTCTAGTTAATCAATCTTTAAAAGGTACCGTGATGTAAAAATTAATCAATGGATAATTTTAGTTCCTATGTTTAGAAGTCATTTGTCCAAGCTTAGCTTTTATTGTTTCATAGAATAAGTCTACAAAGTTTGAATTCAATAGGACAATTTTTTTTGAGATATCAACGTTATTTATTCAAAAGACCTCCTAAAGAAATATGCCTCTTTTAAAATGGATTATCAAATTTTGAAAATAAATTCAAGCATTCCGTATGAAATTCCAAATGGCTTCACGGTTCGGATTAAGGCATCGAACACTTTTGCGCTTTCATTTGTAGTAATCATTCAGTCTTCAGAATTAATAGTGACTATTCTTAGGTATGTCTGTGCAATGTAGTGTCTCCTAGTCCATCTAAGTAGTCTCTCCATATTTTTCTTAAGAGTAAAAAAAAAAAAGAATTTCCTTTCAGAAAAAAAATGTGTAAAAGTTGTATACTATGACGGACTAGCTTTCGGTTAGTATCAAGGTTTATATTAACCGCCCGCGAAACCTGGTCATTGTACTTTGTACTGTACTTTGCTGCTAATCACAACTCTTCGTTATAAACATTATTCTTTTTTATTATCATACTTTTTCAATACCCGTGCATAGAATCCACCGGTGTACTTATGGGGTAGTTCGGTGAGCCCGTTGTGCTTTCGACCTGGCTATTTGCGCGATAAGTACGACACGGGCATCGCGATCGTGATCTAACCTGCGCCGCGGTATAGGATTTATCATTTAGGTGTAATGACTAAAAAATGTTTTTTTTCGTTTCGGTTTAGAAATAATGGAATCGTGCATTCCGGCGATGTCAGTAGCAACACGGTCACGTCTTTGGGGTCTCCTGAGGAACGGTCGCCCACGTCCACTGACCAACAGCAACCGCCGCCACAGCAGCAGCAGCAGCAGCAGCCCAGCGCGACCACCTTGCCTAACAAGCCGCCCTACTCGTATGTCGCCCTCATTTCCATGGCCATTGAACATTCGCCGTACAAACGCGTTACGCTGTCCGAGATTTACAAGTACATCACGGCCAAGTTTCCGTACTACGAAAAGAACAAAAAAGGATGGCAGAATTCCATAAGGCACAATCTGTCGTTAAACGAGTGCTTTGTGAAAATACCCAGAGACGGCGGTGGCGACAGGAAGGGCAACTTTTGGACGTTGGGTGTGTATTGTTTGCTTTTTTTTATTGGTGGTGATCAATTGTGAACTTCACTACCTAACCGGTATACCTATGTAAGGCACGACTAGAATAGCCTAGGCCTAATTGCGCCCCTGTTCCTTGGAACAAACTGCACACGAACACTTTGTTGTTACTGTAATTACCGCTATTTGAAACGTGTCCTTTTTCTAAAGTACAATTATTATTTGTAAGAAGACGGTGTTGTTGACACAAGTATGATATATATATATATATATATATATATATATATATTCAGTAACGTTACTAATTTTCTCAGAGGGAAAAGGGCAGTTTAAGGCTGGATACGATTAGGGTTAATTGTTCTAATCGTTTGTTGTCATTGTTATACTACTAAGTAAATCAACAACACAATGAAAATATTTTTCTGTCAATTGTTGATTTACACTCACATAGCAACCTAGATATTTACTACGGTCAAAGTGATGTAATTTTCCCCTTTTTATTATTTGGTTTTTCCTTAATAAAAAAATTGTACTCTGTATCTACTTCAGACCTTAAGTTCTAAAACGTCGATATAAAAAAATGAAAAAGGCTTTCCCCCATCTAGGAGAAGGGGTTATATATTTTTTTGGTTAGTTATTTTTTATCGGTAGTACTATGTATCTTAAAAATATTCCATAAAAATTTGGAACTAATTTGATTATTTCTAAAAAAGAATTGCTCCGCATCGGATCTAAAAATAATTTTCAAAGATTAAAAATAATGTTTCAATTAATCGTTATTATTTATTATTAATTATTTAATACAAAAAATTGTGTAAACGATGGTAATAAGTATAAAGAAAGGTAGGTAGCCTACATAATATGGGATTGACAGCAATAGGACAAATTTTAAACAGACCATTATTGTTATAAGACGGGATTTTTTCGTCATTTCTATACATACATACATCATTTTTTATAGTGGACTGATTATAAAATATGTAAATCGTTATTATTATTATTTTGTTTAAAACGAACAAAATAATATGTAACTCTTTTATTTTCTCTTTGTTGTTGCTCCACGAAACGGGCGACAGCTGACAGATGGCTTGTAAAAATAATTTGCTGTCTCAAACTAAAGTATATTCAAAAATTATGATAAAGATTTTTACGCGTGCGTTGTGCTTAGCTCACCAAAACACGATATCCATTACGTTTCAATAATTCAATTATGCTTTATTTATTTTATTAGGCCTAATATTATAAATTCAGGGGAAAAATCCCACCGCTCGCTATTCGTAAGCACTTTTTATTATTACTATTCGACCATTGGTAATGATATATTGTATTGAAATTTCACTGCTCGTCGACTATTAACTAATAACTAGAGTGTATAAATAATATAACATTTAATAGATCAAATTTAACGTGGGCATAGACAACAAAAAGTATCCAGCAGCATCTAACAGTAGATTCATTTTTTGGTTAACTATATAATTTAAACAAATACAAATTTGATTTAGTCATAATCACCCAATTGACTAACTAAAATACAAACATGTTTTAAACATTTAATAATATTTTTTAGTTAACTATTTTTTAAAAACAATTTTTTTATAATTAATGTCCACTATAATAATAATTATTTAAATTTTGTAAAAATAACAAATTGAAAGAGAAAAAACCCATTGGGATGGATGGGTCAAAGGTCTTGGGGAATTAATTTAACTGAAATATCATAAAATATCTTTCAAATGAACGCTTTGATACGAAGCTGCTAAGTTAAAGGTAAATCATTTTTAGATAATACTATTAGATTAGGCAATGTTAATAATCAATTTATTAAATTTTTTTGCAAAATTTCGAAAATAAAACTGTCTTACATTAAATTTATTACCCTGTACACAATACACAATATATATATTATACATTGTGAAAAATACATTTAACGTATTCTATATTAAAAACCGCAATTGGTAAATATGAATAGGCAATAATTGTATAAGAATTATTGTATTTGTAATTATTTTAGTTTTAGTTTTTTTTCTTTGGGTTTCCCTTAATATGTCCCTTGAGGTCTACTAACCTTCCACTAATTAATGAGTAAATCTGTCTCGATTTTGACAGGGAAAGGATAAAATATTTCTATTCAAGCTGTTTACTGTAAATATCGCTGGTCGACACAAAAATTAAAATGCATCATTATAAAAACCATAGCTGGTCAGCTCCGCATTGAAGTTAAAAAGCTAAAACTGGTCTTTGTTTCATTTGTATTCTGCTCTCTCGTTGCGTTGTTTATTATAGAGTTTGTTTATGTAATATTTTTTTCATTATCTAAAGAATGTTTATATTTCACATCAGAGGACAAACAACAAGGAACAAACCGAGCTAATCAATCCCTTTATTTTTTTTTTATCTGTGGCTATTCTTTATTTTTTGTTTTGTTTTTTTTTGGCTATACTATGGGCGCCCACGTACGTTCAATCTTGAACGATTTACGGGACATCTTTATCTTTATTAACCATTAATATTATTATCGGTGGCGGTTTTTTTTTTATAATTGTACGATTTTACTATTTTCGTTTTCAAGATCCCAAGTACGACAACATGTTCGAAAATGGAAACTACAGACGGCGGCGAAGGATGAAAAGGCCTTACAGGACAACGCCGTACAGTAGACCCGGTTCATATTTCGGACCGGATTACAGCAGAGTTTTGGGACCTCATCCGACCAATTTTGGTTCCAACCCCAATATGGCACCAAGATACGACCACAGGTATAATAATATACAGATAATAGTCTAAAAACAACAGTGGGGTCAGTGGTGTTGAGCCAGTATTTTTTTGGAGGGAGGTTAAGATATTATAGTTAATACAATAAAAAAATTAACTAAACACGATTATACTTGAGAGCAATTTGTTTACATTTCACAAATATTAAATTTAGCTAACTTGACCTAACCTCGTCTAGTTTTTTTTAAATCGTTTTTAATTTATAGCATTTATTATAAATTTAACAGCTCAACAATTACACAGATTAAAGATAGTATGTACAAACTAAAATAATAATGGAAAAAATATATATATATACAAAAATTACACATTGTTAAAATAGCTTTACTTACAATTAGATATGAAACCCAGCATCAAGGATGAATTTGAGGATGGATTGGATGATAGGACCAGAGCGAGAACCTTCGTCTAGTTAAAAAAAAAATATTGTAATTGACCATAAAAAAATTGTCAACAACTAAATGCTCAACAATTTTCTAATCAAATATACACATTGTTTTTTTCAATATGGAATTCATAATGACCGTTTTTAGGTACTAAAATGTTGTAATCTTTGTTTATTTCGCACTCAGGCTCTTTTATCCGTAAAAGGCAAAAATTGTACAAATATAAATACCAGTTTTTTCCAATAGTTTTAAGTATAAATGAAAAACTATCCTGTTGCTTTGTACAGCTCGTGTACTACGCTGTTTCGGTGATCATCGTAGGCTCAACCTAACATAACCTATTTAACTTGGCTGTGTTTTTTTGTCCAAAAACGTTTACACAATTTTTTTAATTTGTTTATATATACTTATAGTAATAGTTGGCCAATATCGCCGTATTCGCCAGTTCCACAAACGCATCAGCTGCATTTCCCACTAACGTCTCAGGTAATGTAAACTTTACACTTTGTTAACATAATATACTATATTGAAAATTATCTTTTGCCCAAGATGAATATAAAAGCGTTGTTTTGGATCCAAACAAAACCGGATTAAATGTGTTTGTTAATGTAAATACATATGCAATTTTTAAGTTGAAATCGTATATTGTTTGGATCCGCTCTATGTTCCAAAATTTTTGTTTTATTCGAATTTCAACGTTTTTTTTTTCTTCTGTTTAACAGTTGCAGCCGGTGCAGTCAGTTCAGATCTCATCCATGAACCACCCCAACTACAACCACCACTTACCAACGACAATAGGTTAGTACTTGTTGACAATATAAACCCCAACTGCGGTTTGGACGTTAGGCAGCAGAGGCGGCGATAAATAACTAGTTCATACTTAGCTGTGTGTGTGTGTAATTTGATTTTTTTTTTCCTTTGCGTTTTTACTCGCTTACTTTCGATTTTACACAGCGATTGCCACACTCGGGTTATTAGTACATCGGAAAACGCCAAATCGACAATTATTTATTAAATAACGGTCTCTGATTTTGGCGAAATCCACGAACGCTCGATGGGAGTTCTAAAAAAAAAAAAATTTGACCTAGATCGTCGGTTGACATTTTATTTTGCTGCTTACTTTGTCAATTTCGTACACGCTTGTACGTACACAAAAATAATTACCAAATTATTTCCAACCCAATTTATTTCAAAGCAAATTCACACTACTCTGGCATCCTATACTTTTTCTATAATATAATTTATCAGCTGGGTCGAATAATTAAAATAATCGGGGGGCAGCAATAACAATAGTTTTAGAACTTTTATTGGAAAGTTAAAATATAGTTTTATAGTGTGAAAAAAGTAGATTTTGGCGAAAAATTGCCTATACTTTACTCCTTAATAAATTAGGTAGCGTCCTGTTAATTAAAAAAAAAAAAATGAATACCTTTTTTTTGGCTTCGAATTGCACCTGAAATTTACTGTTAACATTTTTTACACTTTTTCGTGTAATTCGCATGATTTATTTTTTATTATTAACGATAAAATTACAAATAGGTGCAACTATATCTTCATCTTTTTTTTTATAACTCCACAGCTCTGCGATAGAAACTGTATATCTATACACTTATCTTAGTTAGGACTAGTATAAAATGTTAATTGGTAAATATTATCGATTCTTATTTATTTGTTTTAAAACTATAAATTATCTTTCTCTCCAACTAGATGACCAAAAAAAGAATGACCAATATACCTTGAAATACATTTAGAAAGAATTTAATACCGATTTAATGAAATAGTACAAAATGTATTTCAACAGATATTTCGAAATACTTTAACTATAAAAATTCTATTTCAACATTTTTTTTTTAATTTCCATGCAAATAAAAAGTCAAATAACACTTAAGAATAAAAACTTTTTTATGGACAAACCAAATAACTATTTTAAATACATTTCTATTTAAATAAATTTAATAACAAAAAAAAAAAAACAATTGTTTAAGTTAATTTTTAATTATTACTCTAAATAAAAATACTAATTTTAAAAGAAAAATATTTTAATATAAAAGTTAAAATACTAAAATAAAATAAATAGGCATTACATTAAACAAATATTTAATATAACAAGTTATTTGAAACAATAAAAAATGTGTTTTTCCTATTTAAGTAAGACTATTACTCGAAGTTAAAGCTAGGCATTTTTTATTTGAATAACAAATAATTATTTGAAAAAATTAGTAATGAATTGACTTTTTTTTTATTTAGCTCATCAATTTATTTTTTTTTTTAATAGATATTTTAGCATAGGGATCAAATATATTTGTATTTGAAAATCCTTTTTATTTGCCATTTCAAATAACCTGTTGTTTAAAATAAATATTCATTTGAATTTTTATTACAATTTTTTTTTTTATACAAGATTGTTTAAGAATTAAAATTGAAAATGGTTTTGTTTCATTTTCAATTCAATATTTTTAGGTTCATTCAAATGAAAATGTATTTGAATTTATTATTTGAATAGTTGTTGAAATAAAAATAAAACATAATTTTTTACTTTCATTTTATATTTAAATACATTTTTTAAGAATATACTTTTGGAGTTTTTTTAAAAATGATAAAACAAGCTCCTCCAGGTTTGTCATCTATATGTGAATTAACGTAACAAAGATAAAAATCATATTTTTAATATTTGTTTCCAACACTTAAAACACTAATTATTACCTTTTCGTTAATTAAAATTCAGCAATATAATCTGTATATCTGTGTTATCTGCTATATGTAGGGTATCTTTTTTTTTTTTGATAGTATTACCTACCTAAAAAATATAACCTATTTATCATTTTGTATAATAAGATACTCGTATAAGATTTCTTTAACTAAACATGTATTTCAGTTAGCACATTTCAAAAACAATTTTATGATGCTTGGCACTTTGAATTTGGGTAAATATAACTAATTTTGTTTTGTTTTTGTTTAGCGAACCCGAGTATGCCGTTTGGCGGTTCGTATCCGCAGTGTCAGAGGAGGCCCCAACAAGAAGTCCTACCAGACACTACACTTCAATACCCTTATTGGGCTTCATCCACTTCTTCGCCAGACCACTTAATATCTGGTAAGAGTCTTTGACACTTGAATTTATTATATTATAGTCTTACTCGACTCTAATATTGTGATTGACGACTCGTATGGCGCCAGCAAAAGAGGACTAATAGCTGTTGTTCTGATTTTTTATTACAGTGAAAGAAGAACATCTCAATCTCATCGAAAAAGCACAAGACACTTTGAACCTCGATCATTTTGAAGTTGAAAATCCGCAAAACGTCGACTTCGAAGTGACGGACTCGAGACAAAAATGTTATTTGTGAAACCGTCGTTTGAAGACCATAACATAATAATATATATTTATTTAGAGTTCCAATTAATTTTTTTTTTTTTTTTTAAAACTCATCATACAACTATAAATTACAATATACCTATAGGTGATAATTAAATTGGTCGATAAACGTGAAGTTGTTTTATGTTTAAAAAAAATATGATATAATAATATAAATCTTATTTATATAAATATATATATATATATATGTATGCCGATAATATAGACAAATTATCATTTATTATTTAATTGTGTGTTTCACGTAACTCGGGGGAATCGCAGAGGCAGGCTAACAAGTATCGGTATAGCCTATATTCAATAAGTATAATTTATTTATCAAACGTTTTTCTAAAGGTTTTTTTTTTTTTTTTATATAATTTGTGTCAGGACCGGACTAGATTTTTTTATTTTATTTTGTTACAACAGTACTCATGTAGGAATTATATACTGATTTAATTTGATTATAATACGCTTTAAGCACATGTACGCATTTGTCAACGCATCGAGATACGCATTACATATTTGTACCTAACTTAGGACATTTTTATTTTGAAGAAAAAAAATGTACTTAGTGACTTGATTACAATTTAGTTAGTTTTTGCACGTGTACTTGAATGTATGATTGATTTTTACTTAAACATCTTTAAACGTTTATAAAACAAAATTTGGTTACTTAAAAAAAGTAGACAAACAATATGATGTCAAAATATTAATTAACCAAATTTGTGTCTTCCTATACAAATTATGTATGTAAATTAATAAATATTAATGTAATATATATCTATTTACTCGTGTTCTTACCTTAAATAGAATTTTAGAGTTTTTCAAAAGTACAAACCGGTGTAAAAAATCTGTATGAAATACCTATATTGGATAATTTAAGTCTGCCTCTGAACTAAAAAAAAATATATTTTATGTGTACCAATTTTATATTTTTGTATAATACATTAAGCTTTATTAACATCTATTTATATTTATACATAGCAGTAGTATATACTATAAGGTAAATATATTCTATAAATAAAAATAATATTATACTTTTATGTGATTTTTAATATGTTATTTAATTAATTAAATAAACAAACTTATTTATTTGTAATATTATTATGCATTGTTGAAATCTGTGTGTTGTTCATTTCTTGTTTATTGCATTATTATTATATTTAGCAAAATCAATTCCGAACAGTGGTTTCGTATTTATCGAAGGCATAAAATGTTGAATATTTATTTAAATAGATCTTGTTGCTTTTGAAAACATTAACAGAGTACACCGTTGGTCCCATGGTATTTTAAAAAATGTTATCTTAACGTTTTGGTTTAAAAAATTGTGTTTCTACTTTATGAAACTATTGATTTAAAATACAATTTATTTTTAGTTTGTAATTTTTAAAAAAAAGAACTTACAGATAATTTTCATTTTTTTTTTTTAGAAGAAGAAGAAATACTCTATTTTTTTATAAGAATCGGAATAATTATTTATTGGCAAAATCTGAGTAGAAGAAGTTCAATTGGAATACAATCTGTTGTGGAACACAAATATTAAAGTTGTACCCCATCTATGTCATTTGTTAGGTGACAAATTATTAAATATTATAACAATATTTTTATGTTGTCATAAAAAGATAAAAAAAATTGTACTTGTATTTAAATTGTATATTTTTAGAAACATCATAAAATATTTACAATAAAGATAAACGCCCAGCTAATGTTCTTAAGAAAATCTTACAAAATACAATATAATAAACGAAGTAATCAAATAAGTATTTAATGTAAAATAGATGCATATTAAGTGCTTAATGTTTATCGTGCCGTGTGAACACATGGAATTAACAAGACTAGTAGTTTAATTTAATTGCAATATATTTTGAAACTACAACAAAATTGATCGAATCGTGTGTTAACATATTATAATATTATATGGAGGGAAATAGTACGATCAGTTTGATGGTGTTTTGAATGAACTCTTACACTGAACTATAACAATAAATAACAATTTTACATACTATCATAGCTATTGTTTCTGTTCTCATGGAAATAATACGTTCAAACAAACTTATGGAATGAATAGGCAACACAATAAGGTATTTAATAGTTTAGTAATTAATAATAAAAAATAATACACTAAATATAAAACAAATATAATAAAAAATAAATATTTATATTTATAAATATATGCTATTAAATTTGATAATCCAAAACAATGATATCACTAGATAGGTTTCTTTTATGTTTAATAACCATAATGGTTTAATACCATATTTACTCAAAATCATCATCGTCTTCATCGGAAAGCTCTGCATCAAGATTCACGCCCTGAAAATATATTAAAAAAATATTTAATTATTATATTCAATTTTATTATTAAGTAAATGTGTGAAGGGGTGGTTTTTTTTTTTACAAGGTCTATTAAGGGTCATCACAGTTTCTTAATGCATTCGAGTTTTTTTTTTAATAAACAAAAAATAATATTTTTATTAATCAATTAGTAATTTATCACAAATTTATTCTACTGTTTACAACAAATTACTTGTTGAAAATAATTATTTAATGACAAATAATGAATACTAGTTTGTTTTTATTTATTATTTGTTTCAAAGATTTTCACTGTTCGAACAACGCTCACTGTCTGACATTAAAAACAACAATGTGAATTCGATTACTTACCGTCGACTCGATATCGTCTAAATTCATGTTTTCCAATTCTGCTTCGAGTTCTTTATCGACGTCTTCAAAATCATCATCTACTTTGGAGGGGATTAGCGGCGTGGGCAAGATCAGGTCTTCGTGTTTTTTTTCAACGGCTAAAAATAATTATATATTTATGTTTGAGTTTCAGACATAGTTTATATTTTTTTTATATTTAATTCAAAATAAATACATACGAGGTGCACTGAAAACTTCGGCTTTTATTTCACTTGTATGGTCGTCTATGTTAAACAACGATTGTTCCGTGCCGGAAGTTTTCATTTCCTCCAGACAGTTTCTTTCGTGATTTAACTGAGAGCAAAAACAGCGACAATCAATATGTAATTACCAAGTCTATAATATTACCATGCTGTCAGGTTACACTTACCGGAGTAGTAGCGTACGCTTTTGCCGGTAACTGTTTTCTCCTTTCGGCTTGTAAATACGCTTCAGTTTTTAGTGATTCTTCGTAATTAGGAAACAAGTTTTCATACTCGTCGGGATTGGCTAAAGACTCGCTGGCTTTGACGTTGGTTTTGCTGAGCGATTCTTTCCACAAACCGACCACGTGAGACATTTTGCTGGGCATATACGATCGAGCAAAGAATGCCGCTTCGGGAAGTCGATTGGTGTCGATTAATAGCTGTAGGCATTTATCTAGGTCACCCAAAAGTAGGTACGATAAGAACGATATATTGTTTTTGCCGTTTGCACTTGTGCTCTCGGCCAATTTTGTCACCATTTCGCTGTTGCCTGCAAAATAGAATAGATTTTTACTTATAAGATTGAAAACTTCGGCACTATTCCAGAACTTACCAGAAGAAGTGGCCAACAAAAGTAGGCCGCCGTAGTCTTGGGCTTGATGTAAACATTCTTGTGCTAACTCCAAGTCGGATTGCGCCGTAGCCAATTCAGATAGTTGTCTCCATTTTTGAGGACTCGAAGCTTCTTTCGCTAATGCATAAGCTTTGGCCAAGTCTTGTAGTTGAATAGCTAGTTCAAATTTGTGTTCAACATCAGTTGATACGACTAACGCTTGCTTTTTGTAACCCTGAAAATTAAAAATAAATAACAACAGTGTTTATTAAGGCTTGATAAAAAAAGTTATTTTTTTTAAAATTTATATTTCTCGTTTACTTGTTTTTCTAAGAAATGGGCCACTCTTGTCTTGTATTGAGACGGCACCGATGGTAGAATACGATCGGCTATTTCAAAGTCTTTTCGCATGACCGCCGTTTGGTATTCCAGCACGGACACTAGTAGGCTATAAGAAACGATGTTGAGTTCTTTGTCGCCTAAATAAAGACGATTTTCTTTGGCTACGTATCCCAAGAGATACATTGTACGATCGAGATGAGATACAGTGACAATTTCGCCGCCCACGTAATAATTGATTCGGTTCACTCCGTTTGTGTAAATGAAACAATCTCCGACCCACAAACCAGTCTTAACGACTTCTTGTACTTCTCCCAATACCTGCAATAATAAATTAAGTCAATAGATAACATTTTGTCTGCACAATGCCGTGCGGTCAATATAGACAATTACTTCAAAAGCGTCTTCCAGACCATCAGGACTAGCACTCTCGAAATTGGACGCCCTGGCGGTACTAAGTACGTTCACATCAAAACGGAGAATGAAATATGCTTCATCAGTGGCCAGGCAAACTAGTTCACCAGACTCCGACCAGAAAACGTGTTTCGGCTGTGTTTCAATTCGCCTCACTAAGTTGCCGTTTTCCCAATCGTACAATGCCAGGCCAGTAACAGATTTCACGCCAAGCAAATAACCACCAAATATGCCGTCAGCTCCGCCTTCGGGCTTAAATGATTTCCTTTCTTTAAAGTTTTTAAACACTTTGATTGTCGACGAATTTTCTCTAATCGCATATTCAGAATCCGAAGACCATACAAAGTCTTGAGCTGACCCAAAAGCTTTGTTACGCAAGGCCATGGACGTGTATATGATGTACTCTCCGTCGCCGCACACCACCAAAAATCGACCATTCGGATTATGAGATATAGACTGCGGGTAGATCTCGCAACTTCCCATGTCTTTCACTTGAATGGGCAAACGTTCGCCGTCCTTGATTTCCGTTCCTTCTGTTTGCATCATTGCCTTGAGGTTGGCTTGTTGGATTTCACTGTGTCGGGCCCAAACAATTTTACCGCCATGAACATCCATCGACATGGCAGGTTCTTCTCGACCTACTTTCACCATTATACTGCCCTCGTCGTACCCTAACGCCACATTATTTGAACCGCGTAAGCAGCAAATTGTCCAAACACGTTCTAAACCGTAATTCAAAGACGACTCTAATCGGTACGTGCCCGAGTGCCAAATACGAACAGTGCCATCTTCAGAACCAGTCAACACAATAGGAAGTTCCGGGTGAAAGCATACTATTAAAAAAAAAAAATGTTCAAGTCAATGAAACTATTTAAAGTCTATATAGTTTTAAAGTTATTAAACAGTACCGGCAGATATATTTTGAGCGTGTCCTTCTAATGTTTGTACGCATGTTTTGTTTTGGTAATCCCATATTTTGACTAGCCTGTCGTCGGCACCAGATATTAAGTAAGGTTTGTCTCCGGCATGATAATAGTCTACACAGTTAACTCCTTTTTCGTGCCCGTCCAACGTGAAATTTGGAGTCGACGAGCCGAGTTGCCATACTTTAATTGTACGATCCAATGACGCACTAGCAAAAGTGTTATTGTCTTTCGGATTAATCATGATCTGCATAACGTAATGTGTGTGTCCCTCAAACACTTGCTGACAAGCCCACTGTTTTTCCCAGTTCCATAGTTTGATCAACATGTCGTCTAGAAACGATTACTTAAGTATTCATTGATTTCAAATATCAAAAATCTTAGTGAAACACTTACCACTGCTAGTAAGTATGAACGGTTGCGACGGATGTACCGCGATGCTTCTCAAATAATCCGAATGAGCATCGAGTTGATGAACACGTTCTAAAGTATTGTAGTTGATGACACGCAATTGCATGTCATCTGAACCGGTAACAATCCAATTTTTGCGAGCAACAAAACGAGCTGCTCTAACAGGCAATTCACAAACCTATCATGAGTAAAAAACAATTACATAATTTTCAATAACAATAAACTGGAAATTATATTCATGTTAGTATTAATATACAAATTTTCTTTACCAGACATTATTTTGATTTTTAATTAAATTGTTATGTTAAGATGATTTTGAATTTGATGCTTCCACTTTTGCAAGACGGGGAATAGTTTTTGTGGGAAAGTTTTTTCCTTTTTGATAATTTGCTTAAGGATATTTACATTTTAATTGAAAAATAATTATCAAGCATTTTAATTTATTTTTAATTCTTTTATAAAAATACCAAGTATTTAAATTTCTAGAAGCTATAACTTTTGGACCTGTGGAGTTTGTGGATTATTGATTTGCCAAAACAATAATTTAACATTGAAAATTAATAAAAAGTCCGATAAAGTAAAATTTATTCTAAAATCAAATACACTATGTATACTACGGCCAATCTCTCGAGTTACCAAGAAAACAGTTTTACCTCGTAGGATTTTATCAAAGTAGCGGTTTCGTGGTTCCATATGTGCACGTTGCCGTTGTACAGAGACGCCAACATCCACGGTTCTTTCGGATGGAGGTCGACACATTTGACACGGTCTGACCGAGCTGTCAGGTTGCGTTTAATGTCTAAACGTAACGGCTGGAAAAAAATAAAACAAACATTAGTTACTGTGTAAGAGACATCGGTAACGATTTCGATGTTTGGTCGTTTTTTCTGTGGCTTACCATTTTTTTTTTTTTTCACGCCTTCAATACGGTCGACAGGAAATTTCTGAACACACGACAGATCACTACGAGACTGCACACATTCAGATTTGGCAAACGGTAATTGTATATAAATTAAAAAAACCACCCAACGTGAGTTCACTTAAAATGTTTATTATATTATTGTGTTGTCGTCGGCAGAAGCTCGTTATCAGGGCGATGTGTGCGATTATCAGCGGCCGCAGACGTGTACGGCAGGCATACCAACCGCGCCGATATGGAAGCCTAGCCCCAATATCTGTAACGCGGTCAGCCTGTTGTACTGGGCTATGCGGCGTCGAAACGCGGCTCGTTCTTGGCCGGCAACAGGTTTGCCTCCTCTTCTCCCTCCTCCTGCCCGTTGCGCACCGCCACCGTTTTCCGTTCCCCACAAAACGAAGTGCATAAGGCATGCCGCATGTTATACTTGTAAATACCGTATGCGAGGTTGGCTAGGTGGCACGATGTTGTTTTATACTTTACACTGTTGTTCGTCGTTTGCGTTGCGACGAGGTCGGTATTGGCGCACCGCGGCTGTCTCCGAAGGCCAACGCCAGCCAGACGTTATCGGCCAACTGGTTTGTTGTGGTTTGACTACGTGCCGCGTCGCCAATGGTGTTCAACTACGGTGCTCTCGTCTGTTGACGAAATAGTGGCCGTCAGACGTCGACGGGTCGATGTCCACCTGTCGTAGCCGGCGGACCACTACGACGGTTGTTGCAAAGCACAGACGGCCATGCACGGTCAGTTCGCTGGTGTCCGGTCCATGGAAGACGCCAACCGGAAGAAGACCAGCGACACGTTACCCAAACCAGGAAAGGTCAACGCAGGTAATAATATTATTATGTTTGCACACGACCGTTTTGGGTCAACCGACCTGGTTTTTTCATTGTCATTGTTGCGCTCTGGTCATAAAACGAGGTTGCGCTCTCTTTTCAGTGTCCTAAATTTTGACAAAGAAAGTGGTTTTCGGGGTCAGCCTCTACTTTCACTCCAGCATAGCTCTAGGAACAGTTACGGTAAATATTTAGTAGCCCAACTGTTCTGGACTTGCGAAACTAATAGGTTTCCTTTTCATTGTTCAACGTTTACCTATGCTGTGATCATTTCCTTCAATACGAATCATACAATTACTTACATCTTTTATGATCGGGATATTTTTTTTTCTCTAGTTAAAAGCCAAATTTATAATCCTATTTAAATATATAATATAGTACAGAAATAAAAAACAAATCCATAAGAGAGCACCGACTTATCTGTGTGTAACATATGTTTTAGAAGAACTTGGTAATTTTATCGTAAAAGTACATAGTTTTTAAATTAAAGATCAAAGCTTTATACGCATTTAGACATAAGTGATTTTTGATAAAATCATTTTAGGAAAAGTTGTAAAGCCTTAAAAATAATCAGCTCCTAATAACTCAATAAAAAATCTCGCATGTTAAAATTTAGATAAAGTTTCAAACTTCAATATTGTATAGGTATATTTTTACCGTTGATTTTATAAAACCAGTGGTTTCATACTAAAGCTTGATCACTTGACGGTTCCTCAAAAAAAATTTTCTATGGACATATATTTTAATAAAAATAGCAAACCAACTGAGTTGTAAAAGTTGTATATATATTTATACCTTAAAATTGCGTGACATCAGACACACTTTGGATAGTGGTAAAATTTTAATTTTTGGTGGTAATTTCTTTAGGGGTACATTTTAACAGTTCAAAATGACACCTTATCGATAGTATTAACGATACAAAATGTATGGTTGGAACGGTTTGTGTTTGCGTTATCACAGTTATTTTGACTAACCATTGTGTCGGATGTCACTCAATTTTACAGTATAAGGGGAATGTTCCCACCTATTGCCTATTTTATGAGTCTAATATTTTTTTTATTGATTCAAAGTCATTGGCAATGATTCTATAAGGTTAAAATATGTCATATTATTTTTTTAGAATTTTAATAAAAAATGTAATAAATTTTTATGTGAAAAAACATTAAAAATTGTCACTGAATTTAACGGTAGTAAAAGTATAGGGAAGAGTAGAGTTAAACCAAGTTAACGGACTAAGTCGTGTTTTCTTATAGAAACCATAGTGACCTATAATTTAAACTTCCAAAAAAAGGTAATGTTTATTTTGTTGTTGTTTGTAACTGTCACAGTGATAATAGAATGAATTGAAGATTTAAAGGAAATAGGAAATATATTCTATTAAATTAAAAATTAAATCAAGTTTTATCGATTTCCTTTTATCATTTAAATTATGTCTATTCAAATTTAAATCATCTATAATTGAAAAAAAACATTAAACATATAATTGTATTGTAAAATGTATACATTATTTAATATTAACTGGATTCATCGGTAGTGTTTTCTTTTGAATTGTCTGCTTTCATTTTTCCATATTCTTCTAAATAACGTACCATTGTTAGTTGTGTCTGTCCAATCCTGTTTAGACACCTTAGGTTGATTTGGTCCAATGTGCTAACTAATTGAGCTCTTGCATTATCAATAGTACCCAAACTAGCATAGTCTTCAAGTTGTGATTTACTTAATAATTTGCCATCGACTATACCGGCTAATAGTATTAAGTGTGGCATTTTTTTAATGACTTTTAATAATTTTGGTACTTGTGGTGTACTACTAAATAATATTGAACTGTGAGATTGGAACAATTGCAATACTGCTTCATAGTTTGTACCGACCAATGCTTTGTTTAATGTGCTTTTACCGTAAGTAGTCAAATCCATTCCGGCCATTTTAAAAGTCTTGTACGCTTTAAATTCCAAGTCGTATTTCACTGGATTCCTGTGGAAAATTGCGACCATAGCGCTCTGTTTGAATAGGTCCTGTGCTTCTTTAGCCAAAATATTTTCGTATGGATTGTCTTCGACTATAGTTTTACTTTTATAAAACGGATTAGGGCACCTTTCAGTCCAAGGCAGTTTGTTTCTGTCTGGCCAATCATACTTTGGTAGTGTTAGAGCTTCAATAGTTGCCCTGTAATGATGAGGTGCTCGGGGTTTTTGTACGTTAACCCTCCGGTAACGTACACTGATTACAGTTGGCGAAAATGTTTTACTACAAATAGCTTTGGTCGAACAGTTCAACATGTCGCCTTCGTGTAAGTCTTAATAATGATAATAACCTATATACGCGTTAGTGTATTACAAGTGTTAAAAATAATAATTAGATGTTTTAATTTTAATTAATTCATATCGACTCCGTTTATGCAATTCGTTTTAAGACACTTTTTATACTAAACGTTAAATATTTAATAAAGATTGAAGAGAAATTCAAATCACGCAAAATCGAAGTGATAAAATGTTCAACTCGTCGTTGTCACTCGTCTTCGAAGTGCAATCTTCAATGTTGGATAACCTCAATTATAAAACGTTCTCGAAATCAGTGTTACCATCTACGGTAATAATAATGACTCGAACATGGTATAGTAGTTGCAGGCCCCAGTCACTAATAAAAATTAACATGGTAAAAATACGGTAAAAGCGGCCATCTTCTCGTTTACGAATTTGTAGTATAATCCCCTTAATAATTAATGTTATAGTCTAGGATGACCTATGGCCCGTTAAAAACTGGCTTGTCCCTTTTTTGTGCAGTGTGTCCCATTGTCCCTACTAATTTTCGAAGGGACGCTTTATATCATTAAAAAAAAAGACCGTTTAAATAAAGTAGCCACTCCATGTTATACTGATCTATTATCCATATTTTATTATTATTAGTTGTGTATAGATATAATTTATTGTGAATATAACTAAAAGGCAAAATGGCCGTTTGTTTTTATTGGAAGTGACTCTTCTGCTTTAATCTATTCTGTGGTAGTTATGTGTCACAATTTACCATTAAACTCGGGAGTTGAAATTAATTCAAACGCTTTTACTTAAGTTTCTCATATTAATTAGTTCGGTAATTTTCAAGAAATTCACATTAGGTAGTAATTTTTTATTTGTTACGAAATAGTTTTTGTACAATGTAAGTGTCAATTTTTAATCAGTGTTTAAATTTCTAAAAAAAAATAAGCGGCATAATATGTATTGTTTACATAATAATGGGGTTACGTTATAAACTAAAATGATACATAAATATAATAGGTTCTTATTAGGTACGTTTACCTATTTTTTTATTTAACCATATTATATAAGGTTAAATATTGCCTTGTGCTCTAAACCTTATATGAAGAGTGAAAGTGTCAAACGTTCCAAGTGCCAAAGTTTAAAAATTGTACTTTATAATTTGATTTGTATTTTATTCATTACCGGAAACAATTTTGTAAATTTTTCAAGTAAAGAATAGTTATTTATAAAAAAAACAATCATATTTAAAACTCAAAAATATGTTAAAGTGTTTCCGGTAATGAATAAAATACAAATCAATGGACGTTCAAACTTATATCACCGATTAATAATAATAATTTTAAAAGAACACATTAAACATATTTATTAATAAGTATTGTACCATTTATCGACGAACCTTTAATATCACATCGTTATATGAGCTTTCATATCTATTATTAGTTAATAGTTAGCGTGGACTTTCTAGAGATGTTACGGTAATCGTTTAATCAATGTATTTCGTATTACTAGACTATTGTATAGGATGTTCTAATAAAAAATACTATGTTTTTGCAAACAATTTCTATGTGAACAATAATTTTTACACTCTAATATGGTAATTAAATGTTTATAATATAATTAATGTGATAATAAAGACAAATCGAAATGTCTCGGTCATTATTGTTTGATGCTATGCGTAGTACACCGGTAGACTATTTTTAGAATTCGATATGGGTTATTCGAGCCCATTCGTTATTTTCTTTTCTATAATATTATAGACTCTCTAGTAAATAGTATTGAGAAAAGTCTTAACTTTTGGACGCTTTGAACTGAGTTAGAAAAACCAGCTATTTATTCTTCGTTAAATTGTTTTACACATATTTTCTAACTTAAATTTGTATGTTAAGTTAGGAGTGGTTAAAACAGCTTAGGCTCTACCATATAATATTTCTATTGAACTTTTGCAGTTATTAGTTTGTGTATAACTTTATAAGCTTAACCATGTTGTTGTTTGTGCTGTCTACGTATTTTGTAATGTGCGTGCTAAATGTTTATTATGTTGTAATGAGTGTAATATGTATTAAAATGACAAAGAAGTCAATTAAAAAAAAATCAAAACCCAACAATGTTTGATATCAATTAAAAAACCTGAGCTGGGTAGGACTGTTTTCTTAAAGAAAACCTAAGTTAATGCTAATTGTCAGTTTGGTAATTGGTATTGTGTGAACCATTATTTTGTTTCTCTATTTTTTAAATTCAAAGATTGTGTTAGTAGTAAAAAAAAAAAAAACCATCCTCTTTTATTGTACATGTTTATAAGTTTTTCAAAAGCGGTTGTAGAGAACAGAGAACTTTCCTTTCAGAAATCGAAGGTCACGTGTCAAATGGTAATCACGACCAAAATTTCTCTTTTCATCATTAATATGTTTTTCTGATCTGATCATGTGAAATTTATATTGAGCTAAACGTTTTATGTATTCAGACAATTTTTCAGGAAAATATATATATCATATTATTAAACAAACAAACGTTAATCTGTCGTTTTATAATAATTATAATTGACTGTGTGTGTGACCAACGTGTTTTCGTTGTGATTCGATAGCAAAAAAAAAACCACATTTGCTGTGCTTTTGTAATTTAATAATGTAGTAATGTGAATAATGAGCAATGACTAATGGTAATAGATTTCACATGCAGCCGGCGTGGTGTAATTACGGACACGAACGCTGTTTTTTTTCCTATTCATTTTACTTGACTTAATAATAATAAATAATACATAATAATACAATACTGTGGTTATTCAAAATGATTCATTCGACGCGCTATTCGAGCGTTTTTCTTTCGGCCTGTGTGTTGATTCGTTTTGAATAAAACCCCGTGTTACAATTATTACACCGGCCTTTTTTATAAGAGAGTATATTTATTATCATAAGAGAGTAATATTACAACGCTGATCGACTTCCAAGAATATTATTATTTTTATTATTATTATTATATTTTCTTATTCAATACCCGTGAAGCAGATACCTATCTATTTTTTATGTTTGGATTTCAACGGCAATGCACATCATCGTATGTATCAGATTCGTCAGCCCGACTGTTCACTTGTTCCTATTGTTGTGAGTGTCTCAAAATATTACGGTTGCTATTGTTTCATTGGCCCTAATGAGGAGAAGAGACCGTCGAAACATCTTTGAAAATCGCGCAAAGCAACAAAATCGACGATTAGTTCTGATCATGGTCGATTCTGGGTCAGAAAATCCATGTATAAAGCTAAAGCCGGAAAAAATTCTACACCTTTAAAAACATTACAAGTATTTTACAATAAGTAATATTAATATTATAATTTGCATTAATTGGTACAAACAACATGTTCTAAACGAAAGATCTCATAAGCACACAAACAATTTAAATAACATTTGACCAATAAAAAAATATCTCGTTACTTACAAATTAAAATTCAAAGGTTTGGTAATTTTCTATTAATATTTACTTCACCAATAATTTTATTTTATTCTATACATTTTGTGGGGGTAATTCTGATTTTTGCAGTTACAAAAATTACAAATTAACGACCACTCGTATGAGACCAGCTAAATTCTAAAACATTGTTTGCGCACAATATGCGAGGCGAAAAGGGACCTCTTGTCGTAAAAATGAAATTTTGAAGTATAGCTACTTCAAATTCTGAACATTTCTATACCAAAATCGTTCTCCTATCATGAAAATTGGCTGAGTTATATTTCTTTAAATTTATTTTCGAAAAATGTTTTTTTTTGTGAAACAACCCTTTAAAGTTGTGAAATGTTGCCAACTTTTTATTTTACATACTTAGAAATTAAACAACCAAAAATAATATTTAAAAACAATTAAACTTTAATTAGCATTTATAGCATTGATTATTAAGATTTTTTATTCGAGTAGTTTTAATCATTAGTATAACATACATCTTATTAATTTTGAATAGCAATTACATTTTACTGTTTAGTAGCATACATTTTATAAATCTATGGTCCTACATTTTCATAAATTTGATTGATTTTGAAAAATCATGCCTATTTTCATAAGATTTCCTTCGTTAAGAAAACGCAATATACGTAGGAAATTCTGGAAACTTTGTTTAATTAAAATATACATTTTCATAACGTCTGTACCATATTATAATGTAGTATAACTGTTTTTGTTGTTTTATGTGACTGAAAAAACAATAAGTTAATACGTTTATGATCTCGACAAAATTATTGAATAATTATTATTATAAATATATATATTGTGTGTTTTTATCATTCATTTTGGAACATGGTAAAGTTTATTCACACACAGTGTGCGCACAGTAGTTCGTCGTGCGTGGTTTAAACAAAATTTCATCAAATAAAAAATCAACGAATCGTAAAAAAATGGGGTCATTTTTCCTCCGTTGTTGGTCAGCCCCCCCCCCCCATCCTCAATAATAAAAACAAAAAAATTAACTTTGTTGTATAGTAACACTATTTTGTCCTGACAAAGCAGCTCTCCGAACGCCGTCTCGGTCCGTCGGTCGGCGGCGGGCGGCGCCTGTTAGCCAGCCGTGGCCGTGCGTCTTTGTCGTGTCCACCGGTTGTGCGTGTTGGTGGGGATCAGCCGGGACATACGGCAAGAGACGCCTCACGATATAACAACAATAATCATCATAATGATGCTAGCAGCTATAGTCGTCACTGGCCGTCGGCGAATAGTGTAGTGTGTTCGTGCCGCTTACGTTTTTTCAGACCGGCTCCTGCCTCCTAGTATTTACTTGTCCGCGGTCCGTGCGGCGGCGTCTCGTCAGACTGCGGCCAGTTTCGCCGCATCTTAGTTTTATTTCTCTAAAATCGCGTCGGCGAGTTTTTTGTGTCCCGACGTTTTCGAACCCGTGGAATTCGGGTCGGGCAATGGCGTCCTATAGAAACCACCTGCCGCATGACGGCTGCATACAGGTAGTATCGCGGCGGCGGCGGCGGCTGTTGTACCCCGACGTGCAAGGGGTTCGTTGTTAAACGATGAGGCGGAAGAGGTACTATATATATTAATAATATTATACTTTTTTCAAGCATACTACGTTGATATAATATTATTTTCGTTTACTTAATCTGACTGATGAGTGTATACTGTATATAAAATTTGTCCGGGTGGTGGTGGTGGTGGTGCGGTGGAACGCGTCGGCGTCCGCGGCGAATCAACCGGTTGGTAAACCTGTTGCCCAAACGCACTTAATACGCGTTGACGCACGCACGCACGCACAACGTTGTTAACCGTCCAGGCGTGAATCCATTGTGACTATAGGGTCACAATGAACCTCACGATGACGGTTATTATGTAGGTTTGGTTTTTTCCATACCCTTGCCTTGGTGCGTGTCGTTATTATTATTATTTTTTCTCACACAGTCTATTCACTTGGCCCGAGCCAGACACACAATGGTTCGACAACGCTACAGGTACTATTCCACCTTCGCGGTGTGACGTGTGTGCTTGTTGGTATTATTTTAATATTATATTATTTTGGTTTTTTTTTCCCCACCTATTAACAAAACCAGAGCTGTTCGGTATTATTATTATTATTGTTCATGATTGGGTCATTAGGATGATTATTATATTATGGTTAGTCGATTTTACTATTATGATTTTTTTAATATTTATTTTCATTAGCTCTTTGATGTTATTTCAGTGTGCAAAGAATGGCTAGTTCACGAGGATGGCGCATTGGCTTACCACCTGCAAAAACTGGAAGGTCGGTGTTTTATTTTTTACTAATTCATTACTTGTAATTAAAAAATGCAACAATTATCATTGTGTATTAAAACTGCATTAATAAGATGATATATTTCAATTTTGTGTACTGTTTTGTTAACTTTAGTCGACGAACACTACAGTGGCAATCGTTCGCGAAATGCCATTGTCCGTCAAGATTTGCCGACTGCTCGAGAGGAACAGGAACGTGAAATACGTGAAGCTGAGCAGCGTTATTGTGCCTTCATCAAAGAACAGTAAGTACAATCTCCCATTATGTGATTTTGTAATGATTGTTATACATTACTTGTTTTCAGAGAAAAAAGAGATCTCAAACTTGCCATGGAATTAGCAGGACACATAGCCAAAAAGAAAAATGCTGAAGAACTCAGTCTTAAGATTGCTGCTCCGACCGAGCATGTGCGACAAGGTATTTTAAAAAAGCCTAGTCTCCCAGCACCAGATATAAGGTAAAAGTCGTGGTTAGAATTGGTAACAATGAAAATTGTATTATACTTACAACATACCCCTACCCTATTTTACAGGTTAGAAGAAGAACCTAAAGAATACACAGAGTTTGATATTGATGACATCTTACAAGATCTTGATTATGAAGAAGAACAAAACCGTCGTATTCAAGAGGCAAAAGACGCTGTGAGCAAAGACTCATTTTTATTAACGATTAAATTGTTTTATCTTTTAGGTTAACCTAGAAATACACACAGAAACTGAATGTGTTTGACGGGTGTAATCTTTAGTGCACGTTAATATTGAAATTCGTGACTAGAGTTACACTCGTCAAATCCATCAGACCGTACGACCGTAAAATAGTAATAAAATTATTCATGGCTCTTGTATTTTCATACAATTCAATATCAACTAATGATTTTAAGGAGTTGGCGAGACGGCTACAAGACCAAGAACGTCCTCTATCCATTGAAGACAGAGATAGATTGATTGCTATTGAAACACAAGATTGTGAATTGGCTAAGCTCTTACAAGATAAGGTATTTTCCTCCTTAAACATATACTTTAAATTGTCAATTCACACTGTGTATGTGTTGAATAGGAAAAATCAAGATTAAAAAGAGCTCGTGAAAAAGCAAAGCAGAAAGCTCTGTTGAAGAAACAGCAACAGCAACAATTAGAAGAACTACCAGAAAATACAGCGCCAGTCGTCTCTCAAGAACCTCTGTCAAATATTGCAATTGCCATCGATCCTACCTACAACCAGAGGAGAGCGGAAAAACAATATGACGCGCCTTGTTGTTAGTACCAACATTTCAAAATTATTTTTTGTTTATTAATTATTTCAACTATTATTTTAGCTTCTTCGAGTGTTTTGCCATCACCATTAGTTGACGTTCCTCCTTATATGCCCATTCAAGGGCAGCGGCGTAATCAAGGTGAAAAGAAAAAAAAGTCTAAGGCTGCCGATGGTGTTTCATCTTTTTTTAAAGTATTTAAATAAAACTTCGAAAAATAGTGTATGTTTTTTTATTATTGTTATTGTGATATTTCATTATTGATATTATATTATAGTTGATTAAATAATACTGTGTTTTAAAGACTAATCAAAGCCTGTTATCTGGTATTCCACCAAATTATAGAATTGTGTTCTTGTATTGTAGTCCAATTTTTATTCCAAGAAGTGAAGCATAAAGAAATATTTATGTATTAATTTTAATACAAACCGCCTAATATATACCTGTATTATTTATTTAATTAATATTAAACGTAAAATATTGATAATTACTCTTGTAAACTGAATTTTAAACATAATGTACTATATTATTGTTGTACAGTGTTCATTTTCATATTAAACATATTGACTTAAAAAAAGAAATGTTTTGTATGTTAGATTTAATTCAATAATGATGTTTTATATTTACACCAAACGATATGTGCATATTTTTAGTTTGGTTCTATCAGCGATTTGTCATGTCCATTCTTACACATTAACTATGGAGATAGATTCTAAATTAGGTTATTTAAGGGTTCTAAAATTATTGATAGCATGTTTTTATTTATTACATTTTTCAACCAATATCGTCTTCTTTAATAAGTTAATTAAAATAACAATTTTCTACAGCTATATTATTATTTTCTTGAACATTGTTACGATACATTGTTGGTAAACCATTAACCATTTTCACAAAACAAAACGATTTAACGAAATATGAAATTATACAATATATCAGTAAATTAAATATTTCTATAGTAAAATGTTATACTATTTTCTGTTGAGGATTACCATGTTTCGCTTTTGAATACTGGTGAATGGATTAACACGAGGACATCCTCCTTCTCGTTGTAAGACTTCGACAACGCTATAATTTGGAAGCCAAGACTGAAAACCAACGACAAATTTATAATTACAAAGTGTCATTGAAAAAGTCACATTTTCTTACTTTATCTCTATAAGCGGTGGCCACAACATTTCTGTTGGGTTCAGAATCGTAGGCGACTGATTCACACCCAAAATGTTCACAATATTCGTGTACCAGCTTTCGCTTTTCGTACTTCATTACTTCAAACGAATAACTGCGAGAATTTTGTTTTGACTAAAAATAGATAAAACATTTTGTTTTATTAAAGTTTTAGCTCATTATTATTTATAATCTAGAAAACACTTCAAGCAACAATGTCGCCATCTTCAACGCTAACGACAGACTGACATTGTCGCCGAAATACTTATTATGCATAGTGTATTATTTTTATGGTTAAGGGTTTAAGTAAGTATTCATTTTCTTTATTATTTATAAATCGTTACATTACTTGTTTAGCACTCGTGACTAGTTCGGCAAGTTTTTCATGAACAAAGTTGCAGAATGGTCCATTTTTCTTGGCGAATTCTTTCATATAGTCCGAATACTTTGGCGTTACGTTCGGGGACAAGTCTGGATTTTGAATTTGTAAAGCAAGCGCAATACGTCGATTTCTTTCAATTTTGGCGCATTCCGATGTGCAATCCAAGCTGAAAGAAAATGTTCAGCTAAAATAAAGGTCGAACAACAAATATTTGCATTAATTCAATTCTTACATTTTATATGTTTTTATGTTTAACTGTGCGTTGACGATATTGTCCAATAAGCTCATGGATTGTGTTCTGACCTGAAGGCGATATTCGTTCACTTTGGGATCCGAGCACAATCTAGCTTCAGTTATGTTACCGCAAATACAACTTGCAGGCACCTAAACAAGATTAACATCAATTTACAACACCCGAGTAAATACTAACGACATGGCCACTAAAGTATCTACACAGATATTGCCATTTGTAATTTTTTACAAGAGAAATCTTAATAATAATATATAAGCATAGATTTATATTAACCCTTAAGCAGGCGCATGGGACATGAATGTATAGCCCAGTCAAATTTAGTTACAATGCGATTCAGTTAAGAAATTAAGGGTGGTCACAATTTATTTAAGTATCACGCGCCTGCTTAAGGGTTAAGGTTGACTGTTTACACTTTTACCTGGAAATCGTCAATAAATTCAAAAAGAAATTTTGTACAGAAATTTGTCAGTTCAAGAAACGCATTTGTAGGGTTTTTCTTAAGCATGAGAAAAAACATAAAAGTCCTACAACTCCGCTACCCTAATTAATAATAATTAATGAGCTATTTTAATTTTATAAATAAGTATGTACATTTTTAATTTTTCTATTATTATACTTTGTTTACCATTATTTTACACGACTGTTGAGGGCACGGGCCTGGGTGACAAGGGTTTGAACAAGGGTGACCGCAATTTGGTTTCGGTAAATTGCATGGCAGACGACACGACCCATCTTCACAGGGCGCCGGATGACAGGGTTTGGGGCACATGTGTCGTCCACACGGTAGAGGATTACCACAAGGCATCCCGCATGAAACATTTTTAATGTGGCAAGGAATGGCGAAACGCAACTAAACATCAATTACAACCAAATACTGTTTCATTAATAATATTTTAAAAAAGGTAATTAAAACTTAATTAAATTTGTACCTCGTGACCGCCGTAACAAAGTTTTTGGGTTAGGGCTATACAAGGAGGACACTCTTCTTCGTCGTGACACACATGAGTGGCCGGATGACCACACTCGTGTTCTCGTGAACACGGTAGTGAACAAGGAGGGCGGCGGGTACCACATCGAACCGGTGGGGGAATATAACTGCTCCCACAACGACAGTACAACTCTTCAAAACCTTTATAAAAAACATTTTATCAGTAATATTTCCTCTAGTGATGACACACAATTGTAATGTTTGATAAACTTACTAGCAACATAACACGGACTACAACTACCAGTATGGCACATGATGTCGCAACGATGTTGACGACAATTTAACAGTCCGTTACAAACTCTATTACAAATATGCTCTTGAGCATTGCAGCACATTGTTGCACATCTATGTTTACCACAAGATAACATCTAAAATTTAAACAGTTTTTATTAATGAATAAAAAAAAAATGGTTCTTATAATATTAAAGGCTATATTAATTAATATTTGCCAACTATGTTTCTTATAAAGGGGTACTTGGTGTATAGGAAAAAAGATTCGGAATATAAACTCACATAACTTTGATTTTGCATTCAGAAAGATGATAATAATTGTAACACAAGATATTTTTAAAAATAGCTCATCAGACCCAAAACAATTTTATTTCTGTAGCTCAGTTTTTCTTCAGTAATAAGAAGAAAAAATGAAGTAAAATTGTTTGATATGTTCAAAAAATATATAAGAATAATATAGTGCCACACTAAGAGGCGCAAAAACAATGTTTATATCAAGATATTTATTTATATTTCGAATGTCTTGTTAAAGTCAATTGATAGTTGATTGTAATTTTCCATAGTTTTTGTACACCCAAAATGATTAACAAATCTATAAATTTGTCTCAAAGTGTAATTCAAATGCAAACATTTGTTATGTACCATCTTGAATTAAAACATACAAAGATAACACATATTTTATACCTAAATAATAATATTTTACCTTATTGCATTTTTTTTTGCACGTAAGCTCAGTAGTGACATTGCTGCACTTGATCTCTTTTGATCTGTTTCCACAACGGCACACATACTTTGTTTTTAGATTGCACGGGGAACATGGTCCTTCGTGACATTTACGTTCGCAAAAGTGAGGTGTTTCTATGGGGCAATTAAGTTGAAATTAAAAACATTGATTCCAACTGTTAAACAAGTGTACTGTACCTGCTTGACCACATCCCAGGGGTTTGCCACACAGCTCGTCACACGTAGGTATGGGCAGTGTACACGACTTACGATTGTCCAGCTCATCTTGGGAGAGCAGCCTTTTACCACACGGGCACCTGTCCGCTATGAGCTTTGCACAAGGATCACATTGTCCCGTATGACAGCGCTGTTGACACAAATGATTGTCGCACGACAGTTTTTTATTACACAGTTCTCCACAACTAAAATACACCACCATGGCGTTTTCCACTGTGCAAGGCAACTGTCGTTTTGAGCGGCCACAAAAGCATTCTGTAACATTTACCATTCATTGTGTTCACAAAAATATAAATTAATAATTAAACATAATTTTTCTAAGACAAAAGCATAACCAATTGTAGGGTTGTATATTTGATAAGAAAAGGTAAATTATGGCTACAATCTTTAATTCGTAACACTAATAAAATAGTTTTTGTTTTCAATTAAAATCAACAGGGATAACACATTTTTAAATAAATGTATTTAAATTCCATATAATCCATAACCCATAATAATCATGTTTTTACTTTTTTTCTAGGCTATGTAAGCTTACTATTATAAGTACAATAACATGTGTTAAACTTAATTTTTGACTGTAAATAATGGATTTTGTAAAAGTCAAAGCCTTAGGCTCAAATAGTACTAAATAATGTATCAATTTAATTATGTTAAAATAAAAATAGTAAAATGTTTACATGTACTTTAACGAGATATACCTAAACAAAACCCTTTGTTAAAAGTAGTATCATCATCATTTATCATAATTAACAAGATAGAATAATTTTTTCTTAACTTCTGGTTTCAGTGTATTTTAAATAGAATGTTTTTTATTTTAGCGAAAGGTTGAGTTTGAAATACATTCTTATAACTTCCAAAATATAAAATAATAAATATAAGAAAAACAATTTCTGAAGAAAACCCCTGGGGGGGGAGGGGGTTGGCCTAGTTAATTAAACATAGTTTAATTAACTAATTTTTTCCTAAAATTTTTCATGCACAAATAGTCATATTGGTGGCACTATTTGAATGGTATTCTCATCACACAAACAAATATTTCGTATACGAATAATTTTCAATTGGTTTCAAGAATAGACCGCCTGACGCTTTTTCATGCAGATTTTAACTATTAGGAAGTTAGTTGAGTGGCGTCCCCTTATCTTCCCTACACCCTGACAATACATCTTGAGCAAATTCATGGTACAATGTAAGTCTGTAGGGAGACTGACGTACTGACATATTTTTTTAACATGGTAGGTCCATCCGACGCGTTGGCTATTATGTACATTTTTCAGTAAAAAAAAAACATGTATTGTAGGCTTAACTTTTTTTAATACATTTTCTTTAATTAACAGTAAAGAAACTGTTATTATTTAAAAAAAAAAAAAAAAGAATTGTTTTGTACTTAAGTTTTTTGACAGTCTTTTTGTCTTGTTTCTCTGTTGTATTAGCATGTTAGACGAAAAAAATTATAATAAGAGAGATTTTTAACACAATGTCTTAAAATCTCATAAAATGGGTTTTAATAAGAGATTGATTTAGTTATGTACAATTAGCTTAACTAAAGAGTAAAAATCAAACGGTTATGAAAACAGTTTAGATTGCCTTTCTATAAAATTAAGTGTCCTTTATTGTCATTTTTAAAATAGTAAGCAAATAACATTCGATTTTCCATTATTTCAAAAACAAATTTATGATAATTGTTTAAATAAATTGATTTGTATATTAACACCATAAAAAAAAAGACAAGGCCTATTTTTTGTATTAAAACTGTAGCAATTTAAAATAAATACGAAATTTAAATAAGTGAATTCTAAAGCGAGAAATGCATCGAAACGTTTTATTGATTTGTACTTCTAAGAAGTAAGATTTGAGTGTTTCTCGCCTTTCAAAGAACAACATTACATCTTTTGGGAGCATTCATTTTCAACCGACTTCCATAATCACAAAAGTAGTAAGTCATTAATATTTATGACAGAATGTAAAAAGAATTGTTTTTGGAAAAATACCCATTATTTTTTTAAAGTTGTTGGTATTGTTTGACTTCTTATTGCTTAGTCAAAAAAATTTGAAGGTGTTGCGTAATAATTAATTTTTTTCAACTAAACAATAAAGAATATTATTTCCCTCTAAAATCTGAAAGTATACTTTAACATTTCAAAAATATACACCAAGTTATTCTTTAAGTACATTTACTTTTAAGCTTTGTAAACCAAATATTTGGTGTTTTCAAACTCAATGGTAAACTAAAAATTTGAAAAATAAAACAAATAATTATTTATAACTTAATTAGTTTGTAATAATAATTTATTTTTATTTTTAGGAAACAAATGTGCTAAAATAACAAATTAAAAACTCACAATTTTTGGTATAAGGTTATAATACTTGAATGTATCAAAAAGAACTAATAATAATATAATAACTTTTGTACGTAATAATTAAAATATTTTTACAGAATTATTATGAATAGGCAAGAAAAATACACACACAACTTGTTTCAAATAAATAGTAAATAGAAGATACAGTTTTTATAATAGTCTTTAAAATGAACTCTTAACATTTCTATATTGAAATTATAAATTTATATTAAAAAAAAAATGTATGGAAGAAAAAGATGTAGTGGTACAGAGAAAACGATCACCATTTGTTTAATTGCTTGTTCGTCTGTGCAATTTTCGTTTTCAAACTAAACCGACATTAATAATTTTAATAGGAGAATTCAGAATCCTGTGAATCAGAGTCTGAGGTATCGCTGATAGATGCGAGTTCGATAGAAATCCTGTTGCAAGTTTCACTTCCTTCAGAACTGCTTTCGCTGTAGGAAAGATTATGGCTGCTATCCATACTGTTGTCTTGGTCACTAGAGTATATGTGAATGGAAAAATTATCAGGACTCATTCCTGCCAATTCGCAATTCTGATTACTATCGCTTCCTGCATCTGAACTATTGTCTTCTTCTGCATTGCTATTATTACCATCCGAATCCACTTCCATGGAACTACTAGTACTATCGGACATTGAACCAACTCTATAGTTTGCTTGAACTTCTCCGTCTAATTCAGAATCACTTTCGCTGGAATATAAGTCCCATATTGGATACCCAAACTGGTCGAAATGACGATGTCTATAAGCATCATCTCTAAGAGTATAATCATCATTATCGTCATTGTCATCATCATTATCATCGTCATCGTCCCCATTTTCACGAGCGCTAGCAGCATCGGTAAAATCAGTAAAGACATAACCAAGGTGCCCTACATAACTACTAAGACTATCACTGTCAGTTTCTGACTCGTTGTTCATAACCTCATTTGGATCGATACCTAACATTCGTAGTTCTTCTTCATTTACACCAAGTGGTAGATTATTTCGATGATAAACAGGTCTTGAATATGGAGCCAAAGCCTCTTCTTCAATATTTAACAACAATGTGTTTTCGTATGTAACTGGAACATGAACTAGAAAAAAAAAATAAGAGTATTTATAATTTTTGAAAAAAAATATTTTTCATAAAAATACAAGATTAGGCGTTCTTTACGTATTTTATTAAAAAAAACATTTTATAACAAGACAATCCAAAATTGTCAAAACTAGATCTTTAAAAAAAAAAAAATTATATAGAGCATTAAGGCGTTTTTTACAACTCACCAAAATATGTGCAATACTATTTTTATTATTTAGTAAGTCATTGTTCTGTATTGGAAAGTTAAATATAAAATTGAATTGTTTAAAAAAAAAAAAAACATTGAAAATTCAACTTGTACTATGCACTGTGTACTTTTTCCACTAAGAAGTAATAACAATACAAATGTTGTGGTACTCAGCATAACATATAAGCAATTGGAATAGAGATAAAAGTTTAACACTTAAGTGAAATTTTAATTCGATTTATACATTTTTTTTTTATTAGTTAATATTGATAAATCCATTTTAACTATTGTAAATACGTAGTATACGAGGACACTACCTTAACTTAACGAAGCTAATTACGTTGTTTTTATAAGGATTGACCGAGATGACAAATAATACTAGTGCAGTTTACTAAAAATGCCTGATTGCTTAAGTAAAAAACGCCTCAAGAAAGGTCAAAGATAAATATTAAGAAAGTCGATTTCTTTTAATTACTTACCATAAGGCATTAACATAGTAACACTTTGAAAACAGCATTCTAAGATGTTCAGTAATTAATTAAAATACGTAAAGAACGACCACTAATCCTTCAGTATGTTTAATTAATATTTGAAATAGTGGATGAACAATTTTTTTCACAACACAATGTTAATATGCTGTTGCATATTAAAATAAAAATAAAAGAAACTTTATACAAATTGTACTAGTTAAACCTAAAATGGTTTAAACAAAGCCATAAACAATTTCTTGTGTATTTTAATTCATTTTTTTTTTTTAAATGCTCAATATTTCTTTGAGATGGTAACTGTTACTGTAGTAGTTTAACATTTGCACTTGTTAATTTTATATTGCTATTCAGTATATTTACAATATTATCATTTGAAATACAAAAAACTAAAAATAATACTAACACTTCAATGTTAAATGTGAAATTTATGCAAATTAACGATTATAACAATTTTTTTCGAACTGTATTTACAATATTTTTGTTTTGATTAAAAGCTTAATAATACTAAAACTATTAACAATGAATGAGGCTTGTTAAAAATTCAAGTGGCTAGTCCACAATTAACAATAAATCATTTTAACAGGGGCACAAGCGCCACTCTACTTGTTTTCTACTCGCTGCCTATGTTGATGGTTGGTATCACTCATGCTTTGTTTTTTCATTTAAAAAATTTTTTAATGCTTATATTTTATAATTTTTGGTATATAATACAGAGTTCGAGGAAGGGGGGACTTCTTGTTATTATTTCATATCTGGCAGCCACAAATTGTTTGTAACCTTTAGGTATTAAGGTATGTTTTGGAATTAGTTGAGGCCAGCATGTTGAAAGTGTTTACAATAAACTTGTCAAAAATGTTTACACAGTGAGATCTATCGAACTGATTGTCTTTTACACAAATTTAGCTTAAAAAAGGTATAGTTTAACAATTGTATTAAAATTTTTAGGCTAACTATTAAATATTGAGCCAAACTGGTGAAATATTTGACAATGTTGAATATGAAAGGCATTTTTTTAAATATAAACTTCTTCAAAAGATCTTACTACAAAGTAATATTTTCACTAAAAGCGATTTTATTAATAGAAGTTATGTCATGCATTCTCAAGCATTTGTTATTTAATAATTTTTTGTTTAGAAAACGTATAGAGTTCTGCGTGGTCATAAAATATGTCGCCGGATAAAAACAAAATTGTAAAATATTAATTATCGATTGAGAAAGAACTCATGTCTCAAATCAGTTTGGTACACTATTTCACTAGATCTTATAAATTTAAAAATAGCTCAAATTATATTGTTTGCATATTTATATTTGTCTATAATAACTATTGGAAATATTTGATTACTAATACAAATTTCCATATTCAGTATTAAATATTGTAAAAAAAAATTTGCAAGTAAATAAAACTTTTAAAGTTTTATTTAAAATACAATATACATACCTTGTCTGCAGTGTCTTGTACATGGACCACATATCCCGCCATGGCAAATTTTCTCACAAATATGATTTTTGCAGTTCAGTTCCTTTGCACAAATACTCTGACAAGACACAGGAGTTGATTGTCCACATTGAACATACACTTTAACTTTACCACACCCACAATTCCTAAAAATATTAAAATACAATATTATTATTCATAAAGAATAAAACATTTTTTTTTTAAATAAAAAACTTTCACTGTAGTTGTAGTTTTACCTTTGTACTAATGCCATACACTGAGGACATGGTCCTGGATGACAGAGTATAGTACACTTGTGGTTGCATTCGTATGACTTATTATTGTTTTTTTTCTTAGCCCCACAAACTTGACCACATGTATGTGGAATATCCACGTTATCAGCAAAAGGGTTTGGTAAATTACCACAGAAGCATACGTAAGTCGGTTTTTGGTTTACTTCATTTTGACATGCTGGACATCTCCAAGACGCGCCTAAATAAAATTCATCATATAATAATATGTGGATTGTAACCAAAAATATAGAAACTTACCATTATACGATTTGAGAAACCAAACCATTATGCATTTCAAATGAAAAATTTGATAACAATTACGACAACTCCAAATAGGTTCATTATTTGCAGTTCGTTCATAGCACACCACGCAGTCTAATTGCCCACTGTTTAATAGGCCAATTAATTCGTCTCTTTGGGAGGATTTGGCTAAAAATAAATCAAAACATTAATATTTTATGAAATATAGAATAATATGTTTTGTGTCTGACATACAAGAACTCGAGGTAACAGTTGATACAGTAGTGTCTGTATTAGTTGCTGAAGAACTCGACGTATGACTATCATTCCTTAAAAAGAAGAATAGAATTTTAATTACACATATGAAGCTATATATTATAAATAATGTAATATTACACACCCACTACTATGTGGAGCACTTGAATGACCATAAAACGTCATAGTCCTTATTGGTCCACCACGTTGCCTTTGATCAGCAGCTGCTTCATTATTTGTCACTAAAAAAAATCCATATACTCAACACAGAACAGTGTATAAAATTAGTCGATAATTTAAAAATACTACAGAAACTATTTTAAATCAATACAATTACAAAAAAGTTAACTTTAAAAACACATTATTACAAGAGGAACATAATATAATAAAAATAAATTTTTTTTTTTTAAATTAGAATTAACATTTTTTACAAAATTTTTAAAGGTAATTCTAAGGTTATTTATGAAATAATTAAACTCCTATCTAAAAAAGTTTCTTTAGTTGCCTCAGACATTTAAAACAACGGTAAATTTGGTATGCTAACTAAAAATGTTCTAAAAAAAAAAGACCTCGGTATTCACTCTTGAAACTAAGGGATATTAATATATTGATGTCTAAATAGAATTAATATTACACAAAAAATGTGTATAAAACAAATACTTTAAGAAAAACCCCTTCCGTAAAACTTCTAGATTGGAAGTTTTGTTTTTATAGCACAATATTTAACAAATATATTACTTAATTTGGATACATACCTAACAATCGTATTTATATAGCGACTCATTATGGCTAAAACACAATTTTTTTTTTATGAAAAGGTAGGTTTTTTTTCATTTCATTCCTACTACTTTTTACTTATTTTTTAGTTATAAAAAAAAAAAGGAATACTGGCGAACAATTTGCATTAAAACCCTCTTTTAAATAGTAATAGTTCCGAGAATAATTAACAAATATTTAAAGCTAGTTATTTCTCAACATTAATATAGTTAGTAAGATTTTTTTGTTTCATTCCAGATATTTTCAACTTTTATCAACATTGACTAAATAATCAGTAAATTACCTGTAGGGACAAACTCTGGAGCATTTACTGATAAGCTTGAGGCAACAGGCCTTCGGTTTGTATTGGCATGGTTTCTTTTTCGATTCATATCTCGAGGCATTGTCACAATGATTACTAATTAAATATCTAAAGAAAAAAATAATTCAAATCTATAGAATTTATTGGACTACTAATATTCTATATTGTATACATTATTGTTATTAGTTACACAATTATTATACCCATTTCACTAAAAATATAAAATATATTAGACCTAGGTCAATTAGCAAAATTATTTATCTTATAGTTATCATCATGTAGCTTAACAGACTCTGAAGGCCTTACACAGCCACTACGAGTTTTTATAGATTGCAACATAGATAATTTATAATGCTGTTTTGCTACAACCGCTGGATTCACGGAATGGACCTCTGAATTTCGCCGATATGGAGAGTAGATTTGCTTAAATACCAGGCCAGATCAATGCCAAATTCAGACATCTTTACATCAGCTTACAGTACACACGGTCCACGTCTCTCTGTTCCATGAATTAATTTTGAACTTGTAAAATGTTATTAAATAATTTTGTGTTGTTCCTTTCTTGTTTGTGACAATAATAATCATCTTTGGCAAAATTGGCCACTTTTGGTGCGTTCTTATTTTAATTAAACCCTTTCATAAAAAAACCAACGCTCGGCACATAACAATAAAACGTTAATGATTTTTTCAGATTATAACAATCGATACTGGTGTATTACACAGATCCCCAGTAGTTTTTGCAATATCAAAGGGTAATTAGATAAACTAATTCACACTACACTACACAGTAACTTATGAAGTGATTACTATTCTGCCGCGTCTACTTTCCCTCCACCCACCCCTCTATAGAACGTAAGGCCACCGAATGTTTTGGCACTTGCTCGCTTGGCTCTGCTAAACTAAAAATATCAGGTTTGCAGACTACAGTATAGAAGGTCATACGTTTAAAGTTAAGTCAAGTTAAACCTGTGACTTCCTAGACTGTAGCCTGCAAATCTAGGATATTTTTAGTTTAGCAGAGCGAAGCAAGCGAGTGCCAAAACACTTGGTGACCTGCCGTCGAATATCACTTTATTAGTAACTGTATTAATGTGTAATATTGAATTATTTTATCTAATTACCCTCTGATATTGAAAAAAATAGGGTAGAGGGGTCCGTATAATACACAAGTACCTAACGTTTTCAAGACCAGATTAAATCCCTAAGGACAGCGGTTTTCAACCTTTTTATACTTGCGTAACACCTACACAGTTCGAAAAATTTTACATACCACCTGACTTAATAACCTTTTTTTTTTTGCTTATTAAAAATGTATACGTTTATTTTATGTATAGAATTTTATTTTATTAGTTAATTTGTTACTACAAAATGATGACAATATATGTATTTAATGCACAAAATTATTATTATAACTATTATGGTTTACTTCAATAAGATGGTTTGTGTTAACACATATTTGGGCGCCTGCTGAAAGGTTAATAATGATTCATTCCAATTTTATTTTTTTATGAAGGGAGATTTTCTTCGCGTACCACCTATGAGCTTTCCGAGTACCACAGGTTGAGAAGCGCTGCCTTAGGAGACGCGAGAAAAATATTGATGTTTTTAGATCAACGATAATTTCAAAAGGTAACATACTAGTACGAGTATTTGTAAATCATTTATTCATGGGAGGCGCGATTATTTATTTTTATTTTTAGGGATGCGTGAACCAAAGAAGTTTGAGAACCGCTGTTATATATCTTGATTGATAATAGGAACAAATCTACTATACTCTATTCAGAAGAAGAACAGGCTTCGGCGGCCGGCTTGTGCGCATGGGCGTGGCTTCACTACGAGCAATGGACTTTGAACACTGCTGCCGGTGGGGCTACAGACAAAATGTAAAATGGGCAGTGCCTAACCGCCGCTCGACGAAAACTGGTCGGCCGCTGAAGCCTGTTCTTATTCTGAATAGAATATTATATACCGGACACCCTTTTTTTTCAATTTTTTTTTTGCCATATTATAGTGTTTTTTACGCTAATTACGAATCTGAAGTCAGTATTAGGCAGTCTCTGTTAGTTCAAAAGTTATAGTTATTTGAAATTTGTATACCCTATGTAACAGTACGCGGCTGCGCCGTCGGGAGGCGGCGCAGAGCCGTGCGGTGCCGTTGGGACTTGGGAGGCGGCAAACACTGATAAGAACGCCAGGTCTCCGAGTGTTTTGGCACACACTTGCTACGCTCGCTCGGCGCCGTCGTTTCGCTTCGCTAACTAGAAATATTCTAGGTTTGCAGGTTACAGTTTAGGAGGAGATCACAGGTTTAAAGTAAAGTCAGTTTAAAATGGCTCTAGAAGCCACGTAACGTGTCCGGCAATAAAAAAAAAAGGACCACGAAGGGCGCGAACAGTTACATAAGGAAATATGCAAATTTCAACTAGCTATAACTTTTGAACTAACAGACTCCACCTAATTCTGACTTCAGATTCGTAATTAGCGTAAAAAACACTATATTAAGGTAAAAAAAAAAAATCGAAAAAAAAGTGTGTCCAGTAAAGTAGATTTATACCTAAATTAATGATAATAACATTTAAATTTAAGTTTTCAGTATAAGTATATTAAGTCATTTTACGACTCGTAAGAATAAAAATTATGATCTGATGGGCGATGATATGTCCACGTTCCAACCGTTGAAGTGTTTTTTTGCAACAACCAATTCTTGCAACGCGCCTATACTATTAAAATTAGCTTATCTAGAAAATACTGTGTCCATTTTAAAATGTAACAATATATTTTTTTTCTAAGAGTATATATAATGTTTCACAGTATAAGCAATTATAATTAATTATATAAGTAATACGTCAAACTACTTGGAAATCAATTTACGGAGAAAGAATGATATACGTTTTAAAAGGCGCTCGCGGCTCAAATGCTTTTACAGTATACACACTACTTGGTAAGGGCCGATCAAAACGTACCAGGTTAAACAATAATTGTTACGTTCATAGAACGACAGATAAATGTAAATATATTGATGTAAATTGATGTACTTACGGAAATCGATGCGAACACGCTAATTCGGCGGCCGGCGGGCCTTGTCGTGTGAACAAACTCGGTTGACGACAAGCTCATACGGGAAGTGGGAACTGGGGAGAACTTGGGAGTTCAGACCGCCCTCGGTTATATTCGAGCCGACCGACCGACCGACAGACGTTATCGCAAACAAGTTAAACCTCGATTATTATATAACCCGAGATCTCTAACCTTGTCCGTTCAGCACGTACGGTAAGTGCGCGGCGTATGCGGCGTTTGGCGGAAATAGTGATGTGTAATATTGTGTTTATGTGTATTGACTATTGGTACAGTGTGAACTGTTTATATTGTAATGTAGTTTACTATGAACATTGAACTGCGTCGAGTGGTCGTGTGTGTGTGTGTGTAGCGTACCGTACCAGGGCAAAACATATAGGTATGTCAGCAATTTGTGTTATCAATTTTTACAACATGGCCGACGCTGGTCTTCAGTTAGAAATAAACGGTCGTCCGACAGCCGTATCGCGGTAATCATAATTTGCTGACCTACCTATCTAGTTTTTTATAATGGCCGCCTTGCAAAATTGCAAACAGATGATTTTGTCAGTGTCGTCCACCCAGTCTACAACCACATGATTATTAAACGTTTCTTCCATGAAATAAAACATTTTTAAGCCCGCTAAAAATGTATAATTTTGTCAAATCGACGTATTCGAGTTTAGACTAATAATTCATAAATCATAGATACATAAAACAACATGTTTGATACATCTATGTGTAAATTGATGTACTACAATATTTTTCAGAAACCGTAGTAGACGATCCGGGCTACTAACCACTTGTATACGGATTTAGTAGTGTTGTTTTTATTCAAAAACTAGCACAACTTGACGACAATACACAAAAATTAAATTTTAAATAGTGCAAGAATGTAAAATCCGATTTATCCTTTATTTGTACTAGGAGATTTTTACTATTTTTTATAGGCGAAAGTCGTTCAACGGTTATTTTATCCACACTTATTTTATTTTAATGCAATTTTATCATTAATCATTACACGATATACCTATAATCTATAGAAAATATATTATACAGTTATATAACCTCACTCAATTGCTTAAAAACATGAATAACCTTCGACTTCTTACATATAGTAAATCATAGATAATGTGCTTTATATTAACTGATAGTTACTACCATAAATAGTTTGTAGTTTTCATTGTATCTGTGTATTGCTAAAATTATACAAACATGTGTTGATTATTGTTTATTGTTCTACGTTTTTTTTATCTAATTTCTAATTCAAAATATTATTTAAAAACAATATTACTTATTATTGTCATGTACCTACCAATTACCAATTTCGTAAACCTTTTTTTAGTAATGCTAAATCTTAATCTTAATTATTGTAACTGTTATCTATAACACTTTCTTAATTATTATTATAAAAAATAGTTGTTTTAAAAGTAATATGAAATACATTTTAATCGCCTACACCAAACTCCTTAATATATTAGGACTATAACGTCCTCTTAAATATATTTATTTATTACCATAAAAATAATAAGCTAAATAAAATAATTTTACATCACAGAAATCGCATTGTAATGTTTATTTATTTATAAGGAATTGTACTTGTATTTCAGCGTTGAAACGTAGATTATATATTATTTCGAACTAAATTGTGAAAAACAATTTTAAATAATTAAGCTTATTCAATCTGATAAAGTTCCGAATCACTCGAAAATGGAGGACTGTCGGAATTCTGACTGCTAACATAACTGCACACTAACACACTATCCGTGTTTTCTTGACTGTTAGGGCTGGAGCAATTATAACTACTCTCTGATGTTGAACGATAAACATCATTTTCTTGGTCACTACTACTGCAATGGCTACAGCTGCAAGAATCATTGAGGCTGTACCTAAAACCACTATCTTCTAATTCACCATCTTCGTCATCGTCATCCATATTATCGCTTGGATCACTATCAGTTTCTTCTAGAGATGTAGCAACAAACATTTCTTGCGTTCCACTCACAACACTATTATTGACACTCAAGTCATCATCACTAACCGCACTAGTACTAGTATCTTCTTCTTGCAGCGAATCAGTGCTGTTTAGATCTTCAGAATCGTCTACATTTATATTATCATCTGATTGGTGGGAAGTAGAAAAATCATCATCGCTTTCATTGTTCACATCCCAATCGTCGTCGTTGGAATTATTATATTCCCATGAACTCTCTAATGAGTTATAATCATCACCGTCGTTTGAGTAACGGTAATCATCGATTTCATACGAATCTTCATAATCATTAATCTGATTGTTATTAATCATAATTTCTACTGGATCTATGCCTAACATTCTTAACTCTTCTTCATTCATGTCACTTGGTAAGGCGTTTCTCATTTCGTTTCCTGTCGTTCGAGGCTGATTTATGAGTGCCAATAGTGCATTGATCATGTTATACGGTTGTAATGTCCTAATTTCTAAAATAAAAAAGTAAAAAATCGTATTACCAATTAAAATAACACAAGACTTAAGCGTATAGATCCTTATCTTATATCGTATACTTACCTTGAGAACAGTTATATTTACAAGGTTCACAATCACCATCATGACATACATTTTCACACAAGTGATTTTTGCATGTTAGTTGCTTTGAGCAAATATTGTGACAAGCTATCGGGGCTGACTGTCCACATTGAATATCGATTTTGGTTTTACCACATCCACAAGTCCTGAAAATATTAACAAGAAACCAATTTAAAACTTTAATTTAGGTACGTTGTTAATCGATATCTTATGTTTGGATATAAGGAGACTATGTGGCATAGCAATGGGCCTTAATGACATTTCAGAGCTGAAAAAGAAGACTATAATCTACAATATAAAGTCTATAGGTGAGTATCGTGTATTTTTTGTTACCTTTGTACTTGCACTACACACTGAGGACATGGTCCAGGATGACAAAGTAGAGTACATTTATGATGACAATCGTACATTTTGTTAGAATTTGTTTTCCGAATCCCACAAATTTGTCCACACGTGTGTGGAGTATCCACGTTATTAGAAAAAGGGTTTGTTAGGTTTCCACAAAAACATGAATAAATTGGTTTTTGGTTAACTTTACATTGACACGCTGGACATTTCCAAACATTTCCTAAATAAATGTTATACTTTACAGCTTAAGTGCATTGGAAATTGGAATTGGCTATGCCCTCAATAGTTTAACCATACCATTATAGGATTTGAGATACCAGACTGTAATGCATTTTAAGTGAAAAATTTGAAAACAAATACGACAACTCCAAATTGGTTCATCATTTTCCGTCCGTTCAAAACATACCATACAGTCTACTTGCCCACTGTTCAAAAGATCAATCAGCACATCTCTTTGAGATGACATGGCTGGAAATAAACACAAACGGTAATCTATCTGAATAATACAAATTCAGACTTGAACTTACAAGATTTTGAGCCAGAGGCAGTAGTTAATACAGCACTTTGATGTTAAAGACCTATTTCTATACTTTAAAAAGCTTTATGTGGTCGTAAAAAATTATATATTTTTAAATTTTAATATAAATAATATATATTTCTATAGTAACAATTATTGTAAGATTATGCAATTATTAAAATTAGGAAATGGTTCAGTTGCTTGATAATAATATATTGTAACACACACAACCCACGGCTTTTAGACGACCTAGCCTGACTTAAGTTTTTTTTTTTTGTGTTGACAGAAACATTTTTTTTCTCACGACCCGATTTAATTGTTAACGATCTCTATCGATCGTAAACCTTATGTAGTTGTCAGATCCAAAGTAGGTTGCAAAGGTCGACTTGTTTTTCCTCTATATGACATGACGAAAATCCTTTAAAACAGAGATCTAGAGGCAGGATATGAGTTAAAGAAAGATAGTTGTTCAAAATGTATCTTGCTTCTTGGGTACGAACACAACCTGCACCAAAATGATATATTATTACTGATTGTGCTGGACTGCTAACAATTCGTATCGAAACCAAGCACATAAAATAACAGAAAAGGCTTTGGTAGCAATATTTATTTGTTTAGTTACAATAAGGCATAATACATACTGAACAAGTACGGCCTTTACAACGGATACATTCATTGCAGTACTACATAGATTATTGCTAAATGAGGCAGACCGTCTAAAATCTATTTAGGCAACGGAACCAGTTTTGTAACAGCTTCGAAGGTAGGTACTCGAATTACTCTTTAAACAAGATATTTATACATACAAATAAAATAAAAAAATGAGTGTCTTATGTTGAATGGATTATTGTAATATTATGTACCTAATTCAAACGGTTAAAATTGGTACCCCAATTATATTGGACACCCTGTAGGCAGTAAACATAATGTGAGTGTTGGCGTTATTTCTACCACAGAATCACGTCATTGATATAAATAACACTTATGATTTTGTATACGTCAGATATTAGACAAGCTATATCTAATCAGTTAATAAGGCGCTACGGACTTTAATCGAATTTATCGACTAGTGTCGTACACATGTGCGTTAGCAAACCAAAATGTTCAAGTCCGTTTTTGAGAGTTTCGATATAAAACTGTCCATTTTGGCAGCGGTCGTAGCCCTTTTATACGCTTATGTCACGTGGAACTATAGCTACTGGTCAAAGTCAGGCGTAAAAACCCTGCGGACACCAATTCCGTTATTTGGCCATTTTTTTAAATCCATAGTAGGCCTACAGCATACAATGGAGGTGATTGATACCATCTACCAGGAAATGGGCGACCAACCGTATATTGGAGTGTACAATATGCGTACCCCACAGCTGGTCATCAAAGACCCAGAACTAATAGGTGACTATTTACAATTCTTAAAATTATACTTTTAATAACTTAATTTCACTTCTATGTGGCGTTACTATCGAATAAATAAAATAAAATATACTTGTACTCATGATTCTTTAAGAGTCAAAGTAAATATTTAACAAAAATGAGAGACCATTAAACATGTAAATTAAAAAACCATTTTTATATTGTGTAAAAAATTGCACATACAGCACAAAAAATGAATATTTCATATAGAGTTATGTAAAAATGTTTTGGATAGTTACATTTAAGTTTAAAGTTAAGGGCGGAAGGAAGGGTAAAGTGTAGTATTATGTTCATCTCGATTCTGCACACATTATTCTACAACATTCCACTCCTGTCCTAAATTTTAAATGTAAGTAACTTTAAAAGTAATTAGCCAAAACTGGTTATCGGCCAGTGAAAATTTTCAGAAAATTATTCATAATTTAATAAGTTTATTAAATATAATATATGTAACCATTTTAGTTGTAAAAGTTGATAAAGCTCTAGAATAAAAAGTAAAAAATTTGACTATTATTTAATATTGTAAAATAACATAAACTAAATTATCTCAAAAAAGAAAAAAAATGCTATTTTTAAGAGAAAATAAGTGTCTTATCTTTTAAAAATCATCCTATACATGACAAAAAATCGAACATCAACAACTATGTAAATTTTTTAAGAATTATTGTGAATCGAGAATCGTGTTAAAAGCATTTTTTCGTTTTTTCTTAATAATATCAAATTTAAATACTGATGTTTGAAAAAATTGTTGGTATAGGTTATAGGGCACAATAGATTAGGGTTAATGGTATATACGAGTACTATAAAAATATAGTCAGAGCCCAAGGGACACTAGGGGTAAATTGTTGTAAAATATATACTGTCTCTTAGGCCTTAATAACTAGTATGAATGACAAGGATTGTGGAAGCGGCAAGGGACCTTAATGGTCCGTATTAATAGGCCAGAAGAAGAAGAAGAAGAAGAAAGTCACTTTAGGGATGGCGAAGATTTGTTCAAATTTGGCTTTGAGTCGATTTGTGGGTAGGGGCAAGCCTAATAAATATTTTATAAACATTTCGATCCGACCGTTTTTCGCTAATTAAAGCAAGTCAAAGTTCAAGTTGACTGATCAATTTATTTTTTAGTTTTTTTCCGGGTTTAGAGGTGAAGTAGACTTTTCCTTCTTTTGACCCAGCGAAGTACCACTCGCATACGATTACGGATCGATAGAAATGCTACTCCAGTAAATCAGTCCACAGAAAAAACCATTACTTCAAAGACAAAAAAAATATCATAAAATATCGATTTTATTTTGCCTATTGTATCGAAGGCCGAAACTATATAACAGTAAATTATACACAAGCATAATTTCTTTGTGTCACTTTGTTTTATAACCATGAATGTACGTAATGCAATTTAATTTTCCAACTATAAAATTAATGAAACAAATTATTATCATTAAAAAACTATTTAAGTACCCACTATTAAATAGTAATAAAGTATACGATGACTATTCAAATTATACTAAACATCTAAAGCTTCGCAATAAATTATATTTTACCGAACATTAAATAATTATTTTTAGACAATTTACCATTTTAATTAACTACTATACTATAATAGATTATGCAAAATAAGTAGGTTTTTATCTTGATCCAAAATTTTGTTGGGTTCCTCAGATTAATACACTATTTTGTCATGTTTTTTTCCTCTTATTTCAGTCCTATCCTGGTACAAAATAGAAAAGGAAAACCTTTTCCGTTTCTTTAACAGTTTAACTCTTGTCATTAAAATAGACACTTTTTTATATTTTATTCTGTTTTACACTACAGTAAAAAAATTAATTAATTAATCCTCACGAATTTAGGCCTTTTGAATCACTTCTTACTCCTCAATACTCTGAACTAATAGGCAACCGTGAATTAAAATCTACAATAAGTACATGGTCTGTTAATTACTTGAATTTATAAACAATTTCACACTTAAAATTTTTGTTTGGTTCTCTTTAAAGTCTCTCTTAAATAATATTTTATTTTTACAAATTCCCATAACTATGTGTTGGCGTCGATAACAGTTTTCCAGTTTTCCATTCTGTCATAATACTCTCGTAGGTATTTAATATATTTTTCTCTACTAACTTTTATCCATTTTTTTCATTCCATTTAGATATGGTAGTATTATTATCTGAGCTTTAAATTTGGAATTTACATAAACTATACCTACCACTATGAATTATGCGGGAATTCCGAGTCATGTCACGTCTGCTAAATATTCAATTTAGTCACTGTTTTAAATCTACCTTTCTATGACTTCTTAGTACTATCAAGTAATACATAATACAGTATGTAAATGCCATTTTGCTGATTTTCGGATATATCCACGTTAGTATTTTTAGGTCGACATTTCGAACTCATTGCAGAGTGCAATGCGTTCGAAACGTCGACCTAAAAATACTAACGTGGATATATCCGAAAATCAGCAAAATGGAATTTCAATCCACGAAAGCTTAACGCATTCATATTAGTATATAAATGGTCATCCTTCAAATGTCTCCACTTGTCGTAGATTCAATCCCCAGTCATTTCCGGTTTTATTGTCTGGATCTAATATACATCTAATGTATCCAAAAGGGTTCCACCCGTCGAAAAAAAAATTAGAAACTATAAAACTATTATTTTTATTAGATAATAATCGTCAAATATAATTTCTGACAGGTCGAGTGCTCATCAAAGACTTTAGTCATTTTACCGATCGTGGTATTTACTATGATATTCATTCAAACCCGTTAAACGGAAATATATTTCTTACGGGCGGCGAACGTTGGAGGACTATGCGACAAAAGCTCAGCCCAGCGTTTACCACCAACAAGCTTAAGTATATGATCGAACAAATCCAAGAATGCAGCGACATCCTGTTAAAGACCATCGGCCAATCGATCGATAAAGAGTCCGGCAAGATGGAAATTCGGGATATGATGGGCAAGTATTCAACAGACGTTATAGGTAGCTGTGCATTCGGACTAAAGGTAGACGCCATCAACGACCCGGACTCGGAATTCCGCAAGCACGGCAAGGCCGTTTTCACTCCTTCATACAAGTCTCAGTTAAGGGCTGCTATTATATTCATGCAACCGTCGCTTGTACGTCTGCTCGGCATGAACTTTTACTCTCAAAAAACCATTGACTTTTTCCGAGACGCCTTCCAACAGACCATCCACTACAGACAACTAAATGATTGTCAGCGAAACGACTTTGTTCATCATTTAATGAAGGCCAGAAAAGATTTAGTGCTGAATCCTGAGCTGAAAGATGAAGGTAAGCTGGATTTATTTATTACTTACTGCTTACAATATAAAATAATTTAATATAATAAAATATTATGATTTTTCTTCATATTTTTTTCAATTCGAAGGATTTTTAAGGAGAACCCAATTTGAAATTTACTTATATATAAAACTTTCTTAGCTTACTGAAAAAATAAAAAAATTCTCAAATTTGGGCAACACGAAAAAACTCGATTTCAATGTCTTTGTAGAAATGAAGAATATAGAAAAAAACCAAAAATACTTTATACGATCACGGTCAAAATAATCGAAAAATAATTCCAAAAAAATTGAAAACATTCTTTCTATCGTAACAGACGTGCAAGGTAAGTTTTAAAGAGTTCTGCGGGGGGGGGGGGGGTGCTCCAAAAGTTAATTTGTATTTGGCGTATTCGCCCATATATACTCCATTCGTAGCAATGTCTTATAGAATCATTATGAATAATGATTTGAAAGTAAATTTAGCTTTTATAAGTAACAGAGAAAATATTTTAAAATTACAAGAATAAGAGTAGAAAGGTTGACAGAGGCTCAATGTTAAATTACATTTTTTAATAAGTACACTGATTACACAAAACATTTCATTGGCTGTATGTAATTATAGATATCGATATTATGATGATAATACATATAAGAAACACGTTAAAAAATAAAATTGTTAGCTATGTAAGTTTTAGTAGTAGAAAGTATTCAAATGAATTAACATTGGTAGGACGTACGAGCAGAATCATTTATTGTTTTGTCCAACTTTTAGAAAAATATTCTGAATTGGATATTGTGGCCAACGCGTACATTTTGTTCGTTGCGGGATTTGAAACAGTTTCGACTTCCATGAGCTTTTGTTTGTATGAGTTAGCATTGAAGACGGATATTCAGGAAAGGGCAAGAAAGGAAATCGCCGGCGTCAAAGCCGAAAACGGTGGTAAATTGGACGTCGAATGTCTAAACAAACTACATTATTTGAACATGATTATCAAAGGTAAGGCTTAACATTTGTTATTATAAAGTAAGAGCGCATTTTCATGTCAATATTTTTAATGTACTACTATTATATCTTTGCACTATATTTCTGAAAAAAAAACCCATTAAAAAACCGGAACTAAATATTACAAGTGGCGTGTGTCCTAGACAATTTACTGTATTCAATGAATAATTATTATAAAATATAACGACGATGATATCATTTTTTATGGACGATTTTCAGAAACACTGAGAAAGTATCCTCCACTCATAACGTTAAACAGGATAGTGACCAAACCGTACACAATACCGGATACAGACATAACGCTTAGACCCGGTACGAAAATAATTATACCAGCAAAGTCTATACACTACGACCCCGAGAATTATCCAAACCCATTGAACTTCGATCCAGAGAGGTATTCCGAAGAAAACATCAACAAATTGCATCCCAACACGTACATGCCCTTTGGAGACGGTCCTCGGTTTTGCATAGGTACATTTTTTTTTGCGATTTGCGTATTATTAACTATACGGTTTTTCTGAAGTAGAAAGGTTCTCGTCGTCCAATGGCCGAGAATTGATAATAACTATCTACCTATATAATTTTACAGGAAAACGATTCGCCGAGTTCGAAATGAAATTGGCTTTGTCGGAAGTACTAACCAACTACGAAGTTTTGCCATGCGAAAAGACACAAGTTCCCATTCAATACGTCATAGGTAGTCTTGTAAATATACCCAAAAGCGTTTGGCTTAAATTCAGACCGATAAATGTCTGAAGTAATGGTTTTGCTTATACAAAAACTCTAACAAATATACAAATATCGTGTAAATGGAACTGTTTATGGAAGGAAAAAGGTTTTTTTTTAACTTATAACGTAGTTTTCTTTAATAAATACAATTTTTTTATTTGTTATATTCCGTTTTTTTCCCTTGTATTTGCCTAAGATATGTTTACTTGAGGCAATAGGGTAGTGAAATTGCTAACTTTCTTATTTTCCGTCTTAGGGTTTTTAAAATTTTGATTCCTCTTTGAAAAAAAATTGTTTTCAAAAAATATTTTTTTTTACATGTAGGTATATAAGTTCCCAGTAGGAATTAATTTAGGGAGAAAAAGGTAGGTACTCTCATAAAAGTCGAAATAACTCCACTTCTAATCGATGGAATTTCGCATTCTTGGTCTCATTCTAATGTGGGTGATATATTCGAAAAATTGTAGAGAGCGTTTCACTGTAACTGAAGATTTGTAATTTTGGCAACTTCATAAACTTTATTTTAAAAAAATGGGTTTTATGCTTTCGCTCCGCCCTCTCCCCTCCCCCTTAATTCTATCGAAACCCCTTCTTAGTTCTTTACAATTTGACGAGCATATTACATGAAACAGAACGAGATAAAGAATGTGAAAATCCGTCGATTAGAAGTGGAGATTTTTCGAGATTTGTATTGCAAAACATGTAAAAAACGGATTAGCGGGAAATGAGCTTGAACGATAGCAAGCAAGCAGGCTCTAAATGTGGAAAACTTGTCCAAAAAGTGCAAAAACTCCCACTTATAACATCCAAAGTGACTTTTACGACCTATCCACATGTTCCCCATATCCCATAGAACAACATAAAAAAAAATCAAGTTTTTGGGTAGATTTTACTAATATATCGTCTTAAAATTACAATATGTTATATTTAAAATTTAACATCCAACTTTTGCATATTGGGAAACATATAAACATATAACTGTTCATAACAATGATAAAAATCGTATTGAATACCTTAATGATTTTCATGTATACCTCATCCAAAATATTAAATTTATTTTTTTAGGTTTTTACTTAGAAAATAGCTCTAAAATATGAATCTTGAATGTTAACATTTTCGGCGGAGGGCCCCTAGACCCCCTTTTCAATGAAGGGTGTTCCATACTACCCAGTAGGGACTAGGGCCAGCGCACCACAGGTTCAGTCTACACTCTACAGGAGACTACAGTTCCTAAATGCGGCCCTGGTTATTTTTAAATTAATTTTATCACGATTACTCTGCGATTTTCAACGAGTTTGTTTCTACCCAGTTATAGAGCCAAAAGCCAAGTGTCCATGAACCCCAGAAACTCTGTGTTCGATACCAACAGATTAATAGGGTACTGCTTTTAAGACGAGAAAATACAAGTCGATATGATGCACTGGCCATTCAATGTAGTCAAGGACTGTGAAAACCCGAAACTACAATTGAAAGGCAAGGGGTTTGGACCGGAAGAGATCAGTTCGATGGTGTTGACCGCCGAAGTGTATTTGGGCCAGTGTTACATGTATGATGATGTCATGGTGCGCTAGCACACATCGATGATTCTCAGAGAGAAGCCATAATCGTTGTAACATTTGAGTGAGATGCAAATGGCATACGTTTCATTAAAATGAGAAAAGAACAGATGTTTCAAGCTGATATTAATCGTAATATATTCGTATGCTTAGCTAGGCTGGGCGTTTTGTTTTTTATTTATTGAAAATTAAATTTGACTACAGATTTTTAAGAAAATTGTTTATGTTATAAGCTATAACATACATAAATCAACAATATTCTAAAAACATATATCTTAAAGCTCTACATTAGATGTAGCTTTAGACTGGTTTTAAGACTTTAAGTTCTAAAACTTTGTTCAAAAAAGACAAATTAAGAAAAAGTTTCTACCTCTTCTGAGGGAAATGGTTTTTGATATTCATTTAGTTTGTCAACGTATTTTGATATTACTGAGTCTAGAGACTATTCCATACAAATTTGTAACTAATTAGACTAATTTTTATAAGGCTATAATACTCCGTATTTTTAAGTTGAACATTTGTTAACCTTTTGGGTGTTTTTCTCGATTTTGAAGAGCAATAGGTGAACTTTTGCCAGTTAAAGTAACTTTTAGGTACGATTTCTAATTTATAGATTTCCTACTTGAAGAAATTGGTTCAGCATTTTAGAAGATATCGTGAGTCCAGACTCCAGACAAAAAAAAAAAATACTTTTTAATAAAATATGGAAGACTGAAGATGTTTTTATGGTGTGCCATGTGTAAATCGAGAATCAATAAAAACATATTTTTAATACAATTAAATTTATAAATCAATAACCAACATTGTTATATAAAACATAAATCTCGTAACTCAGTCTAAACACAATATTAAAATATTTATTTAAAAATAATTTACAAAAAATATCGCTAAAAATCTATTTTTCCCATATAAATTTCTAAAACAGTAATGACAGTTTCACTTTAGTAATATTAATTTTTTTTTCAAGTAGTTATTCATCAGCTACTGAGACATTTTTGAAATACTACAATTATTCACAAAATTAGGATGTAGACTTAAAACCAAGATTCTAATTTTACATGGTAAAATAGTTGTCAGACACTATATTTTTTTTAAGGGTTTATTTATCAAAAATAATGTATATCCCATAAAAATTTAGAGTAATACAAAAAAATTGGTAAGTATTCATAATAATAAAAAAAAAATTGGTATAAAATGACTAATTAAAACTGATCAGATACTACAACAGGTTTATCATAATTAGAACTAGAACAGAGAGAATCACATAGGTTTTTCAACTCCATGTTGTTAACGTCAATACCAAGTCGCTTTAGGTATGAAAAATACTTAGTGTGCCGTAAGTTACCAGACGGTTGGCTTGATCCCTGCATTCGGCTCATAGATCGTATAGTAGCCAAGTAATCGAAACTTGTTTGGTTTTTACGATTGCAGTTTTCCAAACCAATTTGATTTAATATATCTTTGGAGATTTCCCATATTTTTTGCCGAGAACTAAAAACGAAATAGGTCACTTTATGGTTATCTCAAAAGTTATACAACTATACGTAATATCATTATAATACCATAAAATATCTGAAGAGGGATATTGTAATTCATGAACAGCATTCTGATTATTAATTTTATCATGAACCCACTGGGTTATTTCAATTGACAATTCGTTAGCATTAACTGGCGAATGATTACTAGTGCATAATGTAGCACTATCTCTTGTTGTAAGATGATACCAAAATGGTTGTGGGTCCAAAAACCCATAATTCTATAATAAAATGAGCGATTCATCATAATCCACCACCATGAACATCAAAAAAGTTTATTATGCATACCTGTGTTTTAGAATATATAATATTCATTTGCGACAGTGTATCTAAGTATTGAGATAAAGTTGAAATATTTTTTGTGAAATTATTTTTTTCGTCTTCTCCAGAATTAGACACCACATTACCGTTTAATGTTGGCCAATTCCACCATAATGAGTCTATGTTTCTTTCATAAGTAGGTTTGGGCGTACTCTAAATACACATTTAAAAGAAAGAATATATTGGACAAATTGACTTAATTAAAAATGTTAATATGCGTTGATAATTTGGAAATTGACAATTTCTTATGAAGTCCGATTTGGATTTTCTGAACATTGGTGTCTTTTGAGTATTAGGTAAAATAATAAAAGTATTTAAATAAAAACCCGTCAAATTGAATAATATTGTTATTTGCTAGTATTATATAAATACATCTGTATGTGTTAAAATTTTCATGGATTGCAATATTAACTTGACAATTTTCAAATATTGATTGCTGAAGAAAGTCGAAACATGATTTTTATCATTTTGGAGTTGATAACAAAAAGAAACAGTCCTTTAACATCTCCAACGAAAAATATATTTTAAAAATCTGTCGGGGATTATAGGTAATTTGTATAAGAATACATAAAAAATTTAAATAAGTATACTAAATTAAAACTTTGTTTTTGCTTTTCTCAAAAATTAAGTTACGACTTTCTTTGCAGTGGCAGTCAAAATATCCATATCTTTGTTTCGGGGCTGACGTTTCTTACTGATTGCATGATCTATTATCAGAGCGATAGTCATTGTTCTAGGGATAGTATAGTCGCAACATATAAAGACATGGATACATAAGAAAATTATCAAGTTAATAAATTTACCTGTACTAGCTCTCCGCTTTTTATAATATACTGTAACTGCAATAAACTTTGCCTGATATCAGGTTTAAAAGGATGTACCAATGAGTCTATTTCCTTTTCTGTCAATATAGCACCTTCGGTTAATGCTATCAAATGAAGAAGACCTTCTGAAACATAAGGGAAAAACCTAATTTCAATCATTTGTTTTTAAAAACAATTAAAACATTTTTTAGGGACTTACTCAAATGTTTTTTGGGCGGATAGTCAAAACTAAGGGTAATTTCATTTGAAAAAAAAAATTTAGTTAAGTGATTGCTAAATGGATCATTTACAACTAAAATTAATGGCCGCTTAGAATCCCTTCCTAAAGTAGATATTGCAGACAAAAATCCATCATCATAGTTGTCGAAGAATATATCGGCCTAAGAAAAATACAAACAATAAGTTGTAAAGGTAATTTTTTAACTTATTCAAATAAATTCTTACATCTTCTATCAGTATAATTGACATTTTTTCTTTTTTATCTTCTTGTTTTTTAACATTCTTGACTTTTCTTTTTTTTTCTAACAAATGTATACAGAAAAAAAATGTTTACAATGTAATGTATATTGTATCAAGACGATCTGATATTATTGCATATACATTATACAATTTATTTAAGTCTGCTAAACTATTATAGTACACAAAGAATGTATTTTGAAGAACATTTATCTCTAGATAATTGTTATGTTAATTACCTTTAACCATACTAAAAATGTTTTTTTTAACAGCATGAGACTGAGTTGCTTCTATTAGGTCAGTTAGTATTCGTTTTCCATTTCGATTACAAGAAGCGTTCAACTCTATAATCTAAAAAAAAAAAATAGATTTAAACTTGACGCTAAAATAAATCTACCTTCACATTCAGAAAATTACATTGGCATCTAGTTCCTTAGCCGCGGCGTAAACGGCTGCAGTTTTTCCGCAACCGCTTGGTCCAGAGAGAATGGCTAAGTTAAGTGGTACTTTCTGGCTAGAATTACTGTCACTGTCATCAATCAAATCATCATAGTTACTAGCTAAAAAAAATATATATATACTAGTTAAAGATTAATTCACTTTTTTAATTTCCAAAAATGTTAAATACAAACATGTTGTGAGTTTATAATTAGAGTTTTTTCTATAAGATTCCAACCATCTTTTTAAATCCTTGACAAGCATATTATTGCCGAGGACTTCTGCACAACATGCAGGCTTATATTTATCAACCCACATATCTTCATCTTTATTAGAGTTCTTATGGGTTAGTACTCGTTTCTTCTTTAATTGTTTGTACATATCAGAAATTGCTAAATCTGGAATCTAATAAAATGAAATATTTATTACTGTAATAAAATATCTATATAATAAACCATGTCTAATTTTTTACATACACTATTTTTTAACGATTTAACCATGTATGGTACATCAATAGATGTTTGGTAAGGCTCCAATGTAAGGCCCTCGATATTTGAGCCTAAGGTAGTAAAAACAAGATTTGTGCTTCTTACAACATTGTCGTGCAATACTGTGTCTCTTAAATTCAACACGTCATCTGAAACATTTTGCACCAGTGACCAGTTTGCATGAGTAATTTTTGGAAAACAACTTAACTTTTCATAAAAATAACTGTTGTAAGTCAAATTATCGTTCCTCCTGCAAAATAATATTACAAATTTAATTCCTACAGTATAAGTAAATTTAATTAAATATTCAAACTTACTCTAATGCACAAATATTGACAAAAGAAGAACTCTTTATTAATTTTCTATCAATGATTTTTTTCTTCTTTTTACTGGGAGGCAGATCAGCATTGCAATCTATACTATTACTCAAATCGCTATTATCGTTGTCCAAATCAATCATTACAGTTCCAGTAGATTTTTCTGTTTTACTGTCAAGGGTTTTACCAAAATATGCAAAAAAAGCTTTTTTTTGCTTCGAATCTCCATTGCAGTTTGATGACAATTTTTCTTTCCCCACAAGCGATTCGCGTTTATCTTTGGAAATTTTTTTCTTTTTGCCCTCCGTAACTAGCCCGTCATCCGACGACCTTTTGGCTGCGCCGCCGGCCATTGTAATTAATATCGACCAATCGTTGACAGTATTACCAGAATCTGGCTATTGGCATAATTGTGAATTAATTTTAAAAATTAAAAATATTCGTACTGTTTGCAGTTTGATATATTATTTAAAAAAACGGCATTTAACTTACATGGCTAGTTATGATCATTGATCAGTAGAAACTAGAAAAGTTCCCGCCATTTATTATCAACGAGTACAAGTCTGGTAAACAATATTAACATCATTGATAATAGATTATATTATGGCTACCATTCCGACATTACGATTTTTTTATCTATTCTGTGGTACCACTGACTACCATATTGATAACTTGACGTGTATGGTGACAAATAATGATAAGAATTAAGATCCTGTAACATAAGTAATAATAACTATTTACTATGGCAATGTACACTACATAATAATGTGTAACATAGTACAATTTTAAACTTTTTATTTATAGACAACTATGTCGATTGAAACCAATTACAATTTATTTTTTGTATAATTATTACTGACAGTATTTTTTTTTTTGACTTAAATAAAATTGTGAATTTGAACTAACAGGTCAAAATGGAGCATTTGGAATTGCTGTCACGGAGACTGGAAAGTATGACCGTAAACCATGAGTGGAAAAGTTTAATTGGAAACGTTCCTTGTCCGAAGTCGGTTCTGAGATATTTGCATTCAAGTGAAACTTTAAAGTAATTTTTAGTGTTACTGCTGTGTAGTTTTAAATTATCATGTTTTGCGTTGGTTACGTACGTTTCAACTTATTTTCTAAAAATGTATTAGATTAAATGAACGACCGTGTTTGAAAGAATATAAAACCAAGATAGCAGGTATCATTAACGACCATTCAACAGGATCACCTAAGAAATTTAATGACGATCATAATAAATTTAATACTGTTGGCCAACATGAGATAGTGGAGTCAAATAATGAATTTAAAAGGTAAATGTTAGTTGCTCCAGAAACGAACTGTAAACAATTAATTTTATTTTTAGTAGTACGTCGGGTATGATAGAATCATTAGTATTCACACCGAGCAACATGCATTCAGATGATAGTGCAAATGATACGACAAAGAACAATTTACAAAACTCTGTAGAAGAAAAACGTGTAAAACAACCAAGAAATAAAAAGGAAAAGAAACGAACACTTTTAAATGAATCTATCAAAAATGGTAATAGCTCAAAAGATCAAAATCGATCAGTAGTCGATAACTCGTAAGTATTAATGATACCATAAAGACCCCTTTAATAATGCTAAAAACTAATAAGTATGTATGTCATTTTCATTTCTATCATCAAGTAATAAAGCATATTACCCAGACTACATGTCATTAGATGATGTGAAAAAAGGCTTAGAAAATGGAGAACTCTTTGAAGGAAATATACGTATTAGTCAAAAATGTTATTCTGAAGCATATGTTCCTTCACCTGTTAGTAAAATTTGTATTGTTTTTGTTTTACTTACTATTAAATGTTAGCTTTGTAACAGTTGGTGTATTATTATAGGACAAATCCAAAGATATTCTTATTAATAGTGTTTTATTAAGAAATCGCGCTTTTGACGGTGACAAAGTCGCTATAAGAATATTACCAAAATCACAATGGCGGGTAAGTTTTTAAAACTTTTGTAAAGATAAATATCTAATTGCAATTAAAGAAAAACATAAAAATTCAGAAACATGTTTTTGTTTTGATAATATAGAATCCAGATTCTGACAATTGTCAAAGAACAGGAGAAGTAGTTTACATTTTAGAAAAAAGTGAAAATCGAGTTATAGTTGGATATATACAGATAGATAAAGGGACTAGTTCTAATTTTGGCCTGCTGGTTCCGAGAGATCAACGATATCCAATGGTTTTAATAAAAATATCAAAATGGATGAAACCAATATCATTCAAAAATAATTCTAGAAATTCAAATGAACTATATTACGCAGTAGTACAGCAATGGGATAACTTCAGATTTCCCAAAGGGTATGAATTTTTTAGTTTACAATTATATATCAAATAAATAAACTGTCATTTTGATTTTATAGAATTTTAAAAGATGTGCTTGGAGAAGTGGGTGAGATTAAAGCCGAAACTTCCGGTATTTTAATGTCCTATAATATATCAGAAAGTCCGTATCCTAACGACATAAAACAATATTTCCCACCAATGTTTTCTATTGAAGAAGAGCTAAAACAACGAAAAGACTTAAGGTAAATACTTATTTATTAAGTTTTAAATTGAACAACATTGTCTATTATTTGTACAGGAAACAATGTATTTTCTCTATTGACCCTCCTACTGCCAAAGATTTGGATGATGCCCTTTCATGTACTTTACTGCCAAATGGTAACTATGAAGTAGGCGTTCATATATCAGACGTATCTCATTACGTTAAGCAAGGAACGCCATTGGACAAAATTGCAGAGGAACTCGCCACAAGCGTTTATTTAGTACAAAGAGTAAGCACTTTAGGGCAATAAATGAAGATATCATTTTTAATACAAATAATAATAGGTGTATCACATGCTGCCTCCGGAGTTGACCATGATGGCTTCACTGTTACCTGGAACTGAAAAACTCACTGTATCCGTTTTTATAGAAATGACTCCTGATGCTGAGGTAGTCACGCAGACATTCTGTCGATCAATTATACACTCGTGTGCCCAGTTACATTATGCACATGCACAGGTATAATTTTTAATTTTTGATTAGACAAAAATATTAGAGTGTAAGTATTTAAATCGGGGCATTATATTTTAACAGATATTCTTGGAAAATCCCAATAAACATGATTGGGATGAATCAGAGTTTCCTACTGTGCACAACGGGTACAATGTTAATGATTGTGCCGTAACAGTATGTCATTTACACAAATTAGCATCAATAATGCGAAAGAAACGATTTGGCAATGGTGCCTTGTGCATAAACCAACCAAAGTTATCGTTTGAAATTGATCGTGAAACTTGTGCTCCATTATCTTATTCGTTGTACATTCTTCACGAAAGCAATTGGTTTGTTTTAAAATTTATACATAGATATATTAAGTTCTGGATATAATAGCCTCTTAAAAAAAATTAATACTACTTTCTTACATAAATGTTTTGAAGAAATGACACATAGTAAAAGTTAGGTTTATTATATCATTAATGAGTTATAATTAAATCAATTTCTATTTAGTTATAACTCTAATAAAGTATTTATTATGGTGTACTTTTTTAGTTATTTTTTAAAAATTATATTTTTTTTATTGGTTTTTTAAAAAAAAAAAGTCTTATCCCTACATTTCTTTTTGGTGTGTTTTAGGTTGATTGAAGAGTTCATGCTTCTAGCAAACACTTTAGTAGCAGAACATTTGAATAAACATTTTCCTACCACTGCTTTGCTTAGGCAACATCTAGCACCCGAGGCGACTTCATTGGAAAAACTTGTAAAAGTATTAAAAATATATGGTATTGACATAGATACAGCGTCAGCTGGATCAATTCATAAGTCAATAGTGTCATGTTGTCAGAATGAAAACTGGTCGAAATGTGAAATTGTTATTAATAATTTATTGTCCAAACCTATGGTTGTGAGTAAAATAGTTTTTTTTTTTAAAGAAAATAGAAATATGCTAAATCATATTTAAGAATCTTGAGATTCATTTATTTTATCGTGTAAAACTGTTTGGTTGACAGCGAGCTGAATATTGTGTAGCTAGACCAGAAGCGGATATGTCTCATTTTGCACTTAACATACCATATTACACGCATTTTACATCACCTATCCGCAGATACCCTGATATAGTTGTGCATCGTTTACTAATTTCATTGCTAACGGACACTACAATCAAAGAGTATGAAGACCCAGAAGTTATTCATGCGTAAGATACTTAATAATAATAACATAAATTAAATAGATAGCAACACTATTATTATACATAATAGTATTACACTCAATTTATGTATTTTACCATTCACAGTGGTAAAACTATTATAAAATCCAAAAATTAGTAAGCCACAACATTAAACGAGCAATGCCTACTACTGGTTTTTGTATCTATCTTAATATCAATGAAACTTTGAAATCTATATTAATTTATTAAATATTGTAACTTATGAATTATAGGATAGCCAAGAATAGTAATGATAAAAAAAACAATGCAAAGAAGGCTTCAGAAGCCAGTACAGAGATATATGCTGTGTGCCTTGTCAACAAATTGGGATATCTCGATGAACACGCAATGGTTATGGACGTAAAAGAAAATTACTTTGAAGCTGTTATTATTTCAATGAACCTAAATGTTAGGACTTACGTAAACATTGTAAGTGCTTTCAGTATTATTATTTTGAAAACAAAATAATCAGTCAAAGTATTTATTACGTCTTAAATTAAAAATTTATCTTATATTTTTTATTAACTAAAAGTATTACATAATAAATTAGAAATTGCACTTCCAAAATTTGAAAGCTTCAGTTTTTAATTGCATACTATTAACATATTTTTAAAAAAAATATTGTTTGATTTGTTGTAATGAAATATGAAAAGTACCAAGATCAAGTAGAGCTTGGGAAATATTTGTTTAGCTAACATTTTATTTAATGCAGTGGCATTGTGTAAGGAGATAGAAATAGCTTAAAGACACAACAGGGAGAAGGATCACTTTAATGTTCTCTCTCAATTAGCCACTGATTATTTTGTGAATGTTTATATTATTTTCAATCGATTTCCAAAAAGTTCAATGTGTATGAGTTATTTTTTTAATTTATTACTGAAAATGTAATCAAATAATAGACGTCAGTACCTATTGGCTCACATTAAATCACAATTTCAGTTCTGACAAAGTTATTAAAAAAAAATTGCGTTTTAAATATTGTTTATAGATTTTTGACTTATTATTATTATTGTTTGGGGAGTATATATATATTTAAAAAATTTGCTTTTAGAGTGACAAAAATGCAGATTTACACCACAAGGCTTGCAGTTACTCTATTGTTGATGAAAAACCAATTTTGACAATTGTTTGGGATAATACTGGCGAAAACACGCAGATAGTACAATTATTCAGCAAGGTTAGATTACGGCTGAAGAAAAAGAAAAATTGTATGAAACTAAGAGGCATTTTGATTCGAGATAGTTAAATTATTTTGTATTCGACAACTTCAACTGTGATTTAGTTTATAAATTTATTATTATAAATTTGTATACTTATCAATAATTTTTTTTTTTTTTAAATAAAACACTTATTTTTTTCTAACAAACATTTTTTTTTTACTGTGGTTGACACATTTTTTAATTAAATATTATGGAACCTCTATAAATTATCTCTCCTGTCTTCCCTTGAAGATGTTAGCAACGTCCATGACCTGCTGAACCATAGTTGTCCTAACAATCTCCAGCATGCCGCATGACCGATTATGTCATCGAAAATTATTTTCATTTACGCCATAGCAAATTTATCAAACAAACCCATTTTGGAGCTAAGAAGGTATTGTTTTCCATTAAATAATCCACGTTTGTCATATATCCACCATATGACTATGTTCTTGCATTCTTTGAACAAAATGTAACTTGAGCTTATTCCATCATACAATTGTGTTGTAATAAGACTCACGGGAAAGAAACAATATTTATGTTTGTATATTAAACATACATTTTATTTTATTTTTTCAATTACAAATGAACAATTTACAAAACGGTCACTGATTAGTCTATTAAAAATTTAATTAAATCACATAGCTTACAAGAAACAGTCAAATACAACTTAACAATCTTCCAAGTCCAAGTCTTTTTTAATTCTTGTTTTAATATTTTTCTGTTTAGCCTTTTCTATCTTACGTTTTTTGCTAACTTTCTTCTTTGCTTGCTTGGCTATTTTCCTTTTTGCGGCTAATTCAGGATCAGTCATAACCTAAAAAACAATTGAGCGTAATGTACATCAACTTAATTACTAATATGAATTGTATTCCTATAAACTGGTATCAACTGACTTGTAACAAAGATGCTTTCTTTCGCAAAGCTCTCTTTGCATTTAGAACTCGCTGGACAATAGAACAATTTTCATTGTATGTGTCAGGACCACATTTCTTTTTTATATTGCTTGCAGCTCCTTTGGCTACCCGTCTTATTTCAAGTCCGGCGTCATCCAATGTAGATAATTCTCGGATCAATGGTTTCAAAATAATTTTTAAGACTGGGACGAGCTTCACACGTTCTAGTCGAGCCGCTAAAGCACCATATAACTCAAATACGGTTTTCCGCTAAAACATTTAATTGTTATAATAATGTAGTTTGTAATTTAAAATAAACATTGTATGTAAATAAACAATATTTTGTGCAAATATTTTTTTTTTCATTCTCTACCTCTTAATTTATTACATACTATGAGAAGCAAAAAGGGACCTCTGTTGCAAAAATCAAATGTTGAGTTATTGGTTATTCCAAATTTTGTACTAAAATCTAAATTATGAACATTTTGAGACTATAATCGTTCTCCTCAATTTTAGCCAAGTGATATTTGTTTAAATTTATTTTCGGAAAATTTGTTTTTCTAAGAAAAAACGCTTTAAAGTTTGAAATGGTACTCACTTTTTATTGTACATACATAAGGAATGAAACTTAACCAAAAATTAAAAAAAAGTGTCTTTAAGCAGAAAACATAATTTTTTTTCTTCTTAAATATGTTTCTAACCCTGATTGATGTTTTGGCCTTTCCAGCGATTAGGATTCTCGCAGATCCCTTTTCCGTTTCCGCCATATGTTTATATTATAACTTCTAACCATACCACTAAAAAAGTACTCACAACAGTATAGTTTTGTGGATATTTAGACACCTCGATATAAACAAGTTTGTTTAAGTGTTTTAACAGCCATCCAATTGATAGTTCACTTTTTTCATTTTGTGACTTCTTGGATCTGATGGTTTTCAAAATATCCATTAAATATAAAATACTCTCTTTTGTCTACAAACAATGATAGAACATATTTTAAACAAAGAAACACATAGAATGCAAATAATTAAATATTTAAAAATTAGTTAAACATATCAAAAAAGTAATTTTTATTATATATTACTTCATTTAAAATTTCTCCGAGTAGTTCATGACCAGGAATAATTTGATCTACTAAATCCAAGCACAACATCTTAACATTTTGTCTGGTATTATAGTATAAGTAACGTTGTTCTTCTTTATTTACTTTCTGTGACACTTGCAAAGCCACCTTTAAAGGGTCAATTGAAGATAAATACTGTTTTAAAAATTGAAGTGCTCCAAGTCGAACCCATTCATGATCGTCTCGTAACAATTCTTGACAGGATACTGATAATAATGGTAGTAATGTATGAATATCATTTAATTATAAATAGTGAATAGTTTTTTTTTTTTAAATTTATATAATACTTACTCGCGATATTTTTTATAATCTCATAATAGGACGATTTAACGAAAATATTAGAACACGTTTTAACAATATTAACACAAGTGGTAAGACATTGAAAAATTAAATGATCTAAATTTTGGTCATTAGTTTCAGGCGTGTGAATTTTTACAAATCGTCCAGGGCCATCTATAGAAGTGCTACGTTTTAGATGTGCACAGAGAAGTGGTAAAGTCGTTTTAAGACGTTGCTTGAATTCTTCTCCCTCAACACTTACGAATACGCTTATTAATTGGGCTCCTAACTGTCTATGAATGATCTGTAATATAATAATTATTTATAACAAAATTACATTGATTTAATCATTTGATTGAGTAACTTACTCTTGTTTCTTGTAACCAAGTCAAAGCAATTTCGTACAAAGTAGAAGTGATGGCTTTCGGGAGTCTACCTAATAAAATTGCTATAGCATCTGCTGCACTTTTTCGACATGTTGCTACGCTATCATTGATCATTTGAGCACTCAAGGATACAAATATTGCTGAACTTTGTTTGCTCAATTCATCCTATAAAAAAAAAATCAAAACTTCAAAATTACAATCTCATTATTAGCTGTAATATTTTATGTCTGAACATACTGCTGGCAGGGTTTTTATCAATAGGGTAATCATTTCAAGAGCAGATTCCCTTCCATTTTGTAATTCGTACTCGAGCTGTGACAAATAAAACTGGATATGGCCATTCAGAGCCTTTTTTATAGGGTAATCCATTAAGTATGTGTAAAACGTTTGTCGTGCTTGAGTGCGTACAGCATCACGTTCACACGTTATACTCGCTTTGGCTACATGGTCCATTAACTCTTTAAGTTCAGGACAGTTATACTGTCGACTGAGTATTGCTTTGATAAGCGTGAATGTTGTTGTTACCGTGTTGCCCCCGTTTTCAATACAAGATAATTCTTGTTCTGCATATAAAACTGAAGTACGTAGACGATCATTGCTAAGTTTGTGATGTTTTACTTCACGTATATAAGTTGACAGAGTCTAAAATTAAATAAAAAATTCTTATAGATAAAATCTTAAGGAATTAACAACAAGAAATGCATTTACTTTGAATGCTGCCATAACAAGTTCAGAATTGTCTCCACCACAGTTTTGCCCAGTCGCATATTTGTGAACAATATCAAATAATCTGTCTGAGATTACATCAATGTTTTCTTTAATGGAAGGTAGGTTTCGCTTTAAAAGCCAATTCATACATTGTAATGCTAAAGTAGTGAGCTGAAAAAAAAATTGATTAGTAAATAATATACCAAAGCGAGCATGTTAATTGTTAGAATTGAGTAATTTATTATTTATTTTTTAATTCTTTTAATACTATTGTTATTATTATTTTTTAAATGTTTATGAATATAAGAACATACCTTAACGTGTTCAGATATCATTGAATTCATCACTAATGGAACAAAGGGATCAACAAATGGAGAAAATGCAGCACTTTTCAACATTTCGCGCTTCAACATAAATTGAAATAAACTTAACCCAAATTGTACAACAACGTGAGCATTAGTTTGAGCACACATTTTTACATCAAAAGGCACAGATGTACGTTTAGGCTCTGAGAATAAATAACATACATTAAAATAAATAGAGATAAAGTCCATAAAATATTTTTATATTATCATCATAATATGTACCTTGAGGAATGATAAATGAATCGGGTCGTTTCAGTTCCTTTTTTTTAACTTCTTGTTTTGGTTCAGCATTCAGTGCTGGAATACTTTGCGATACGATACCGTAAGCCAGTTCTAACAATGATTCATTATTAACAAATTTGTTATCAATCAAACCCGTTACAATGTGCTGCAAACTTTCATTACATTTTCGTATATTTTTAAATGATAGCGTTGAAAACAGTATCTGTTGAAATAATTGTTTGGTTAAAATATGAAAACAAGATACACAAAATTATGTAGTTTGATTATATTTTTGAGCTTACATCTTTGAAAGGTACGACCAAATTCAATAAACTTTTTTCAGTTATAAACTCTGCAGCAATATGCAAAGTATTGTAGCTTTTGTTGCCACGTGCTTCGACAGTTTTCCCTGCAATTTTAGTAACTTCTTTTTCATCAGAACTGACACCAAATAAGTCTACTTTGACAACCTATTGACAGAAATTTAAACAGATTTAATTTTATCTCACTAGTAAAAAATAAAAATTATACATAATTTAATTTTTGTTATTTAAAAAGCAACCATGTTACATATTTAGTTTTTTCTAGCACACATGTATGTAGGTAAAATGTATCTTCGGAACCATTTTGTATTGTATTAATCAATACAATACATTTTGATATTAACTTTATACATTTTTATTTGCCTAAATCAAACAAATACAAAAATAAAGAATAGATTTTTTCTATTTCACTATTTTTTTAGTTGCTCAATACTCATTGAAAGTTAATATTGTCATCTTTATTTTTGAAATAATATTATCTATTCATTAAAAAAGTGCAGTAGTACAAAGCTTTATACCATGTGCCATAAAGTAACTGAATATTTAGTTTACTCTACTAAAGTATATTTTTTAAAGATGGATTATTTTTATTTTACCTCTATAAGATATGGCAAGCAGCTATCCATATGACCTTTCTCAAAGCAATGGCTTAATGATACCAAAATTGCATGTATTGTATAAATAAGGACGTGTACTTGGAAGCCTTTGGTCAACAAAGCTGTCATTTCGTTCAGCAACATACTCATATAACTTGTACCCAACGTTGTCATTATATTTTGTAATGTTTCACGTGTAACCCGTCGAACACTTTCTAAACGTGATTTTAAGAAGGTACATAATTTCATGAAAATGCTCTGCAAGTTATCTTGCAGCATTGGAGCGGGCAGTTTTTGCAGTAATTTCACTACAGCAAGAGCAACAGGTATTTTCAACATTTCCATTTCTTCTTTGTCATATTCTGCTTGTTTTTTATTCATTTTATGTCTCCGGTCTGACTCAGAGTATTCTGCTAAGTTCTTATTCAATTGGGGGACCAAACCTATAGCGATTTCTTTAGTGATTTTGTTGGCTGTAGAAGGACACAACACTTGAACTCTTTCCAAAATTGATTCATTTGGCGTTTCTGTAATTTCAGCATTCTCGTTTTCATCTACTTCGTCATCTATGTCCATCATGGATTCATTATTCAGGTCGGACGTATTTTTAGTTTGTTTAGCTTGAACAACTTGCTGTGAAGTTTTCTCAATTACTTGTGGTAAGGTGGATTTTTGTGTGTTTTGTGATTGTCGTACACTTGCTCGTGACAAATCAAAATGAAATGAGTCTAATACACCAGAAACTACACGAACCATTTGTTTTTGAAATTCAAGCGATTGACGCAACTTTGATAAATAAAGCTTTAATAATGTCTCATATTGTTGCCACGGAAGTATACGACTCATTATGATCACAGCCTAGAAAATTAAACACATGTATCAACTAAAAACCACATAAAACATATTGCATTGGGATTAACTAAGAAAATAAATACTAATTACTTCTACAGCGGCATCAACAAGACTATTTTTGGAAGAATACTTTTGATTGCATAAAAATTGATTAGCTAAGGGAAAAACATAATCGATAATAGTCTTAGGCCTCGGACAATGATAACTCTTCTTCATAATTTCACAGAATCTAGATAAAAATTATAAAATTATATTAGTATTGGAACGCAGTTTTAAAAATAAAAACAAGATAAGTACACTGTAAACAAAAATTTAATTTAAAAAGGAACTATAACTTATATGAGATACCATATTAAACTTTTTAACCAAATTTACCTGTGAAGTGCTTTAACTCTACGATACGTTTGTATATGCTGGATATTCTCAAAGAAATCACCTTCCAAATCAGTTTCATTGGACAGAGGTTGTAAATCGTTGAACACAAAATGAACGTGAGCACATTTTCTCGACTACAAAAATATAGACAAATTTTAATTTTAATTTTTATCACAAGACACGAAATGTATTATTTTTATATCAAACTCTGTTATGAATATTATGTTATATTATAATCAGCTATATATATATATATATATACAATAAAAACTAGGAAATATATTTTTCTAACATTGAAAAGTAAAATACAAAAAATGTATTTAAGCCATCCCTAGTTCTTATGTAAAAAATGGCTGGGGGAGATAGGCTAAAAACATATTTTTAAAAAAATACTTGTATACTATAAAGAACAATTAAGAGGTGCAAGAGCAAACTTTTCAAAATAAAAACAAAGCTTCAAGTGTCATACAGATAATACAAATAATGAGGCGCATAAAACCAAAACAGCTTAACCCACAAAAAATTCAATTCCGTTTTATATGATAAATGGTTTTAGAATTATACGATATTTTAAAACTAATATGGCTCAACCCTCACAAAAAATTTTCCTGTAGGTGGCAGAACTTAATTTGTTTTGGAATTAATACATTATTTTCAATTCCAAAATGGCCTTTAAGTTGGTTAATGTTTTACAGATGGTTTAAGAGACATGGATTTATACATACAAAAAATTGTTAATTTTTCTTAGTGGATTTAATAACATTTTTTAAAAAAAATATTGAAAAATAGTTAAAACTTTAATTGCCCGCCCTGCACTTAAATACACTTAATATAAATACACTTTTGGTTCTATGCGCCTTTATGAGATGATGATAATAACATTTTTCAAAAAACGAATTTGCAATAACTAACCAGATGACCCAAAAGTGAAATTGATTCATACTGAACCAACTCCTTATGTCCTTGTATTCCATTGCGTAGTAATGGCAATAGTACAGAATCCAAAATAAACGTTCGTTCGGAAGACTGCTTTGCATATTTTAAACACAAGTGACAACTAATATCTCTCAAACATGTACCTGCAGAGTCACGGAGTCCAATATCATTCACCTTAAAACAATCATTTTTTTATTTTAAATACAGTTAATAGCTTTCTTCTTTCCATTAAAAATTCCTTACATTATTAAAAATATAAAAACAGTTGTAGATTATGAAAGCGCCAAACTCTACAGATATTTCATCGTCTTCTATCAAGGATTTAACTTTTTTCAATGCGTTCATCCTACGATCATAATCGGGTTGATCTAAATGCCTTTTATCCCAAGCATTCAAATCGTTGAGTATATCACAGTGTATGCGACTATGTCTAAATAAAAATGTTAGATATTAAAAATATAAAATATATTATTGAAACTTTACAGACTTTATTTTAGACTTTGTTTAAAATACTAACTGGCTCTTTTGTGCAATTGTCTTAGTGAACTCAAGTAGCATATTTCTACTGTATTGACCTACAACGCTACCATAAAGTGTGGCTAATTGTCGTGGTAATGTTCCAACATCTTTCACATTTGAGACCAAAGAATTAACAGTAGCGAACAACGGAGCAATTGCTGAATCGTCTCCAGTAGCTTTCTTCAATAATACAGGAAATAATAAAGATAAAAGGTTTGAACTGGATTGTTCATCTCGCACGAGTTCAGAGGCTTTAGTCATTATGGACATTTCTACTGACGCCAAGCCCACACCTCGTTTATTGGATAGATCATTGTATAGATATTTAAGAACTATAGGCAGATATGGATACAACAATTTTGATCCAATATTTAACTCATCTGAAATCACACAGCAATACAATAAAATGCAACTACTGTTAGTAGAATATATAAGAGAATTTTACAGATTAATTAATGTAGGTTACCACTGAATTCTGAAGGTACCAACGGAATCGGCACATCAAGTGGAGGAATATCAGTTTCCATAGTGTCATCTATTGTTCCATCATAAGTTAACAATCTATCTATAATATCGAGAACAATTTTCTTCACACTCATGTGAACTTTATCCGATGTTAGTAGTTGAATTAAAATTTCTATTGGCGTAACATTATTGACATTGTATCCCAATAAACAATAATATCTGAAATGTAAATTCAAAACTAAAATATCTTCGATATAATTTTTTAAAAAATTATACATATACATAGACAGTTTATACCTAGGAATTTTACTCCAAATTATCATAAGCTTCATCAAAGGAGTTGGATGTTGAGCACATTCAACTGGCATTTTTACTAATGATGGTTCCACGAAAACATCAAAGATAGAATTTAAAAAGTTTCTGTTCCAGGAAAAGTTTTCAAATTGTTCAAAAAACGTTGATAATGTTTCAATAGTAGTCACTCGTACTTTGGATATTGTACTTAAATAGCCAACATGTACATCCAAACGGTTTGATAAAATAGCTTTAATGTTCGCGCCAACACATAGCAAAACTTTGAGCATATAATAAAGACCGCTTGTACCAGTTAAAGCTCCACATTGTTTCAATATTACAGCACACATGTTGACCGAAGAAAGAAGTCGTCTAGGAGGCAACACATTTCCTAAATCAATGGTTTCTACTATATGACGAGTCATTTCTACTGGGCAATCTGAATCTGTAAGAGAATACCGTGGTTACATAAACTACAAAAATCATTATTTAAGAACACCTGTGCAAATATTTTAATTCTTACATTCAATTTGACAATGGAGAACTCTGAAAACCATTTGCATAAAGACAACAAGTTCGGATTCTTCGCAACCAACAAGAAAACGCATAATGGCAGTTCGACGATTTTGTCCAGAACATTTACTACCAGATTTAGCACCACCTCCACCTAATAATTTGCCATAAACCAACCTGCAACCAACAACTTTTACAGTATGCTAAAAACTGTATTATTAAAATTTAATTACTATAATATTTATACCTCATTATAAGAGGTAATAGAAGTGGTCGATGCTCGGCAAGTATCACATCACTTTCAGAGTCCACTTTGAACATTACCAACTCGGACTTGAAAGATTTTTCATTGATAAGCTTATAAATGTTTTCTCTGTTAAAAGTACATTAAAAATTATTTCTCAAAAACAATATTATACCTAAATAAATAATATTATATAGTGATAATGTAAATACTTGTAAGGTACGATGTGCTTCTGTTTATACATTAATAGACAGTCAAAAGACGCTTTCTGTATTTCTGCATTTTTATTTGCTAAAAGACTTAAGTATACATCATATATTTCCGATTCTTTGAATAAACTCTTAGGACTACGTATGGTCGACATCAACTTCAAATAGGCCAACAATAATCTGGAATACAAAAAAAAAAATTAATATTAATAAAATTAAAAAATTGTTAGTACTTCAAATAACTGTTAAATATACTTTGTAAGAGATTTTTTAGAAGTTGAATGTTCGTCAGAATTATGTTCTGTTACACTTTCTTCACAGTCAATTTCATCATTTTTTTCAGTGGAATTTTGTTTAATATTCCAACTGTTAGCTAATTCTGAATTACTGCACATGTACTCTGATCTATAATTTACATTAATTACACAAATGTTCGAAGTATTTTATTATTAAAATGTTATTTAATGACAAATACCTGATAAAAGCGAGAAAATGTTCCACCACGTCTTTGTTTTTCTGTTGAATAAGATCTCCAAAATCACACATGGTATTCCATAATAATATTCTATAGTTATTGATATCGACCCTCTCAGATGTATTGTTTAATTTTTTTAAGCGCTCAGCCACAAAATCAACTAAAACAGTTTATTTAAACGTATACAACATTACAAACGTAACAAATTAACAATAAACATACTTTTAAATTCTTCTTTTAATGTTACATTTTTTAATATGTAATTTTCAGGCTTTAGTGTCAATTTTAAGTGTTCTTCATATATTGGCCAGAACTTTTTTGATGTTCTGGCATGCGATACTATTAATTTAGCGACCGGAACCCACATAGGTTTAAAGTTCAGATGCAAATTTCCTAACAGAAACTTTACAGCAATTTCCATTGCATCTTCTACTGATTTATAAGTATTTTCAAATGTCTCGTTGCTATCTAAATGCTGTACACGTAAAAGGCGTTCACGATATTCATTCAATGAGGCGGGAACTTTTTCTACGGATTCTAGTAACTTGAACAAATTATTTCTCTCGGTGAGGTCAGTCAACGAATTGATAGCCACAAGTATTTTACAACTTGTATAACGGACTTGATGGTATGGAGATGATAGTAAGTCAATAAGTTTTTTTTCTAAATTGTGTACATACACATCACTGGTGTTAACTTTTAAATTGGTAATCAGTAATTGAATAATACGCAGTACTAATGAACAACATCCATATTTATAATCTAAAAGAGATTGCAGCTGAGGTATTAGTTCTGGTAAAGAGAACCAGCAATCCGGATCTTCGTCAAGTCTCATTATAGTCTCAATAATGTTCAGGAAACAAAACAAATTTGCAATATCTCCTTGGTTTAAATTTTTAACTACTATATTAAACAATTTTTTTAAAACTGCTGTAGCTTCAATTTCACAATGACAAAAATGTTGAAGTAAAATCAATAGACAAGTGATATCTTCGCCATTGAAATTTTCATTATTAAAATGCTCCAAACACTTTATAGTATAATCTCCAATAATTTGGCTCTCGTTATGCCTGAAATAGCAAATAGTTTTCTTATAGAATTTATAATTATATTTTTTAGTTCATATAAAAGTATGTTACAAAATAAAATACTTACTTTCCATAAAGTGAGTTTTTATAAATTGCTCTCCATTTTTTATATCCGTAAGAGCTTAATGGAGAATTATTGTTCAAATAACTCGACAAACAAATAATTATGCTTTTTGGAATTTCTTGATTTGTGTTTATAAGTGTACCAACGTGGCACAACAACTTTTGCATAATGGACAGTTCAAAATTAATGTAATTTTTCATTTGTTCAACAAATGATACCAATACATCAGTATGTTTTATCGACATAACCTGCACATGCAATAAAATGAGTTAACAACTAATTAATAGTCTAATTTTAACATTTGTTTTTATTAAATAAAATGTATTCCAACCTTTTCTATTAAACTATAACATTGATACGATGGTAAACCAGTTCTATACAAGCAAACCGTGCTGACAATTGATGCTAAGGTACATAAATGATCTTGAGCTAACTGAGGCTCATGATCTAAATACCCACATAGCCATTCAAATAATTCTGGTAAATTATTAACACATGCACCATATTTGTGAGACAGAAATCGATGGCATAAAAGTAAAAGTTGATTCAAATTTTCACATGTTCGTTCATTTGGATCATTGTCATAGTTTTTCATAAAATCCGTAGCCGCAGTCTATAATATTTAAACAAGAACACGTGAAGTTTATTTGATACAAAAGACAAATGCAATTTGAATTATTTGTTCACCTTAAGAACAGTCCATATGAGAGTACTCTTTTTTGGATCTATATGTTCAAAAATGTTATCAAACAACATGTCTAATACGTCATAGAGTAATTTATACGAAATATCCGGGTCAGCAAGAGAATTAATATAAATTGGTAAAAAGTGATCAGCACAAGTGTGTAAGCCACCGGCCATTCCCTTAATTGTCTCAAAGATTAATTTAGAACATCCATAAACGCTCTAAAAAAAAAAAAATGAGTAACTACAGTACAAATAAAATTACAACAGATATCAAATTTCTACAGTTATCCAACTTACATCACGTCTATGTTTTAGGTTTTTTAATACAATTTTTAAAAAATTCTTCTTGTCTTTTACTTTTCTAGCTACGAAAGAAAAACATTCTGCAGCAAAATCATTAACGTAGGAAGGCTGATCATCTCCTAACAAAGGAACTATATACTCAAATATAGGTTTTACATCTCGTACAACCAAACGCCATAAGAATTTGAATAAATAAGCAAGACAAGTAAATGACCACTCTATTTGTTCAGCATCTTTTGTTTTCAAAAGTTTTATACAAAACTTTAAGAACTCCGGAAAATATTCATAAAACTCCTGTTGTAAGTCTTTAGCAAATGCTACAACAAACCTAACATATAAACAACATATTACTATAAATATATTTTGAATAAAATATTATATACCTAAGATATTTTGAGGCATTAATAATGCATTAGTATTAACAGTACTCTGAATCCACTTACTCTAAAAGAGCTTGAATTGATAGTGAATTTGGTTCATCTAAATATTTGAATAACACTTGTGCAATTTCTGATTTTCTAGCCAATAACTGAGGCAGACTTTCTAATTGCAATGGTTTCAAATCGTTGCAAATCTGATCATAATTTTCTGATCTATTCAAGTCGTTCCATCGCTCAATAGTTTGATATAGTACAGTTTTTTGAGAGTCATCAATCTCTTCATTACTATGTCCTACTCGATGAAAAACATCAATATCGATTTCCGCTATTCTTTCACTAAATGGTTGAAACTAAAACAATAACAAATAATGTTGTTTAACACACATATAAAATATTGAACTATTAGTCAAATGCAACATTAAAAATAATGTGGATTATGGATAAATCCAAATATAGTTTAAAATATATTATCTTACTCTAAACGTATTCTTTTCCTTATGACGGTGTGATTTGTTTGCCATTTTTACGGATTAAATACACAAATTATACTTCAAAACCAATTATAACACAGTAGTATAAACATATTTTATGTGAACTAATTGTAAGAAAACAAAAAAATTGTAAATTATTTCCAAATTCCAATAAACCCATGAACAATTTGTTCTGTTATGAATAAACTGACAATATATTATTATACCTACTCATTACCACGAGGAAAGCCATGCTCTGACTGATCAGTGATAAGGATAACGACTGATAAGCACGATGAAGAGATTAGCATTAGCCGCTCAGGTTATACGATTGTGAGGTTATATACTTATACAATATATATCCCATGACGGGAATTGAGAAGTCAATTACATTTTAAATCAAATAAAATTTGGAAAATTTCAAATTTGTATGGCAATTCGGGGTTGCGGAATTGCTTTGGTAATGTTCTGCGGCGGATAACTGATTTAACATCAGTGCTGACAGTATTAAAAGTTAAAACAGATTACCATATGAAAACAGATGGGGATGAATGGTAAACTACCTCGCTACTCGCTAACATACATTTTTCATTAAATTTGAATTCTTTTTACACAAAACATGTACAAAAGTTTAGTAATATCACAGCCTAGATAAAATACAAGTACTTGAAACTAAAAAATAAGCTAACGGTAGTTTCAAATTAATATCAGTACCTCTCGGCGTAACACTTAACACTTGTGCATATTGTTTAGTTGGCTCATATACTTTTCGCCTAATTAGTTATATTGAAACCCATTATTTCATCTTTTTATATCAAATAGTATAAATGGCTTTTCAAAGATATTATGGTGCTATAATTTAAAAAATTATATGTAAAACATATTATAAAGAAAATTTATACTTTTAGTAAGCACCCAATGAGAAATGTACATTTTATGTAAATTATTATTACCTTACTACGTTTAATAACATGTTTATATTAGATACAATATCATTAACACCAGGTAAAATAAATATATTTTATTATTTTTAATTTTAATCAGAATCTACAAAATCATTAAGCATTTCTATGACTTCTTCATCTTTGTCTTCAACATTAATAGCTGCCGATTGATCTGGTTGTATAGTAGTACTGTTACATTCTATATCCATAGGTTCTATATCTTTATTATTGGACTGTTGAGAATCAATATTGTCTGCAAGTCGATTTTGACTGTTTATCAAACATGTATTTGATGTCTGTATCTCAGATATTTTTTCAATTTCTCTAACACTTTTTAGAGACATTTCTTTAATAACATCTTTATTTTCAACCACTGTTGTGTTTATTGTTGGAATTACTGAAATGGGTTCTAAAGGTATGTGTTGTTTAATTTCATTACATTTTTCTATTTGAGTTTTAACCACTTGCTCAGATAAAACTGGATTTACAACTTCAATTTCTTTCAAAAAATGACTATTATTTTCTGGTAATGCGCTTTGATTGGTTGATGCAACTTCTACTTCATTTTCAAGTGGAAAGAATAACGTATCATTTCGTGGATGAATAATGTGCTCAATTTTCGCAAGAGCTGATCGACTAATTTCTTTTACCTAAATAAATTTATAAACAATTTTAAACATGGCATACTAGTTAGAAAATTAAAAAAAAACTATTGATAATCATTTTTATTTAGTTAGTTAAATTATTAATTTTTAATTAGCTTAATTAATAATTAAACAAACATTTGATTGCAACAACATTGAATGGATAGTTATTTTGTTAGTAGTATAACCAGTTTACATAAACAGAGTAAAGAAAGAAGCTAAAAAAGATTGTTCACAAGAAAGTGTAAGACATTTTTTTAAGACTGCAGGGCAATAAAAAATGTCAATCTTATCCTAAAATCAATAAAGGAAAGCCAATAAGAATAATCAAATAAGATAGTAATGGGTATATACTCATACAAGAGCTTTTACTGGCTAAAACCCAGTAAGAAAGTCAGGAGCTGAGTTGCCAACGAATCCAGTAGGATGTGTACAATATCAAAGGGCAGAAAAAATAGTAAAAGATGCGTCTCTACAAAAAGCTATTTGAAAGTGTACATCAAATGAGCATTTATCATAAAATGGATAAATTTAGCTAGTGGCACTGACCAGAATGTGCATGGAAGAAAACTAGTACCAAATAAGAGTGGACCAGACGTTTTTTTATACATGATACAACTAGTCATTATAATTAATGTTTAAAAACATACTGAATTATATACTCTTTATACGTCATTATATTTCATTAAACTGTTAACTGACCTTTACATTACGATCAACTAAACCCATAGTAAATAATCGTGTTGCTACTGAAGTCTGAGTTACACACTGCGGATGTGGAGAAATTACTAAAGCTAATAATGATTTGAATAAATTTATTCTGCACACGTCATTATAATAAGGTAAAGGATAATCGACTGGTCGCTGACATTTTACTATATCCAATGCTAGTCCCATGACAGCACTTTGAAATACCTAAAATCGGTGATAACAAATGTAATAATGAATGATTAAATAAAAATACTAATTTAAAAATGTAATTTCTACTTTAAACTGCAACTGTTTTAGATCCGATGACATTGTATTCAAAATTAATTGGAGGATTTCATGAGCTTGGTTACATATGGCTGCATTTGCATGATAGTCGTGCATGACGATTGTATCTCTCTGATTGATTATTTTTGCATTTAACGCACCACTTTTCCTTTTCCTATTACCAACTTGTTCTTCGATCTAAAATGTATAAATAATACTCTATTTTAAGCATGCAATTATAATACGTTTATTTAAACTGGAGATTAATGCCAATGGCCATCAGAGCATTTTTTTTAAAAAAACCATAGAGAATTCCATACTTAACACCACAGTTTAACTTACAATTAAACTAAGAGACGGTTTATCATATTTAATATCAGCCAAAATATTGGAAACGAGACTTTCTGTAAACATGTCAAGTGAACTTTGGGAACCAGCAACTGCTTGCCAAGTACGTAAGACTTGATAAGTCAATATACGCTGTTGTCTAAAAGGAAAAAAATATATATTTATACATCCATATATACTTAATACATAATATATTATTATATATTTATACATGAAAGGGAAGGAAAAAAACCAAACAAGTCACTTTTTTTAACCTTAGAATAACATGTTTCAAGAATTTAATTCAGTATGGCAAAACAAATTTATGACGCCAAAACCAAAATTTTTAAAGTGCCGTATGGTTATTTCCCTGAACCCTTCATTTATTATATAATATATATGTATAATCATATAATAAATATCCAAACTATATATTGATACTCACTGATTAGATCTGTTTGTACCATAAACCCATTGGCAGTTTGTATAGTTTGTAATATTAAGAGATTGTACTAATAATCGACATATTAACATTCCTTGAGGTATTAAAACGCGCCCACAACTAAAAGATGATAAATACATTTTAATTAAAAAATATATTTTATTAAAATAAATTTTTCATTCACCTTTTGATTAATGCTGAAATGGTTTTAATGGCTGAACAATGTATCTTCCATAACATGCTGTCTAACGCTATAACATCCTCAGTAGTTGATGTTGCTTTTAGTTTCTCAGAAGTTACTGAAATAACACTTAAGGCGAATTGAATAATTTTGTTGGTATCAAATTTCTTAACAGTAGAAAACATAGATCTATATTAAAAACATAATAATAAATAATAGTATGAAATTGTTGAAAGATATATTTATAAAGGGTCTTACAGTAGCATTGCTTGAAGAACAGAGTTAAAAAAAATAAATATGGCTGTTAATTTTTCGTAACGTTCTTTAGGTGTCATTTGTTCAATTTGCATTACATTTAAACACTTAATGTCAAACTTCCCTTCATAATTATCATTAGTGCACGTGCTTATAAAAAACTAGATAATTGTATTAAGTATAAGAAATATGTCTGTTGAAAGCATAAAATTAAAATACATTAACTTACATCAACATTGGAATAAAGTTTAGTTAAGAAATAATTAGCACAGTAAATGAAATCATTGAACTGATTTGTCCATGCCTCAGCATGATTAACACCTTGCTGTCCTCGCCCACCACACTGAGGATACAAAGCTAAATACTTGGTGACTTTTAGCATAATATTGTCATCACTAAAATACTCACTTACTGTTGTTAAAGTAAATTTGTCTATTACACTCTAAAAACAAATAAAATTTAGTTTAAAATCATTGAACATGTTTTGGCAACATTAATAAACACTACCACCTTAAATTGACCGCATGTACTGCCATAATATTTCATAAATAACCTCATAACAGATAACTGAGAGTTGATTGTCTGAAAATTATATTTAAAAAAATCATTCAATTTTGCGACTAAAAATTCAGGATTTGGTTTTATAATTTAAGATGACACTTACAGACTGATTAGTCTTTGGTGATGTTAAATTTTCAAAGAATTTTGGCAAAACTGAACTAAGAAGTTGTTTTTTTATGTCTACATCATTAAGAGTTGATGTGATAAACACTTCTATAAAACAAAATACAAATTTAGAAAATAGGAAATTTGATTTTTTTTTTATTTATTGAAATGTATTTTAGAACTAATATTTTATTTTATTTTTAACTCACCAAACATTTTATAATCTTCAAATGATAGTCCATAACTAATACCATTTTTCAAATTTTTTTGGAACCAGTTAATAGCCTCATCAGCCTGTAATAAGTAAAACATTTAACTATAAGGATAAGTAATTTCAAATATTTTAAAACTAATGGAAGACTTCAAACCTTTAATGAAATTTTTTGTGAACTCATGTTTAAGAAATTTCTCTGTCTAGGATGTTACTTTAATTAATTTTTTAAAATATACCTTAAAAATATCGTTTACAATCAAAATTAAAAATTGAAATAACAATTTGTTATTATAAAAAAAATCATGGGGATTGAGACTTGACAGTCTGAAAGCCGCATGGTCATATTTTAACAACTGATAAATATTAACAATATACAAACGGTATCATAATATTAATGATAAATGATAATAGTCAAGTGATAAGGATGACAATAATATTATCTATAGCTTAGACCACGATTGAGGATATCTTAAATCGCGATTTATACCATGGCTGATTTTTTGAAAACTTATTCTTTTCTGATTAGGAATCGGGATAATCGTAATGAAATGAAAAATATGCAATTTTCGTGATAAAACAAATAATGATCGACAAATTTCAGTTACAAATAGATGTTACTTAACTTTAGTTAATAAAAAAAAAAGGAAATTTATTCAACTTGCATGAACCAACTGGGTAAAGGTGCATGATTGTTAGTAATTAGCCCGGAACCCTAGGTAACATTTTGGTTAGTTATTTAAGTAACTAGTATAAAAACAAATTATTTTCAATATACCTACTAAAATAATCATCACAAATTTTAGAAATAAAATATTAAAAATTATGCCGTATATTGGATAGAAATTACAATACCTATTAAAAATCGAATAATTGTTTTGTATTATTTTATTCATCTTTATTTATAATTATTATTATATTGTTAGTATTAATAATTACTCTGTCGGTTTTTGTTTACTAATTCAGAAAATGATTAAACTAATCCTTAAGTATTAAAAATTGTTTATTTAGACCTCAATAAATGGATAACAATTAGTTAATTATTACTGTACAGTGATTAGTAACAATATTTTTATTAATAATATTTAATAATTATTGGACTTTCTAGTGTCAATTATTATTACTACTATTTTTATTACTCTTGACTCTTGATGTGTCGACTATCGTTATCAAGTATCAGCGAAATACTATCGATTTGTCGCGGTTCGATAGTTGCAAAACAAAATACGATACAAACAATCGAAGTGACTTGGACATTACTCATTACGCTGTTTGTTTGGTCCACTGACGTTGCCAAAATTTATTAAATATCTAAATGCAAAGACACTTGGAACTGCCTTGTAAATTTTCCATTTTCGCCAATAGCGCCATCTATAAACAAGATTTTGTGTGTTGTGTTTGCGTATGTTGTATTTGTATTATGTTTTGTGTGCAGTGTGTGTATGTATATATGTATATATATATTATATTATATGTGTGCGACTGAGTCGTGACTTGTGTGTGTTGTCCCTACAGGAGTGTGATGACACTTCGGAAAACAAAAAAAAAACCAACAAAAATGGCCCTTAATTATTTCTGACGATCGTAGTGTTCAATTCGGTTATTGCGTGTTCGCTTGAAATGTCGATTTAGAACGTCAACCGTGTCGCCTGTCGGTACTCTTAAAGTTGTTCAGTCTATAAGCAATAAATCCTATCAGAAGGAATACATTTTGTGTCGGCAATTTACTTGACGACGATCAATTATATTATATTTTGTCGATTTGAACAACTTCTGTTTCTAGGTAATTATTTACAGATGGGGATGTCAGTACAGAGAGATATTATGACACTTAATTTTGCTTTACACAATACCTATTGTTGCTTGTAGACGCTGCCGCAGTCAAGATGATGGACTCGCCGACAACACCACCGGGTTACATGTCTGAGGATGGTGACAACAATGAATCTCACAGTAATTATCATTAGGTATTGTTAAATTTGTCTCTATTCTTAATGACTAATGTTTGTTTTTTTTATAAAATAGGCATGAGCCCTAATCCTGCGGTTATGGGAGTACTCGACACGCAACCTGTTCTCTACTGTGAACCAGTATTTTGGTGTTCAATTAGTTACTATGAACTTAATACTAGAGTGGGTGAAACATTTCACGCATCGCAGCCATCTATATCAGTAGATGGTTTTACAGGTATAGAATATTTGTAAATAAATTTAATATAATTTGAGTAATATGTATAAAGTATTACAATATTATGACATTTTAGATCCCAGTAATTCTGAAAGGTTCTGTTTGGGCCTATTATCTAACGTCAATAGAACGACTGTAGTTGAACAGATAAGACGACATATTGGAAAAGGTGTACGACTGTATTATATTGGTGGCGAAGTATTTGCTGAATGTCTTAGTGACTCAAGTATTTTTGTGCAATCACCGAATTGTAACCAGAGATATGGGTGGCATCCAGCTACTGTTTGTAAAATACCTCCAGGTATCGAAATATATAAAATAGTATTACCTTAAATACAGTATATTACTTCTAGTATTTTTGTATTACACTATAGCGTGTTGTTTAGTTGTCATTTTTGCCAAAAAGCGACATTTGCCGTTTTTGACCCAAGTTACTGAAATAATAACAGTATATCAATAGTTTTTAAATACTTAATAAATATAAATAGTTAAAAAAAATAATGAAATAAAGTTATAAACATTATAAATAGAGAGCTATTCTTTAAATTATTACATATATTTTTTGGCTTTATGTAGCTCAACGGGATTAAAAAATGTGGACAATTTGTTGTACACAGAATTGGGAGAAAAACATGTATTTTGCATATTAAGAGTGTATTTTGGTGATAAGAGAATATATTGGATAATTATCTGTAAAAAATAATATGTTTTGTTGTTTTTATTAAATATGTATTAATTTTAAAAGAGGCTGTTTTAAAAGTTACTAAATATAAATTTAATATCGAAGAAATGGTGAGCAATAATAATAGTTAATAAACTTAACATTATTTTGTTGTTTTATTAAAAATGTTTTGGTAGTATAAAAAAGGTAGCAATACAACTATTTAAAAAAAACAACATATCTTGGCCAAAACTTTATTTTACTTAATACTGTATCAGTTCAGTATAAAACATACATTTTAAACCTTTCATATAACTTCCTACATGCAATACTCTCAATGGTGTTAACAAACTAGTTAAATATGTTTGTTTCTTTTTAATTTAGTGTTCTCAATAATAATAATACAGAAAAACAATTGTACGGAAATTTGCAAATATTTTTTAGGTTGTAATTTGAAAATATTTAACAACCAAGAATTTGCTTCTCTTCTTTCACAATCTGTAAGCCAAGGATTTGAAGCAGTCTACCAGCTAACTCGAATGTGCACTATACGTATGTCTTTCGTTAAAGGATGGGGTGCCGAATATAGGTAAGATACTTAATGAATTGTTTACTTAAAACCGAATTTAACCGTTGATGTTTATGGTCTGTAGTTTTGCCTTATGACAAACGTTTTTTTTTCACTACTTATTGTAATACAAAATATTTACAAACACGACCTTAATAAAAAAAAATGAAATTCTGGTTTTAATGTGAGGTATTATATTTTTACTTTCATGTGTAATATGAATACAATTATTGTATTAATATTGGTTGTGATTTTTAGACGTCAGACAGTTACATCCACACCTTGTTGGATTGAGCTGCATCTAAATGGACCTTTACAGTGGTTGGACAGGGTTCTTACTCAAATGGGCTCGCCGCGCTTGACATGTAGTTCTATGTCGTGATTTTACCTTGTGAAACTATACCACCTTTTATTTTCTCTTTAACTGTAAATAACCCTTGGAATGGCTGTCTAGTATAAGATCGTGAATTTGAAGTTGTTTTATAACTTAATCGACTAATGTAAAACGGAGTAGGTGGTTTGTTTTGAAAAGTAATAAGATAATGAATTAAATATTAATTTTTGCCTACCGAAAATGTTAGTGATATATAAGTAGAATTTATATTGGTAAATTATAATATCTAAAGTTAAGATAAAATTATTATTATTATTATTATTGATTTTTTTTTCTATGTTATAGGTACAAATTCTAAGTAACATGACCTTTTTTATTTCAGGTATATTTATAATAGTGTTATGTTTTAAGCTTTTATTATATAGATTTGTTCAGTTTGGATAAATTTGTTTAGTTAGTGTTTTCTAAATTTAATTTAATAACTAATGAAATTAACAGATTACTTAAATGTAATGACAAGCATTTCTTTTTATCAGTAACATGTTATTAGATCACTTAGTGCTTGCACCTGGTGCAATATTTGTTTAACTTACTGATTAGCAACTAAGAGTGCAGTCATATAAATATGTTTGTAGATTAAGTTAGTCATTTGAATTTATATTTTTGTTTAATTAAAAATAAAAATATGTTGTAAAATATCATTTAGCATCTACTCAAATTGTTTTTATATTACCGTAAAGATATATGTATATAAATTTACTAACTAGTAATTATATATGTATACAAAATATATAAACAACATAACTGATTGATGACAGAGTTTTAATTTTAAAATACAGACAACTGAAAATCCTTTGATTGATATTGGAATCGCTGCTTCAAGTATATATATTTAAGTATATAATTTACAACTAGGTATATAGTACTTCATTGGTGTATATTTAAAGTAAAAATATTAAGTACAATTAAGCAATCATTAATTTATAAAAACTTATTAACACAATTTGTGTCAATAATATGTTTTTATTAGATTTATACAGTTTGTATTCGACTCAATATTTTGCCTACTTGAGAATGTATTGTTTTTTTAAAAATTATTGTTGAAGTTGTTTAAAATAGTAGGAGAATAATAAATAGGTATTATTTATTCTGTCATATCAAAGAAAATGCATACTTTACATATTGTAATTGTAATCTTGTTACATGGATAAAAAAAATGGAAATTCTAAGGAAATAGTATTCAGCGTAAATTGATACTTTCCATAAACATTTTGCAATATTTACAGCTTATTGGATTAAATTTGAACTAAAACTATTGATAAGTCTACATACCACATTATGCACGGTTTTTTATTATTATTATTTAAATCGGTTGTATTAAATTATAAGTTTGTTTTCCCTAAGGAGGTGTACAGTGTACCTATTCAAGTATACTGTTTAATATCGTTTATTGTCACAATTAGGTAGTGTAAAACCGTTAAATGTACTGTGTTTAGTTGTGACAACTAAATAACAAAACGAGTGTCTATATTTCTATAAAAAAAATGTTGGGTGCTTAAGCAATGAAAAAATTATAAAGCCTCTTTCCATAATACCTACTTATAGCATGGACGCCAAAAAAATTACTGTTAAGTACACCAAAGCTTTCCAAATTGCGCCTTTGTAAATTGTATCAATGGTATCTTGGGACGCCCCCTTATTAAAAGTCTGTAAGGTATACAAAAATAGTAGGAGCTATAAAATGGGGTACATAGATAATGACAATGGAAAATTTACCAAGAAAAAAAAAGATAAAATATTCAGATAAATATTGGGAATGATAAGATTAGGCAAAATTAGAAATGTGCGTACTGAGTGTAATAGACTTGAACGGTTTTGAAAGAATGGAGGAAAATGAAATAGCCAATCTGGTAAAAGAGACTATATAGTGTTATGGGATTTAGGAGTGGGTAGATTTTGATAATAAATACATAAAGCTGCGGGGTCGAATAAAGAAATGGCCAAGGATTTATATGGTATAGATGATGAGGTTTACTTATTGTCAAAAGAGCCCAATTATATTAACTACGACGCTGACACATTTTTCCCATTCCTAGGTTTTATAATTTATTTTAGGACTTATATACATAATACAGATATTAAAATATTGTATACTGAGTACGTAAACAGCTTAAATCAGCGTACTTATCTTGTCAGAAATGGTAATTGGTACAGATTTAATTGCTTGTTGAATTTGTGATATTTTAACTACTTTTTACCTACACAAGTGCGGTTATGTTCTGACATAATTGCCTACGCAACAGGTTTCCCGTTTTCGTGATGTTTTCTTAAAAAAAAGTTAATTTATTATCACAATGTGTGATTGTTGGTAAAATCTCTTCTGAGACTTCAGAAATTTCACTGCGACACCGCGTAATATATAAAATTATTATTATTTGTCTACCTTTATAATATATTAGCAGTCGCGGTCTGGATACAGGTTTTACATTTTGAAAGTCGCTAGATTGCTATGTTTTTCTTGCAGCAATGCGAAATGAAAAGTTTATCCGTCTTATTCAACCGGTTACTAAGAGGTAAGATCCTATACACCATAATATGGAATTTTGCTTCAGTTTCTAATTGTAATATTGCCTAATTAATAAATAATGTGGGTCGTTTTTTTGAAAATTTATGTATACATTTTTTTGAAATTTATACATATATTTGCTTAATGGATTCACATTTAGTCGAATCTTTCATTATAAAAGAGAAACAACTCCAATAAATGCAATAAAATTTAAAAAAAAATAGAAAACACTGAACGAATACTTTTACTGAATATTCACACACATTAATTTACAAAAAAGTCGTTATTTAAAAATTCACCTACAAGGAGTTAATTCAATGTTACAGTTATAATGACACATATTGTAAATTATATTAAAGTGAAAAAATCTAACAAATTTGTGCTTACAGATAAAAATAGAAATAATAATAAAAGCATTGTAAAATATATATTGTGCTTAAAATTATATTTTTAGTTTTAGGACAGATACGATTAGAGTTGATATTCTGTCTATAATAATTTCTTGCCGTTGTTACTCATATAATAATTAACAATGCAATAAAAATATTTTCAAATGCCTGATGACTGTTGATTTACTCACTCTTGACAACCTTGTACATTTACAATGATCAAAGTGTAATTTTCTCCCTTTTTAAGGGGGATTCCTCAAGAAAGATTTCACTAAAACATTTTAAGAACTCCGAGTTCTAAAACTACACTCGAAAAACTAAAATAAAGAAAAAGTTTCTATCACTTCTGGGGAAAAATTTGTTCGATATGTTTTTACTTAGTTTGTCGATTTATCGATAATACTATAATGTAAGAATATTCCATACAATTTTGGAAATAATTGGACAATTCTGCTTGCTAATTTTCTGTAACGTTTTAGCGCCTCGAAGTACATAAAAATATATACGTTTTTTTAGACTTTTCCTCAATTTTAAAGGGGAAGGGGAACTTTTTTAATTTTTGGCCCAACAAAGTGCCTTCCAGGAACAATTGCTTATATATAGAGTTGCTACATGAAAAAATCCGTTCAGCAGTTTAAAAGATATCGTGGGTCCAGACAACCAAATAAAACATTCTAAAAACAACATACATTAAAACTAAAAAATGTTTTACATAATATAAATATACAACATATCAGTACACTTTTTACAATCGTTATTTATTATTAAGATTTTAAAGGTTAGGCCTAAAACTATTAACACACAAAATATGTACTAAGGATTCAGTTCAATTAAACTGCATTATTGGACTTCAACAGCATTAAATTTATTTAAATGATTGGCAATTATACATTTTTAGTGATACCAATCAACTATGGTATAAATATGTCAAGTCATTAATAATACATTTTTAAAAAAAACAGTCGAGAAACTTGATACACAAATCGTTCTCGAGATTAGGCATAGGGGTAGATCGAAGAATAATTCGACAGCTGATGTTATAAATAAATAGATAAAGATGCGTGAAGAGAACAAGTAAATGGTAATGGAAAAGATATTTTGCAAAGTGATAAAATTGGGATGACTAAACCCAATTGTATTGGATAAGGTAAAAAAAAAAAGAAGAGGATACTGTACATAACATTTAAAAGATACCTAGCTGTACTTATGGCTATATGTAGTTTATGGTGATAACGAACATTTCAACCATATTTCTTGGGATATTAGTAATACAACGAATTTCAAATTATCGCAGATTATATGGCTTTTCAGCTTTTATAACATTTATATAGATATTGTGAATTGCCCTGTATATAACCGGAAGTAAAAAAAATACCCTTATTTTAAGCACATTAAATACCTTGGCCATTACCCTCGCATTTGTTACACCTATTAGTTTTACAAGTTTTCGTTGCTTTTGGAATTCATTGGTTGGTGTCTTACTGGTCGATGGCTGAAGTAATATATGTTTAGCCCATCCACTTTTATACTACCTCTGTAATATTAATAGTGATATATTTTATTATCCATTTTATGTGAATCAAGTATGCGATTTTTTTATATACTTTATAATACTATAATAATATACTTATTTACTCAAAAGTGGAATCACGATTTTACTGCTCTTGTCGGGGCTTTGATATGTCCGGCTATAAGTGTTGCCGTTAAAGTGGATATCAAAAATAAAACACTTGGCTTTAATCTGTACTCTATAGCCATCCTAAGGACCTAACCGGTTTGGTCGATGTCGCTCAGACAAGAAGCAACCAGTTTGGCGGAAGTGGTTCGGTGCCGTGCAAACTGGTCGCTCGTTTTTTTCATAGATCGAAGAGCTTTACTATAAACATAAAGGCAGTTTGCCGACGTACTTAGACCGAGTGAGAAGTGTATTTTTGGTCTTAACGGCTTTTAGTACGGCATGTGCTTCGCGCGATCGCGTCCGCAGTCCAAAAACGGTTATTAGTGTAAATTACATTTTTTAAAATAATTTTTTAATTTATTAGTTTTTTTAGAATCAAGTGGAAAAAACATTATAATGCTCGGGTAATTAACAATTTTTTTCTGTTTAGTAGAATATCGATCAAAAGACAAAATAGATTCTCAAATTGAACGCCATTCTAGTGATCAACCATAGCCATATAATTGTGTAATTAAAGTATATTATAGTAGGTATAGCGTAGCATGACTGAGCGAATTTACTTACGTAGAAGGCGATCTTCCAATTAAGTTTTCTACTGCACTTTTCATAAATAGAACTTGAATAAATTATAAAACAATTGACAAACTACTAAAATATTGGTAACCGGAAAAACTATTGCTGAAAAAAAAAATAATCTCATATCTCAGTTTCGTAAAACGTAGGTAATTTTGAAATTTGAATATTATATGTATAACATATATATTTTGTATTATTTAATAGTTTAGAATCTGTAGGGGAGTAAAACATAATAAGACATTATGATTATGACAATTAGATCAAATAAAAAAATTATCTTATTATTTTTTTTTAATGAATATACAAGTAATATAGTATTATGTGTATATGAATATTTTTGGCCTGCGTTTAGCTTTTGCACTCCCATACATTTTACCAACTACCTCTAATGGCACAAATTTACTATTTAAAATAAAAAAATAACCATACAAATTTGGGTCATTTGCATTTTTAATGTTTTTTTAAAATTAAATTGAGTTACTGTTTTTGGAGTGCTGGTGAAAACAAACCAGCTGCAAATTGAATTGCAACTTTCTTGTGTATATTATTTTAATTATTATTTAGCCCGTGTCATATTATTTAAGTAAATAAAATAATACAGTAATACTTCTTAGTTAGTATAATATAAGGATTACACAGTTTGCCTGTAGGCAAACACGTGCGAATTATGCGATGTGATACGTTTTACCCGCCTTTCAGCGAAAGTCACCCACCCACATTAGATATACACAGATATTATTACAGTGAATTTACAAGAGAAATTCTTGTTTTCTTCATTTGATTAATTGATTTTTTTTTTAATTCGGAATTCAATACCCCTTAACGGTAACTCTTGTATCCTCTAAAGATGTTATTTCAGACTTTGCTATTAGCAATCGCACATTGCAGGAGTATGTATTAAGTGATCCAACTGTTTTAGTACATATGATGGATATAATATTTTTATCAAATTTACCTGCGGGCGTAGACGCTTTTGATCCTGTTAACGTTTTAGGAATAATTATAAATTACAATAGTTTAAAAAAGCAGCCATAAATTTAGCGCACACACTGAAATGCTGATTTACGGCCTAGCCGATAAGAAAATCAAAGATCAAATAAAAACATGTACCTAATTTATAAGACTACTAAAAGTAAAAGCTTGAATATTATTTAATCGTGTTAATGACAAATTATAATATCTAACTAAAGACCATTGCTGATTGCATATCATTTAAAACTGTAATAGATACCTTATTATTTTTTTTAACTTAACCAGATGTACCGCACTCAGAAAAATCATGTAATACCGTAACATTGACCTTTAGAATACTGTTCATGAACCAATAATTCTAATGGTCGATTTCCAGTTTAAATATTTGTTACTCCACAGTGGACCGTATTCCGTATGATTAAATTGACATGCTTAACTTATGTTTTGGAAATATACATGATCTACAGAAACAGGTTTTATTCTACATAACGGTGTCGAACGGGTTTGTTTATTATTTTTTAAATATAGCGAAATACATTATTGATATAATATTTATTATTTACAATAGTTTATATATTTTTAAATTATTACACTAATATATAGGTAATTTGTATACACGTGTTTTTGTTTGTTTATAAAACGATTAGCTAATGTGATTAAGCATACTAAAAATTAAATGGATGAATATTTTATTTATTTATTTTGCTCCTTTATGTTAATAGTAGGTAGGCATGTAAACATTTTTACCCAAATTAATTTTTCAAGTAGGTACCTAACTAAATAAAACAAAATTATTATCATGCATTTATGTAACCGGTATCGTTATTTTATTGTTCAAGTTTAGCAGCAAATAGTATAAAATAAACGTAATAGGGAGAAATTATTTAGAGAAATAGTTGTATATAGATACTTTAGCGATAAAATTAAAATGGGGACTGAGTATAAAGAAGATGCTTTAAATGTTTGTTAAATAAAAAAAAACAATAAATGTAGGTATAAAGTAAAATTCACTCGAGATAAACCCATAAAATATAAATATATAACGGTACATTATTTTTATGATTATACCGCTAAACTGCTATCGCCGAGTTTTCGATGGCAAATTATGACAAAAAAAAACTTTCAAGAAAAAAATAAAAAGCCAGGAAACCATAATGGGTTGCTTATAATTTGCAAAAGTCCTGAATGTAAATATTATTTTCATGAAAACCATTCTATGCGAATCTCTATCGATGATAGAATACTGAAAACTTAAAAATATGGGTTAGAATTAATAAAACGTGGGCCACTGTAGCGCAGTGGTCGACAGCTGGCTAATTGCACACACGTGTCTCTTAACTTAACGGCGAATAGTAGTACATTACTACCAACACACAGTGAAAACTGTTGCTAAAGACCACAGGGTCGTCGCAACAAATTGCCCTTCGGAATCGAGGGTAACGAAAAAAAAAATGTCATTATTGACATTAATATTATATTTTATCGACCTGTGTGAAATGCAGTGGATTAAGTGTAGTTGTAAGAACATACGATTTTAATGATTGCTTATAACGTGTTGTGTATTTATATTTTATAGCATTATGAAGCCGTGGGCAGCGCTGTTGATATCAATCTTGGTGGTCGCTCGATGTATAGCGGCCATGGAAATCAAAGACAATGGCCGTGGACTTTTGAAAAGTTATCGCGCGGCCATTAATTCAACAAACCGTCAGACTGACAATAAACAAGTGCAACTAACGTACGCTCAACCGTATGTCAACGCTGTGGAGTATTCAACGTCCAGGCCAGAGCGTATCAGGAGGAGAACGACTGAACAACCGCAGGATACAATACGTGTGTTTGTTACTCCTTTGTCTGCCAGGATAAATAACCATAACGAGGAGCCTACGACCACCCAGAACTCCCAGAGAAGTCAATCGACGGGCATGTATTTCGTCACTGCCAAAACGCCAGTATACTCCACTACTCCGACCGGGTACAACGCCAAAGAATTGTCACTGCAGGAGAAGTCGCGTCAAACTGATTTCAATGGTACAAGACGGCTGATGAAAAACCACAGGGTTTCCCAACAGCCACAATTTCTGTACGCCACCACGCTGATGCCGGGAGCCAATTCCAGCACACTGGTGCACCCAGCCGGCAATAGCATGTCCCTGGCCAATTCCAAGCCATTCACAATGGTGATGGTGCCCAAACAGAAACTGAACGAGCTCTCGGATTCGTTCAAGCCAATGCCTTTGGATTCTCCGCAGTACACAAATAAACAACAAGCGTTGGACATAAACAGCATAAACGAAAATCGAAGGATGGCGGCTGTATCGATACAAGCGAGTCAATTGGGAGCTATAGTTAGCCACGGGGTTCAAAAGCAACCGGTGGGCTACAAAGCGCCACAGGCTGAGCAATCGTACAACGGGGAGGAGTCGTCCTCTGAAGTTAAGAGCCACGAATCGGCGATAATTAACAAGCGCGACCGGTTCAACTCGCCGGTATACGGTCAACCCGTCCAGAAGGTGGTCGAGTTAGAGTACAAGCCCAAGCGCGACGATTCGTTGAACTTGGAAAAGAAACAAGAGACCGCCAGGTATCAAGAATATAAGCTACCCAAGCGCGAGTCGTTGAATCAAGAAAGTTTTAGGTACCATGACTACAAGACCCACAAGCCCGACGAATCGTTGAACTTTAAAACCACGCAAGAAACGAATAGGCATCAAAACCCCTTTTTGAAAGACGCATCCTCCAAATCGGATCAGGTCGTCAGATATGAGCCTCAGCCGGCCGCCGCTCCAAGGTATACAACTGAGAGGTTGAGGGTATTTTATCCGGTCACTGAGGAATCTCCTGCTAAGCAATCTCAGTACTCCCCTTACAAAACTCCCGAACCACAGTCATTGGACTTTATGTCGCCGGTCGTCGAATCCAGTAGACCTCCTATGTACTTAGGAGAACAGTCTGCCGATAATGAGTACTCTAACGTTCCCAGTAGGTACGAGCCCAAACCTTCAGGAGACACCGAAACGAAGGGGTTCCCGGCCGAAGACACGAAGGGTGTGCTCAAGTTGATTTTGGAAGATATACTTAAACCGAAACAGCAGAACGAAATTAAGCAGAAACGAAACGGAATGGACGAAATCATTGAGTATTACGCAAAGACTAAGAGACCTACCATCGATAGCTTCGACGAATACGACATAGATACAGGTAAATATAATTTACATTTTTTTAAAACCCTTAAGTACATTTTAAAAATCTCCAAGTTTCAACCTATGACCTTGTTCTGAATATTTACATAGAAACGATTTTGTATTTAAATTAAACAGGTAAATCATTAAAAAAAAACTAAGTATAGAAACAATTCAAAACTACACTTTATCTAAGATATTAAGGATGTACCTATCAACTTTCTATACAACTTTTTTAACGCTTTACTAATTTTCTCTTGGCTCCGTCGCCGAGTTGAAGTAATTACTATTTACTACTTATTAAAAAATACTTTTGATTGTGAATCGCGCATACCTATATAACCAAACGCTATTAACTGTAGAAACTCTGAAAGTAATGAAAGCCGCTAAATGCTTAGGTGTAGTCTGAAGCACGCTCAGTCGACAGCTACAGTTAGTAGACACTGCCAAGTGTCATTGAAATGCTGTTAAGACCATCATCATTAATGATAATTAAAATATTGTCAGTGTTTTAAGTAGTTTAAAAAATGTTAACTTGAGCATAACGGATGACCACCAGGCTTTTAAGATATTTTAGGCTAAAACTGCACTTAATTTTTTTCGGGTTTCAAAATAAATCTAAAATTCAAATTAGAAGATTTCTCGAAACATGTAAGTCAACTTATATTCACATTGTGATAAATTGGATCTTATAAAAAAAACCGCGTAAGCACTAAGCATTCGTTAGTTAGTTTAATAATTGACATAATTATTTTTACGTTAAAAACCATATTTTTAATTTTTTATCGTAAATACATTTCAAAGAAGTTCGGAGTACCGTTTAAACATATTTTGTTTGCCATTAAATGGATACATAACTTAAACAGGGTGAGTTCAGCGACACTGCGCAAAAATATAGGTTAGTTTAAGATATTAATTAATTCGATAATCCTGTTTTATACGGCAAATTATTTAATGTTTAAACAAGTTATACTATACTTGTTTTCCGTTCTTGCTTTTTATATATAATGTGTAAGGTACAGTTAATGATTATGGTAAATATAGCGATCCTACGCATAATGAATTCAATTATTTGGGGCAATGCGTGTCAAGTTAAAATAAAGGCTAACTTAAGGCATCTGTTTTTTGGATGATTTATGTCCATTAAAATATTTGCGTTCACTACTTATAGTTTAATATTTAGATGAATCGTGCTAAACAGGATTTTGCACTAATTAGTGATTTATAATAATAATAATGGTATACTGGCTGTCATGTATAATAATTCTTTACCATAATCTACATAATATTTATGGTAATTTTTGGTATTATCTATTATTTACTATTTGATTATTTTAAATTACTCTATTCTTAAAAATTCCTATTAACTTTATAATATATGCGCAAGCCATATATGTCTAGTGCGTGCTTATTGGTCTGGCCTGTTAATGTTTGTTATGCAATTCATACGCATATTACAACATATCTTAAATAATTTACTGCTTAATAAGAATACTATTATTTTTTATGTCAATAATTTTTAACATAGAAAATTGTATAGGAAGTTTGTGAGTACACTGGTTGCCACGTATTCAGAGGAGGAACTCTCAAGTTCAGATCTTTTAAAATACTTAAAGTTCCCATAAAATTTGAGTAGGTACACTTTAATTAGGAGCCACACTAGTTTGGTCGCTGACACTTATTGGGCGCCTGAAGTAGTTTTGAAGAATCTGAACTTTTCAAACCACCTCTATGTAGGTATGTAGTTGTGCTTTTGTGACTGTGGGAGTAAAGAAAATAATTTACTAATAATGCTTTATAAATAATATTAAATATACTACTTAATTTAATTATCGTTTATACAGTTATGTTTATGTGACTGTGGGAATGAGGCAAATTAATTTACTAATAATGCTTCATAAATAATATTAAATATACTACTAAATTTAAATATTGTATAAATGTGTAAATTTAAATGTTTCGGCTCGTCATATAAGTCGTTAATATTTACTAATAATTAATGTAAAACATTTAATCTAAATTATAACCGCTTTTAGTCAATAAAGTTGATTTCTAAATTTCTGGCAAATTTAGTTAGACAATTAAACATGCTAACTTGGCACTCACAAGAGAATATTAAAAAATAACACTTAATCTCATGGAAAATAAAAACTTTAATGCTTATTTGCGAAAGTAAATAAACGGAAATTTGGAAATTTTTAGATTTTTAAAAAATGTGAAATTTATTGCAAAAGAAAACAGTAGAACCTTGAGTGCTTTCGATTTTTTTTTTTAATTTTTGATAATAAGTATAAAAGGTATTTGGCAGTTAATATATTTGTTTAAATCAAGGTGTCCTAAGTGAACTGACTGTAGGACTATAAATAGAATTTTTTGAATAAAAAAAATTAAATAATTAAATGGACCGCGTTGCGGTCTGACTATGATATTTGTACAAGTAATGTAGTTTCTTATTTTTACAAATGATATTAGATAAGTGTAAAGTGGTCGCCGAGTAGACATGTATTTTTTCTAATTTTTTGGCTAATAAAATATTCAAGAAACCGGAATTCAGAGATATCGTTTGTAATTTTTCTGACGGCTGTGGTTTTATTTTTATAAAATTAAATATTTTAAAACGTTTTCTAGAATAAACGTCAATTGTTAAGTTTCGAGTTTAACTGCATAACAGACATTAGTAAAAATATATAGCCGAATCCACTTTCTCGTTTAGTATTATGCTGTAATATTGTCAAATATTACTGCAAATTACAATTAGGTACTAGTATGTACTATGGCATTCTAAGATCTATGTTATTTTAAACATATTAACTAATAAGATTTGTAAATTACATTTCAATGCTTTGACTGTGTTATTTTCTGTGTATTTTGTAGTTTAGTGTGTCTTTGGCCTAGAATCAGAAATAAGATGAATACTCGGGTAAATTGTTGTTTTCGGTTTGATCGGAATGGTTAAACAAATAATTGCTAGTTCTGTTACCTTTATACGGATTGTAATAAAAGACTAACAGCAAAGACCTCGAATATGTTTACAAAATTAAAATCAGATCATTCTTAGTAGGCGTAATTTTGGCAGAGTTTTGGGTCTGAAATAAACTAAAATAACGTTTAGGTACTCATAGAAAAAAATGATAGAAATTAAAAATAATACCTCAAAGTTTATACAAATTAACCGGAAAATGAATTGACATTTATAAAAACATTTTTTCTAAAATATTGCCTATATAAAACCCCTCAATAACTGCCCGCTTCTAAATTCCCAACAAAGATATTTTAGAATATGTCTCATTTGAAAACATATATATTGAAGTTGTTCAACAGAGTACAGCGTTGAATAATATATTAGTAGTGTAAAATATAAAATATGTATATAAATCAACCTGAGAAAAATGTACTTTTAATATCTTTTTATTAGTAGTTTATATAACTACTAAAATTACATATTTTGTTTTGGTAAAATTAATAGGTTATTCATTATTATATGTGAAAACTTGATTTATTTAAGATATAAAATAAAATCTAAAAGTATTCAAATGCACTAAAAAACCTATGTATCAACATATATAGAATTTTTGAATTAAGTGCGAAGACAAATATTCAGTTAAAACAAATTTTACCATTGATTATATAAAATACAATCAATGATTTTACTTACACGTGAAGTTTCATTGTGGCCTCTAAAATTATATATTTTCCGCCGGACAGCGGCATATAGAGTTAGTCCAACCCTGATATCAACTATCAACGTGCTAAGAAACTAGTTCACCCAGATTTGTCTTATATACAATTACCGCATTCTGATCTGCCGGTCGAGATGACCGTCACAGGGCTATCTCGCAAATGTAGTTTCTGCCACTTTCCCCACTCAATTGCTCGTGTCGGTATGGTGTAGAAACCGATCTTGATCTTGACCGGACCTCGTCTGGCGTTGTTTCCACTAGCTTGTCTGTTTTTATACATTTTATTATTTTTTTAAACACAGAGAAAGTCGTAGCGGATGTGACCTAACCTAACCTAACCTACCCGTGACGAAGCTGTCGCGGTTTATACCCGCAAGTTTCATGCGATATGACACAGCGGGATAACGTTATAAGTCATATTATCTGTAGGTAATCTGTGTATAGTTATAATATTACATACAATGTAGGTATATCTACCGGGTGTGATACGTATAATGTATGTAAACAATATCGTTTATATTATAACGAGACGAAAGTATTGATTTAAAAGTACCTATCGCCGCTCACGACCTTGATAGTATTTCTTTGGTACCACTTCAATTAATTTTATATACCAACAGAGTTTCGAGACATTTATTTACAACCGGTTACCAGAATAAGAACTTTCATTGAACTATAATGAATGTAGTTTGTTTTTATTGTTAACTAATAGAAGTCATCAGATTCAAAACCAATGACTATTTTATAGGTTTAATTGTTTAAAATAATATACTAATTATAGTGTTTTTTTTTCCTGTTAAAGACATGAACTGTAATTTGAGATCAACCAGACATATCACAGACGGTCAATGCACAACTACACGCCCAATAGTGGAGGCTGTGTGCGCGGACCGCTGTCTTGTCTATGCCTCGACCTTGCCTTTTAACAAGAGAGTTCGACCGTCGTATTTGACTAAAACTCAACAAGTAAGATCAGAAACCAGAATTAAATCAAATTATTATTAATTAATTTTGTATTTTAGGTGGAAGCGTTACATTGTGTTAACGGCGATACGAAAATGTTAAGAGTTCAACTTCAATGTCAGGACGGAGCTATGCTAAACAACATCATCAAAGTGGTGACCAGTTGTCGGTGCAAGTTACATCAAATACAACCGCAGATGAGAAACACCAAAACGCCATCGACGCATTCCCTAGGTTCGTCGCCAATGCAAGAAATAATGAACTCCGAACAATTTTGATCGAATTTTTACAATACTTGTCCTTATCTTTAGGAATAACAATAACTTTAAATTATTTTTACTTCTAGTCTATATTATTTTGTATTTAATATTATTATAACTATTTTTGTTATTTATTTATTTAGTTTTTTTTTTCATTTATTCATAGGAAACATAAGTTTAATTAATTTAAATACAATACAAAGATCATTAAATCAAATTCATGTTGTTATAATAATCATAATAATACCATAAATAAAAATAAATAAATATATATATATATATATATAAAATCTAAACACGGATAAGGAAAATTTTTTCTAATGAACAATAGTAAATGTTTACCATTTAGTTGAGGTAATTTGCAGTCCTGTAATTTGTTTGCCAATAGATGCTATTTGACATACATTACACACTTTGTTCTTATACACAGGCTGGTAGGATGCTAAACAGTATGGACATTTGACTTCTTCCTTTCCTTTGTAGATTGGTAAAAAAGAGTAAGCACATATTGTAAATGGATTATGCTGATCGTAGGCTACTTGTATTTTGTTTACTGGGTTTATGTCACAGGCTTGGACCATCTTGCGGGCTTGTTGAGCAACATCGGCCCGCGGACCGAGTTCCAGTAACCGCTTTGCAAATGACGAGGCCATATTCAAATTTCCAATTTTATAAAAAATATTAATAGCAGTACGTAAGGTAAGTACTTTATGAGTCATTTGCAAGTCACAGTGAGTGAAATAAGCGGCCATTTCGGCGACCCTCTTTTGGTCATCAAGTGTTACTTTAGGATGTTCTTTACGAGCAGTTTCCATTATTAATCCTAACACATACTCTTTAGAAATATGAATTAACTGACTGACCTCTACTGCTTCTTTTTTTGTGTCAACATACAACAGTGGAATAGACAAAAGAATAGACCGGAACTTAGCTATGGTCTCTGGGAATTTACCGGCTGTAGTCAACTGGTAGCACGATTGCAGTTCACTGAGTAAATGTTCTAGTTTTAGGTCTAAAACCGGTTTGTTATTGTTTTCTTTCCAATTTCTTTGGGGATACACAAACAAAGATGGGTGAGAAGGTAATGGGGTGTATGAACAACGAGATTTTAGGTACGTGTCCATGAACAGACTTTTAAATGGTTGGAAATTGGTCACTCCGATCTGCTCGTTTAATAACTTAAATGCAGTTTCGAAGTTACCCGACTTGATGTAATCGATAGGCAATTGGCTATTAGTAGACCAAATGTGGGCTTGACTGGGTCCTTCTTTAGGTGCAATAAAATAGTCAGCATCTTGCTTAGAAACAGCGATATCGGGAGGCAGCTCTACTTCTTCATCGCCAACGTCCCATCCTTCTTCACCAACTGCCACAGCCGCAACTTCTTCTTCAGCTTCTGAATGAGTAGGTGAAATTCGTCCCTCTAAAGCTAAGTCAGCTTCTGCGCCCCAACCTTCTTCTTCAATGTCCTCACCGATTGTTGTATCAATAAGACCAGAGGCTTTACCAGCTGACAAAATGGCACCTTCAAAGAATCCCTTAGATACAGTTAACAACGGCCAATTGGATTCAGCTTGACTAACAGGTACTGGTGGTTTCAACAATACGGCATTTGGGTTTACTTTTGGTAAATTGCCTGTATAACCCTCTTTAATGGATTCAGCTTCAGCGTGCAAACCGTGGGTTTCAGCGGTTAGGTAGGCAAGAGATTTGTGACCGAGATCATTCAATATCTTAATCCTTTCATGACAATCACCCAACAAAAGAGCTCCTTGATAATGTCCAGATACATCTTTACGTATTTCAGCAATTTTCATCATTTTTCTTAATTTGTCCAAATTGCCAGTGATCAAGTATAAAAATGATAATTTATCAAAATTTTTGGTTCTCTGATAACACATTTCTACAACTTGATGATTACCTTGAAGTAGAGCCGACTGTCCTAATTGTTCCCAACATAAGTTATCGTCCAAGGTTCTGGCTGCTTCCAATGCAATATCAATATTACCGCATTCGAGGGCCAAAGAAAACCTAGTTTTGTTGTCCTTAACAAAATGCAATGCAACTTCTGGATATCCTTTTTGTTGCAAGTATGCTATAATCGACTGACCGATCAACCTATCGTTTCTGACGATGTGCAAAACTTCTTCATATTTACGTTTTATAAGTGCCAGCTTAAATTTGTATTCAGTCGTATCTATGTTCAATACTCTTGGTCGGCATTCTCTGTCCAAGCAAAATACTTCATTGCCACTTACTTTTGTAATGTATATCGGGAGATCTAACGTTCGAATGATTCCATAGTCTCCACCATCTGGTAGAGCGTATTTTATATGATTACTTGTTGTATAAATAAATACACCACATTCGTCCCACGCACCAGATTTGATTCTGGAATTCTCATGAATAGTGCAGAGTATTTCTAATTTCCTGCTACATATATAAATATTATTTTTGCATAAAACAGCAAGTAACGATCCATCATTAGACCAATTCACATATCGACACTTGGCTATTTTTGCTTGAGCTAACACTCTTTTTTGTGTTACATCAAACAAAGTTAAATTTTCAGGATCGCGAAGCAAAAGTAATCCAGTACCAGCATAAAAAATTTCATCAACGTTATTAGGGCCAATATTTTTTTTTGTCACTTCATTTTTCAAGTTTTTCAATTGTAACATGTGCACTTTGTCTAGCACAGCAAATCGGTTTCTAGCAATCCAAACAGCCATTAGTCCACTAGACCTTTTGCTTTCAGGCGATTCGATAATTCCACTATCCGATGATTCTTTAGGTAGTTGATACAAATCATAGGTACTGTTATCAACATTAGAATTTCTTGTTACTACTAGTAATGAATTTTCTGCTGGATTGTAACTTATGCTGTAGACAAGTGTTCGGCCTCCACCTCTTAATTGCATGACGGTGTTGACTTTGTGTGTACTGAAATCAAGACGGTGTAAAAACCTTTCTTTGACATAGTACAAATAATTCCCAAATTGTGTAAAAGCTGGTCTTTCACGCTCCAATTTAAATACTACCATGCCAGAATCATGTCCTGCAGCGAATAAATTAGAAGTTGGATGGGCAGCTAGTATCCAAAATCTCTCGTTTTCACGTCTAAATGTATTTAAACACGTTCTTTTAGTCAAATCCCAAACACGAATACTTTTGTCTTCAGAGTTTGATAGGATCAATTCTTGTTTTGGATGAAATACAACACAGGATACATTATTGTAGTGGCCACGACACGTATCTACTTCCCAGGCTTTAGAATCATTCATTCGCCACAATTTCACTTGACGATCGTCAGCACCGGATACAATGAGTGGCATTGTAGGATGAAATGTACACCAATTAACACCTCGGTCGTGCCCTTCGAGTACATGTTTAACAACTGCGTCGGCTTGTCCAAACAAATCAGTAGCATTGGGGTTTTTTAAATGTTCATCAAGTCCTCCAGGACCTGGAGCAACATTTTTCTTACGCAATCCAGATATATCCCATACACGAACAGTTTGATCCAACGAAGCAGACACCACTAAATCTTCAGAAGGATGAAATTGTGCACACATCACATAATGATTGTGCCCTAAAATTAAATATATTTATATTAATTATGTAACACAAATATATTATTTTTATTAATTATTAAATATGATTTTGATCATTTAGCTTAACAACAATTTTATTTAAAATTAACAAAAACTTTTTAGCTAACATAATTGTTTCATAGAATAAAACAAAGCAACATAAAATTTAGAATTATATAACCATGCAAAAACAATATTGATAGGAAAACTTTGGAAGTATTGTAATTAATTTGGTAAATAATAGTTAGTTAAAACTTTTGGCCTAAATATGTATTTTTGGTGCTCAATTTCTGTTCTACGACTGTATAACTGAACAAATTACTTCAGCAGTTAGTGTTGTTTTTTAAATTAAAAAATTAAAAACAGATGTAAAATCAATACTTTGATAAATAGCTTAACTATTCATCAAAGTCAAATTTACAAAATGAATTAAACTACATAATATCACAGATAAAAAATAAAAAGGAAAGATAATCAAAATATTAGAGAAGTTAATCAATTTATAAATAAGAAAATTGAATACAGCATTAGTGTAATACATACATTTTATAATTAAATACATACCAGTAAGTACACAAATACAGGCACGACTTTGCCAGTTCCAAATTCGAATTGTTTGATCATCCGAAGCACTTAGTATCCAGGGGTATTCATGATGAAACATAGTAGACCGTATATAATCCAAATGACCAAGTAGTGTAAATATACAACGACGTTGTGTATAATTCCATACTTTAATTTTGTAATCGTCACCTCCTGATACAAATATAGGCTGTTGACTGTGAAAATTGATACCGCGAACTGGTCCGTCGTGTTCATCAAATTTATCCAGCAATGTACACATACGATAATCCCATAACTGAATAACACCAGTATGAAGACTGGCCAAAATCCACGGTCTTTTGGGATGAAAAGTCAAGCCCTTGATTCGGGCTGACTTAGTTTCAAACTTTGTTAACATTATACTTGTAATTCACCTACACAAAACACAAAAGAGAATATTAAATTATTATAGCAATCTCATAAGTATATGTCAATAATAGTTTAATGTAAAAACAATAAATTGGTTTTAAATTATAAAATCTCGGGGGGGGGGGGATATTACTTGTGATGTCCCGGGTTATATATTTGAAAAAATGCTAATCCTAACATAAGTCATAAACGTAATAACCCATACATTATAATGTTGAGCCTCCACCCCATATATAATTATATAAACTGTAAACACATAATATTTTGAGTGGTATAACATTAGAAATACTTTTACAACAAATAAAACAATATGTTTGGTGACTGAATAACGTATTATACTTACTTATTTCAAAACGAATACTATACTTTTTAGTTTTTATTTTCATTTGAGTAATATGTCATTCACATGAAAACCGTGGAATAGATATGCCGACTTGTTTACGTGTAATTGTAATCGCCAAGCGGTGTTTTATTTGTTGATAGTACAACTGGTTATCATATTGGTTACCACCACGATTCATGTTTGGTTACTAATCCAAGGCTACCGCGGTCAATATCGGTAGCAAAAT